TCAGGTGGTGAAACGGAGCATGGGTATGCTTCGTCAGCGAAAGGATCCAGCCAAATGTACTGGCTTTGCTGAAGTGACAGGTAGAGGGCGAAAGGGAATGCGAGGATGACGAGGATGACAAGGGTAAGGTCGGGGTAAGGGTATGATGCGAGGGCTGATACGAGGAGGATCAGGAGAAAAATAGTAGGGGCCCAAGCGTCTAGATGTTCTTGTAACAATATTCTACAATGTTCTATGGTACGATTCCCTTTTCCCTTTTATGATTGGCTAGTAGTTGTAACTCAGTTTCAATCTCAGTTTCAATAGTTGTATATAGGTAGCCCGTCTTGGTCGATAGTTCCTTAGTTCAAACCTCTTGTATCTACACTGTAGCAATCCAAGACGTCCTTGCTCATTATCCTCTTGTTGTGATAACCTTAGTCTGAGTCCTAGTCTCTGCCTAGCGTTAATTCGTTATTGGGTTGTGACAGGCATGATGCATGTGGCGTGAGGCAGGTAGTAAAATGTTTTTCATTTTGAAAAATTTTGTTTTGGAAAAAGAGAGGGAATGATTCATGATTAGTATGCAATAGATGACTTTGTAAACAGTAAAAAACTGACCTTGAAGTCTCGCTCATTGTCTTTTTTATTGTGCTCCGCCCAGTACACCTTTTCTCTTGTAGTTTCTAAGACCTTTTCATTGATGTTAGACAAGTCGTATGGGCCAACTGACAATTTTGCCACAATGTGCCATCATTTGCGCTGCTCCGCTTGGTAGGTTAACAGTGTCTTTTGTGCTATTGGGTCTCATAAAGAGCAAAGCTTGTGTACTTGGATGTTTCTCCAAAAGAGAGCCATCATCCTAACCCTGTCCTCCGGCCAGTCAGCTTCTTCCATCGCTGTGAGGAAACGAGGATAGGCTTGGCAAAACTCTTCGAATGGCAAATCTTCATCGTTGATAACTGCACAAGAGTTGCGCGTTGAAGCTGATGATACCCAGGCTATAGACCTGTCTGCTAACATCAAGAGGATCATAGCATCATCATCCACTGTTTTCTTCAGATCGCCTTTATCTAACTTTCGAAGAGCATAAGAACAGGGTGTAATTGTTACGACTTGGATGGTATCTGTTGGCGACGCTCAAACAGAGCGTGTGTCGTCAACGGTCAAGGACGTCCTTGGGCTAGCCCAAGGTTAGGGGTCTTACTTGGCGAGGCTTCGGCAAGTAAGATTTGACGCCTATGTCCAAATCGGGTAGCTTATGTCACGCGGGTGCGAGACGATAAGCTATATCGGCCTAGGCTTACGACACCCGAAGGTTAATCGTAAGGATCGTCGTTAATTAGAAGGACAGAAGTCCGACTAGTTAACAGGGGCTTTGCTCGTCGACGAAGTCGATGAGTAAAGATCGAGACTATAGGCTTATCCGCGAAGAGCAGATAAGAGGATAGAATATAGACTGCTGGCGAGGCAGAAAGGATCACTCTGGTGAGAGTTGGAGGTCAAGAACCAAGTAGATTCAAGTTAGGGAATATAGTACATGGTAGCGAGTTTATATAGAGGACGGGAAGCGTATTAGTGGATGATAACTCGTACTACCAAGAGAAGTAAACGGTAAAGGGTATGACCATAATAGGAAGGCATGTTCGAGGTGAGACACGGGCGAGTCCTGAACGTGCAGATAAGAAGTGAGTCAAAGATCAGAATAAGAAGTGAAACGCGCAGGGGCACGATCGTGCAACTGTGGAACTAAGTATAAATCGCATGTGCGACTGCGCACCGAGTCAGAGATCAAGAAAGGAAATGGGGCAAAGGGGATGCGTCGTGCATCATATCATAGGTTACCGTCTGGACGGTAAGGGCAAGGGGACTGTCCACAGGATCAGTCAGGTGGTGGAACGGAGCATGGGTATGCTTCATCAGCGAAAGGATCCGGCCAGATGTACTGGCTCTGCTGAAGCGACAGGTAGAGAGCGAAGGGGAATGCGAGGATAACAAGGATGACCAGGGTAAGGTCGGGGTAAGGGTATGATGCAAGGGCCGATACAAGGAGGATTAGGAGAAAAATGGTAGGGGCCCAAGCGTCTAGATGTTCTTGTAACAGTAATGGCCAGGTCATCTGAAATGCCAGTGTTAAGAATTGGAATATACTTGTGTTTGTTTTTCTTCCTTTCTTCCTTACGTGCGGCGTCCTCTTCCTCAATTCGAGCCTGGTCCAATCTCTCTTGCTCTTCTTCGTCCAAACATTGATGGTGAGCATGCTGTTCTTGATTGTTCTCTACTTGTTGTTGCCATAGAAGTTTTTCCGTATTATTGTTAGCTTCCCAGATTGTCCTAAGCAATTGAATTGCTTGTACTTCGGTGACATTGTCGTTAATGAGCTGAGCGCACATGTTAACGTAGTCGTCCAAGGCGTAGTCTGGACAAATATTGAAGTTAGGATTGTTACAAATTCTTGGCATAGTTAATAATGTAAGTAGCACGAATATGTGTTGCAACGAAACGAGAGTGTAGTCGAGCAGTAGAGGACTTGCAAGTACTAAGTGGTAGTATGAAGCAAGAAGGGTGAAAAGCCTCTGAAAGGTGAGTCGCTGCATAGACCTCATTCTACGTAAGTTTTCATACCTCAAACTTTCTTAGAATACAAGTGATGCTGCCACTTGATAATGCCCATTCAGATGCTACTGCAGACTCCTGAATAGCATGGTCATCTTTTGTGATGTGAGCAATAGTTGGATATTGAATTGAGTGATGCTTTAAAAAAATAATTGTCAGCTTCAAGTTGCATGGAATATTAAGGATATGAGGGAAGTGAACTTACATCCCACCACACTACTATGTTCTCAACATCCTCCAGTGGTGCAGCTAAGTAGCCTTCAAGTTCCTGATGAGGCCTTTGACAAGCGGTGTCGTGTGAGATGTGAGCTTTGATTGCATTGCGCATCCAGCTCTGGCCATAGAAACCTTGACGTGTGAGGGATGGTACAGTACTAGTAGCAGAATGTGTCGTCATGGCAGATGAAGGAGGGGCATGATAATACTGATCAAACTAGATACTAAGTTAGTGTGCAGACAATTTATTGAGAGACCCATGGACTTACCACATCTTTGAGCTGTTTCACTTCATCAGCAAAGTCTTGAGATGCCCATTTTGCCTTAGTGTAGGCAACTTTGTAGTTAGGGTTGAGCACTGCATGAAAGTAAGAGTGTCATCAAAATGAGAATGTGTGAATTAAGAATTGGGATGTACCAAGGCAGATGAAGTAGACATCTGTGTCATATGTCTTGCAATACCACTTATGAAGATTGTCGAGGCCGGATGTGATGGATGCCAAAAGTCCATCAAATGCTGATGTGCCAGCCATGCATTGAAGAAGAGGAATATAAACTATGAAGAAAGTTGGTGCTAAGCTAAGAAAACACAGATAGTCCTGGGCGTGAGTGAAATGTCGACCCAAGGGCAGCTGTCTGGGTAAAGGGAAACCTCTCTTATAAAAAGAGGGACACCAAACTAATACTAGGGTAATAGGACAAAGGAATGCACAAAGTGCAAGGTGAGAACGATGTGAGATGCAGACGCGCAAGTGCGAATGGTGAAGGGTGAGATGCGCAATGCGAAGGTAGCATGCATGAGCTTGAGCAAAAGGCAAATGAGCGAGAGAGACGAAAGAGAGACAAGGTGAGATGACTGTTAACACCCCAACTAAGGTTGGCTGATGCTAAGGCGAAGGACTAACAACTAATGCACAAGACTTAGATAGTCACTGCAACAATGAGTAAAATTTCCTAGTATCTAAGGACACAGAGAAAGTGGGTGGAAAATCAACCAGGAATATAGAGTAGAGGGATAGTATATGTAAAATAACCAAGTGTCGCTAGACATGCAGGTCCAATGTGATGAGCCGAACAGGCTATAAATAGTACACAAGATATGTAATAGGGTCTCGGCAGTGCATGTAGTGCAAAGCCGAGCATTAGCAAGGGAAAACAATTAATCAAAATGAGAATATAGTGTGAAAACACACCAATGAACATCTAAGGACATGGGGAGGATAGACAAGTGTATGGACGATGCGAAGGCAGATGCGTGGTGCATGTGAGATGTGAGTGGCTGTGCATGGAATCTGCGAAATAAAATATTGTGCGCTATTGTGCAAGACATATCATTTGGATTAGGGCTGGAGTTTGTAAGGGAAGTGTCTGTGGAGATGTGAGTCTGTACACCAATATATGGACACATGAGTGCGAAGGGCAAAGGGCGAGATGTGCAATGCAAAGGTAGTGCGCGAGCGAGAGCAAAGTACAAATGAGTGAATGAGACTAAAGAGAGATAAGGTGAGGCAACTGATAAGACCCCAACTAAGGTTGGCTGATGTTAATGTGAAGGGTGGAAAACTGGTGTGTGAGACTTAGATAGTCACTGCAATCAATGAGTAAAATTCCCTTGTGTCAAAGGACACAAAGAAAGTGGGTGGAAAATTGACCCAGAATATAGAGTAAAGGAATGGTATATGTAAAATAGCTAAGCGCTGCTAGGTGCACAGGTCTGATGTAACAAGCTGAACAGGCTATAAATAGTATGCAAAGTATGTAACAGGGTCTTGGCTGCACGCAAAGCACCAAGCTGAGCATTAGCGATGGAAACCAATTAAGCAAAATGAGAATATAGTGGGAAAATGTACCAATGGACATCCAAGGACATGGGAAGGATGGACAGATGGGTTTGCAGACGATGAGAGGATGGACGCACAATGTGTGTGAGATGCGAGTGGATGCACATGGAACCTATGAAATAAAATATGTGCACTATTGCGCAAAATGTATCCTATAGATTAGAGCTCGAGTTTGTAAGGGAAGATGGAGAATTTGAGGGAAGTGTCTGTGGAAATGCAAGTCTCTACACTGTCTTCCTCAGTCGAGGATCTCCCACATTGATGGAAAACTATTGGGACTTGGTGTATGAGAAGGGGATTCAAGGGCATGTTGGCTTCAAGTCATTTTTATCTGAATTATATTCACTAGGAATTTTCAGGTATTATTTGCAAACTGAACTCAGTCACGGTACAAATGTAGCTCATCTAGAAACTACTTCAACGTATATCCCAGAAACCCAAGAGTTCGAAATAAACTCCCCAAGTCTTATGAGCACTAAATGGTGGATCAGCACTCTGGGAAAGTTTGCAACTCATGGTGTTGTCCAAGCAAAGTTGATCTTGCCAGATGGAAAGGATATGGGACCTCATCTCTTCTTCATGCAACTGCAGTCATTAGGTTTGTCCAGGCATTACCTGATTTATAGCAATACTAAATGCTTTTGCAGAGGATCACAAACCTCTCAAAAAATCACTATCAGTGACATTGGTTCAAAAGCTGTGGGAGGTAAGTGAAATCTCAAGTCTTTTATAATGCCTTGTTTGATGTACTCATGACAGGCATGGCTGTGCAAGATCAGGAATTCATGATATTTGATCACATACGGATACCCAGAATGAACATGCTTTCGAAGTTTGCTGAGGTCATGATAGATGGTTGCTATATCCATCCTCCTCACGCTATGGAGGAGTAATTTTCTTTAATTGGTCCTGACAGTGATATCACTGACATGATGTGCCAGATGATGTATATCAGGGCAACATCTGTTAATTCTCTGCACCTCTGCCCAGCAGGACTAATGATATAATATTTTAGCATGATATCATCAGCTTGATGGACCATAGCTAAAGGTGGAGCTCCAAGATTTTGTCTATAATCTACTCCACACTAAATGATGTCATACTAATAGCAAGCTCAAGCTGTGGCTTTGTTTGGCCTGAGCTAATGGCTTTTGGCTGGCTTTGGCTCATGGCCTTGGCTTGAAATCTGGCGAGCCTGAGCCTCCTCAGGCCAAGCCAAAGCTAGGCCAGAACATCACTAGAGCTGAAAAGATTTACTTAATGCTCATAATACAAAAGGGAAAGCACATAGAAAATGCTGGTGGAACTAAAGTCTCATTGCCAGTGTTGTTTAGCATCATCAATATCAGCACAATCATGTTGGATTGTCCAGCAGTAGGATATTCACCAGACAATGCATAGAACATTGCATAAAGTGTAGCTGATATGTGAATTAGCATGACCTTGTCTAGAATGAAAGAAAACATGCGCACTTGCATACTGCCTAGTGTCAACAGACATGATGATGTTATCAAGCTTGAGAATGGAAGTTCCAGATTTATTGAACAGGGGAATGTAGTGAGTAACATCTTTTGTGTAAGTCCAAATGATACTGTCTGTGGTCAGCTCTGGAGTTGAAGTGCGCCAGACTATGATATTCAATATCAGTCTTTGTCATCCAATGCATGACCATCAAAGAGAACTTACTTTCTGTGTTTTGAAATATGAAGATTCCAAGGCAGTCGTACTGGGTCTCATTTGATGTTACTATAAAGTTGAGTGTTACTACTGCCCAGGAATGGACCGGGATCCCAAGCCGGATGAAGTGTTGGAGAGCAATAGGATGATGCTCATGGCATTCTGTGAAAGCAGAGATCAGTTAACAAGGATCTTCAAAGATCTAATTAGCCTGCATCACCTTGCACAGGTTCATGAGAGGGTTCTTCCTGTGGTGGAATCCTTGTTGGATGAAGTTGACCAGGCAGAGGCACAGTCTGGTGAAGAAATGTAAATACCTGAATACTTGTAATTTCCCCTTTCCTTTGATTACACAATACAGTGATCAGTTATCAAAGCCTACATATAAGAATATCTGGTGAGGAATCATCTGGTGAGGGGTGTTGCAGAAGTGAAGTGAAACACCTGCTAATCTTCTTCCATTCATTGCGGCAGTGCCTGCCATGTCCATTTATTTTGGTGGTGCCTGCACTGGCCAGCTCTGCACATAGCCTTCAGTGAAGCGCCGGTTCTATTAAGCAGATTTCGATTTCCATACTACTTCTACAGAGCATTGACCACGGAGCAGTACCTGGAGTAGCCTGCTCATGGGATATCCACAAAATTGTGAACATCATCCCTCATATACCAGACCCAGGCTGTATGGTTGCCATCGGCCATATCCAATCCATGCCTAATAATTCACCCTGATCCGGGGACCATAGAACCTGCTGGGTAGACACACTCAATGCCTAGATTTGGCATCTTGATGGTTGCTACTCCATAATTGCCAAAGGTGGTCATGACATCAAACCATTGGGGACGTGATAAAGGATCACGATGCAACAGCGAACGCCGGTTGCACATGATAGTGAGTGCTGTGAATACAGATGCCCACTCTCTGAGACAATTTCCTATTTTGTCTAATTTCTTGTCAGCTGCCCAGAGACCCAAGGCTAGTTTTGTTGCCAATGATGACCAATAGAGGTTAGGGTGCATCACTCTTAATGCAGCGGCGATGAGCGCCACCAGTCTCTGCATTGCCTGACAGAAAGACTATCCATACTCTTCAAGAGCCACCAAGACATGTGGATAAAATTTTGGTGCCTATGAGAGTGGGAATGAATGCTGATAATTATGAGGCATGACTCACCAGGTGACCTTGAAAAAACCATGCTGGGGACAGATTGATACACCCCGGAGTGCCGCCACTTTCACTAGGATAAAAGTTTGAAGAATGGGTCCTCCATTTATCATTTGTGGCGGCGCTGCTAGTCACACTTCTAGCCAGTGGAACTGACATCATTGCAGTAGCTGCCACCATGTCATTCTAACACAGTCAATATAATCATTTGGCAATTGAGGATAGCTTACCTGTATGGCCAGATCAATTGCGCCGGGAAGATACCAGAAGACAATGATACCAAACTTATCACACACAACAGTCGGCCGATCAAGATGGATCTGGTTGTCAGGTGGATACCGGGCAAGAAGCCTGTCTTCGCAAGCAGGGTTGATGCCTTTTTCCATCATGTGCAGAACATCTGCATACCTGACTATATCTAAATTGATAGTGACTAATATTGATGAGATTAAAGATCACATAAGGCGCTGCCAAAAGAGTCATACCAGGGTTCCGATAGGCATCAGCGAGGGTATTAGCCAGTTTTGAGCATGCCATGAGCATGACAAAATCTAGTTCGAGTGGGGGAATAGCATTGGGCCATCTGCTGATCAGTGCTAGGAACTGGCAAGAGACATATTCACTAGCAATATGGGTTGTGGCCAAGGCCCAGTCAGGAGGAATATGAATCATAGCTTCCATATAACATACTAGTCATTGTACTTATATGTCTGGCGGCAACCCGGTTACATAAAATACCACATTGATAACATGAGGATTGATGTAAGGAGGCATGTGTACTGCTCATTGTCTTGACCTACCCGCCCTTTTATGAAATCGGCGAAATCTGGTTTGCTGAGCTGGTGTTTGATGCAGAAAAGGTAACAGCGTAAGCACCGCCGCAATTAGTAGACAGTGTTGCCGGCAACTTTAGATTTGTGAATAGGTGTCGGCGGAAGCCAAAGCAGAGTAGCAGCTGTTTAACAGCATTTCCTCAACATACTTCCTTGCCGGATGTTCATGCACGTGTCAGCCGCCGCCAGTGAGATTTTATACCCGGTGGTATTATGTTTGGCCATGCCACAGGCCTTGTACTATGTCACCAGCATGCATGTAAAAAGTGAGGTATTCCGTGGAAGCATGGGGCAATTATCTCCAGTGACAATCTATACCTTGCAGTATCATGTACTGCATTGCCACAGAACATGCACTATGTCGCCGGAATGTATAGTACTTAGAGACATATCTCACTGTTCTTTTACACACAACACACACCTGCTGTTATCCAGAAGAATGGGTAATCACCCTGGTCACAACTGCAGCATTATGTTTGGCAGTATCACAGCCCCCCGCCCCCTGCTGTGATCCTGAAATATCCAAAGGTGTCGGCAAGTATATGGGCCCACCCCTCACCATCAAGTAGCACCTACTAGACATAGCCTATACATCATAATACCACTATTCTATATATTTTTGCATTCCATAATGTATATACTGTAGGCCCACCCTTGAGCCTCAGTTTACATCTAGCACCTAGCCCATCCGCTATACTGGGGTACAATCACATATGTGGGCCCATCCCTTAGGTCAGGGCTGACATTGTAATGTGGGCCCATAGTGGGTTGGCCTGACTCTTAGGGGGGCATTGTCAACATGGGCTGTCCTATAAGTAGGGAGATATGTCACTGCATTATGTGATCCTCATCATCCTCATCATCAAGATCTATACCTTTGAAGGCCTGTTCTAACAAGATGTGTTGATAGTCATTCCACATTGCAGATGCGATATGATCATGCATCGCAAATCCTTGACTGAAATTCAAGTTCATCATCTTCTTCAATAGCCGCGATATCATTTTCTTCTTCAGCATTTCCACCAGAATATCCACCCTGCCAGTCTTCGTCATTATCTTCATCATTGGCCTCATTGGTAGGGATGTTTGTGGGATCATGCATGCACATGAAGTTGTGAACAGTGCACAGTGTGACGGGAATTCATGCTTGCAACTCCATGGCATATGCAGGCAGCAACAGTAAGATCCGAAAACGACACTTCAAAATGCCAAAGATGCACTTGATGATGTTTCTTATTGATGTGTGTCACAAATTAAACAATTCTTCTCTATTAGCAGGCCTGTAGGGAGGATGAGTTTTAAATTGAGCTTGATTGAAATAAAAGGATGTACCTGGTGTTTGTGCATCCCCATTCAGCAAGGTGATAGTACACACCTCGGTATGGCACAAGTAGGCTGGTGTCTTGTTACTTAAGGGTCTTATATGAATGTTGTGTATAACGACAACACTATTATATACAGTGAAGACTTCTTGCCAGTCCTTAAGTGCACGGTCTCCGACTTTTCTAGTTTTCATGGGAGGTAACGTGATGAGTTCTTGGGAGGATTTAGTTTGTTGTCCTCTTCTTGTGGAAGTACAACATAGATGTGTAGCATAGCTGGATAATGAAAAATGATAGGTATGTTGCACCCTAGTAGGTTGTGTTTCAACCTATGAAAGTCTGTCTCAACTTTGTCGTGTTCTCCTAGTTCATGTCTCTCCTATGATGAAACAGAGAGTTCTTAAATATATATACATAAAGGCTTGGCCTGAATGATAGAAATAGCAAAAGTTGTATAAGTTGCAGTATACAATATTTTGTGAATAGAATAGAATAATGAAAGCTTGTATAAGTCAGAGGCGATATCTTAAGCTTACTTCAAGGACATGATGCCTGCACTTTTATTCTTACATACTCTCATGGTTTGAGAGAAGAATGAAAAATGGGAAGTTATATTACATGGGTGAAAATGAGGGGTTTATATACCTTTTGAAAACCCTCTTACTAAGCATGAGTCATCACATGGATTGGTAAGAATGTAGCTTACAAACCAGGTGCTGAATCAGCTCCTTACTAATATACAGTGTAATCTTACAAAGCATGACTGAAAGCTCATGAGTCATCACATGGATGTGTCATGCAGTTTGCTGACAAACATACCATTTGGCTGTGCTGAATCATCATTCTTACTAAGTAGATTATAAATAAGGTTCAGAGTCTTACAAAGATCTTACAAAGCATGACAAATCATGACAAAACATGATGAGTCATGTGAATGTTGTTACAAATCAGATTATTTCCCAGTCACATGAGGTGCTGACAAACAAATCTGATAGCCAAACAGTCAGAGAGAAACAAATAGAGAGAAACAGAACTAAATAAAATAAAATATACAACACAGGGGAAATCAGTCTGAATCATGTGAAACAAAATAGAAGGAAATGAATCAGGGAAAAATGATAAGATAACTGAGTGACAGAAGATAAGATACTCTATCACTCTTTTGTTGTATTAGTCATGGTATGAATCACATACCATGCATGACACCGGGACGGAGTGGATAACCCACATCTGCGAGAAAATACTTGCATTGGGGAACTTCGAAGTCATTCAGACATGCATCTTCATAAACATGAGCATCTGTTGCAGAGCCTTCCCAGCTGGTGAGTGTGTAGGTAAATTTGAGATTGAAATCACATGCAAAAAGGCAGTTTTGAGATGGGAACCCCTTGCGATTACGATACACAGTGTGGTCAGCAGCCCTGGGGGTCACCTGAATATGGCTCCCATCTATTGCACCAATGGCGCCTTTAAAAAAAGGCCACCACTTAGGGTTTCTGCGGATTTCACGAGGAACGGACTCATCAGGAAACTGGACGTATGTTAAATAGAATGGTTTGGAGGAGAAAGCAATGAGGATCTTGCGAAAGTACCTATGCGCTAGAGTCAGATATCCACTGTATCCTAGATAAAAAATAAATATACTTAGATATTGTTTTGTTTGAGTGTTGGAATCTCTCGCTGACATGTCTGACTGATAGGCCGGTCACTGAAGTATAAAGAAAGATAGCGAGTTGTTCCTCGAGTGAGATGAATTTGGAATCTGAGTGGCCCATAGCACGAAGCTGAGTGATAAGATCCACAAAGGCAGGGGCGTGCATGGGTGACCAGTTAGTAATTCAATAACCCAGTTCTGCCCAGAGAGGGCTGAGGTGTGATATGGTTGTCGGTCCTTGGGATACATGGCCTGCAAAGTACCATGTGTTGTGGCGACTACTACACTGATAACAAGTCCTATACATTTAACTAGACGATCCCGAACCTCCGGTTGAGGATTGGAAACAAGCAAGGCGAGCTGTTGATGATCCATTGCAAATTGATCTTCTTGAGTGTCCTCTTCTTGAGTCCTCTTCTTGAGCGTCCATAACGAGGAGACCATATCATATCATATCCCTTTGACTAATTGATAACAGCTGCTGATTTAATTAAAGCTCCGACCAACATTCGGGACAATGCTGACAAAATTGCATGATCAATATTTCAAAACTTCATGCAAATATTTCTATCTGAACATGCTCTAACACATGTGCGTCAAGCTATCATTGACAAAGTTGAGTTGAACAGTATTGGTTGCTGCTGCAAGGTATTGCAGAGCATGGGCTGCACTCGAATATCTCTCCCCTGCTGTCTCGCACTATGTAGAAGGTGGAGTTCCCAAAACTGGAGAATGACAACATCCGCAGGATGTCTTAAGGCAAGCCAGGCCAATCATTTGGCAACTGTATATTGTCCTGGATATGGAAGGCACATGGCATAGCTAGTGACACTCCTGAAGGGGAGATGGTGCTCAATGAATGTAGGTCATGTTTTCTTTTATTATTCTGCAATGGCTGATACCTAAATATTACTAGCATTAAGAATTGAATGGTGCAAGTCTCACATACGAGCTAAGCATTGGGTCAAGGAGGTGCAGCTTCTTCGAGAGGAGATGAGGCGTGTCACAGCATACCTCTTGTGGCATGCTACTGTGGTGGGATGCACAAGCAGATTGTTGCACAGGGCTTGTGCTTGCGGAGGTTGAAGGTATCAGAGGATATGCAAAGCATCAGGCAGCCGTGCAGCGGGATCTCCATGATATGTTCCTCTCAAAATGGGGTGCCGTGAATGGCATTTTTTAATCTAAACAGTGATCTATTTACAATGTTCTGGCAAAGCGATCAAATTCATTGGCGATCAGTGATGCACACTCCGGTCCTTAAATACTGACATTTCCAGTAACATTGAGATCATAAGAGAGATTCCGATCTTTGGAACCACTAGGGGCATCGTGCCTGGTATCATTTGGGTGACATGCGTAAAGTGCTGTCTAGGACATTAAGCTTTGTGAAGCTTCACATTGCTAGCTCTGAAACACACTTACAAAATGTACTGTGTCTTATTGGGCATGGTTAAGTATCACTCTGCCATGAACAGGTGAAGGTTTGGACCAACATAGAACCATTCAGGCAATGGTGGACCACAAACCTCACTCAGGTCTGGTCCATCCCAATTCTTGGACTATGGACCGAACCAAGGAAGAACCTGACCATGGTTCTGGACCAAACCATGGCAGCACTAACTGTATCAGACTTGGCATGTGATATATGACATATTTGAACTAAAGTCTACTACTATTTTACAGGGTTTATAAGTACTATAGAAAGCACTGCTGACTGGTCAGCAAAGTATAGAACTATGTCCAGAACTTATAAACATTTGTAGCAAATGTCATGGATCATGGGAGATGAAATCAGAGAATGAATATGGATTGTTACAGACTTGGATAGTATCTGTTGGCGACGCTCAAACAGAGCATGTGTTGTCAATGGTCAAGGACGTCCCTGGGCTAGCCCAAGGTTAGGAGTCTTGCTTGGCAAGGCTTCGGCAAGCAAGGTTTAATGCCTATGTCCAAATCGGGTAGCTTATGTTAAGCGGGGCTCGACGATAAGCATATCTGCCAAGGCTTACGACACCCGAAGGTTAATTGTAAGATCTGCATTAATAGAAGGACAGAAGTCCGACTAATAACAGAGGCTTTGCTCAACGACAAAGTCGATGAGTAAAGATCGAGACTAGAGACTTATTCATGATGAGCAGATAAAAAAGTAGAATATAGACAGCTGGCTAGGCTGAAGGAATCACTCTTGTTAGGAGTAGGAGGTCAAGAACCAAGTAGATTCAAGTTAAGGAACTAGATACATGGTAGCGAGTTTATATAGAGGAGAAGAAGCATATTAGTGGATGATAACTCGTATTACCAGAAGAGGAACTGGTCAAGGGGTGATACTAGAAAAGGAAGGCACGTTCGAGGTGAGTCATAGGCGAACCAGAACATGCAGATAAGAAATGAGTCAAAGAACAGAAACAGGAAGTGAAACAAGCAGGGGCATGATCATGCAACTGCAGAGCTAAGTATAAGTACAATGTGCGACTGCGCACTGAGTCATAGATCAAGAAAGGAAACAGAGCAAAGGGAATGCAGCGTGCATCGTATCATAGGTTACCGTCTGGACGGTAAGGGTAAAGGGGACTGTCCAGCCAGATGTACTGGCTTTGCTGAAGCGACAGGTAGAGGGCGAAGGGGAATGCGAGGATGATGAGGATAACGAGAGCAAGGTCGGGGTAAGGGTGTGATGCAAGGGCTGAGACGAGGAGGATAAGGAGAAAAACGGTAGGGGCCCAAGCGTCTAGGTGTTCTTGTAACATGGATTAGATAGGAGTCTCAGAATGGGTACATATAAGTAGGCAGAGTAAGCAGGGACAAGAGATAGTAGAAGTAGGAGAACATAGCTGTACAAGTCCAGAATATGTGTGCAAGGCAGATCTGGAGTATCAGAAACTAATAAAAATGAGTTGGATGCCATTGATGGATGATGAGACTCCTAAGCCCATGAACTACTGGTACTCATCCATATCCTCACTCCAGCAGTTGGCATGATCATCAGCAAATGTGCAGATTAATTCTTACTATGTAAATAGGTATGCGGACCATCATTCACATGAAATTGTGTTTTGATCATTATTTCGTCTATTATTTACAGCAAGATACATTGTACTATTGCTTACTAGGGTGGCGTGAAATTTTTGAGCTCTTGTAATTGAGCCTTGTGTTCTGCATCGCAGTGAGCATGTTCAGTGTTCCAGTGGGTGTCAACAAGGCTTTGAAGGAAGTGAGCTGGGACCATGAGGGTTTTGACTTTAGCAGTGCGAGTGGTAACATTACTTGTGCTGGGAGTTGGAGATTCTGGTGTCTTCCTCTCACTCTGGGCAGCAAGTAAAGCAAGATATTCGGGAGCTGTGGGTGTTGGTCAGTGATATGAGATCTAGAAAGTGATCAGTTCTCATACTGTACTCAGGAGGATCGTTTGGATTAGCGGCAATTTGGCATCAGTAAAATAGAGTGCAACTGCAATCATACATTGTGAGATTACTATAGCGAAAATTTTTGAGCAATTGACTTACCGTTTTTTGCATGGGCCTGGGGCATCTGATGAGTCATGATGACCTTCATCTTTGGTGATGGTGTCCTCTGTTGTATCATCCGCTGTGAGGACTCGGACTTTGTTTTTGGTTGGAGTAGGGGGCTCAGAGTGTGAGCTTCAAGTTGGGTTGATCTCAACACTTAGTAACTTGAAAAGTTTGATATTTGCTTACCGCTTGACTCCAAAGTGCTTCAGTGGTGTTGTGGGATCTGAATTCAGATGAGATTTGCCAGAGTCTGAGTCAGATTTAAGTAGTGACATCATGTAAAAAAGGTTGACCATGCTGGCAGTGATAACTTAGATGTACTAGTACTTGAATGTAGGATTACAGTAGTAGGCTGTCAGTGAACTGTTTGTGAAGCAAACACATACCAGACCAACAGGTTATCTAGGACATTACCAGGACATTCAGGTGCCGACCAGGTGCAGCCAGGTGCCTGCACATTTGCTGATGATCTCCCTCTGGTATTCCCCATGTACCTTATCGTCATGATCTTGCCACACTGTTTTTCATAGTCAAATATAACTATTTTTTGCTACTCATTATACTGCTACTTCGCCAAATACTCCTGGTGTGCTGAGTACTATAGTAGTTTTTGAGCCCAAGTTTCATGGGCCTTTGTGAACATTTTAGTGAGTACTTTGAGTCACAAGCTCATCCAAAAACTTTTACTTGGCAATAATGTATAAATATGCATTAGATCGCCAGTTAGCCGATAATGTGTGGCTGTGCGAATTAAAACTCAGCTAAGCGTCGGGTTATTCACACGGTGGTGTAAGTTGAGTGGTCGCAATTCTCCGGTTAAACTTCCGTCGACTTTCCGTCTACTATAATGATCCATCTCGATCGTAACCGCAACGAAATCGATTCAGAACAAAATTCAAATCTTATCTTACCAGAGGATCATTCAGCTACTTTCAATTGGGTCACGGACATCACTCATAACGACGAGCATCACAATTATTTCGCAAATTCTTTGTCTGACTTGAATAATAATCATCCCGAGGGTCAGACAATCCATCCTATCCCACTTCCAGCTGACGACAAGAGTTCGTCACTTTCACCTCCTCCAGAATACAATTCACCTCAAATTAAACACAAGTCTCCTCCACAAGCACAAGAACCAGAGCCAGAACAAGAAGACGATGGGGATGGTTCTTATTCGAGACAGTTAACACCACTCACAGACCTATCAGCAGTACCAGATGGTGACGAGAGTTTGGATTTTGAAAAGAAGGACAACAGTCCAGCAGAAGTAGAACAAGAGCAGAATGGTGACCTGAACGCACAGGACAACCCAGATAATCGTTGGTCAGAAAAACGTACAATAAATGGTACATCATCCCCAGTCCGCTCAATCCCCAGCTCCCCAACAAGATATCCAATCCCAATTCCCGTCCCAGGTCCCTCTCACAGACTTGGCCCATCATCAGCTCCTTCTCATTCAAGACGTCCATCAAGGGAAATCGTCCCAATCAGCCAACTCCCTTCACCAAACTTACCACCAGCAAAATTATCTGATTCCTCTACAGGAGAAACAAAAGTCGTTAGGATTCTCGAGATCAACTCAGAATTGCTAAAGTCCGTTCACACTCACTCACTTTCTCCACCCTCAGTCTCACTTTCTTGCTTTTTAGAGTCTGTATGGAGTTCCAAACACGTGGCGTGCCACCGACTGACGCTCGCTTCTCTCAGTAAGCATTACTTCGTTTTGAAAACCAACCCTCATCATCCAACCTTCAGTTTCGCTAATCGCATACAAGTAAACTTGACCTGGCTAGCAGCTGCTGCAGATCATCATCGATGTAATGTATGCGTCCCTTGTCTCTTCAATACAGCCCTTCGCTCACTTTCTTGATAGGACCCTAGACTCGTATTGCCCGCAATGGATGCTCCTTCTCCCGTCGAATCCATATCAATGGATCGAATACATCACCTCTATGCCGATTTACCCACCATATTCGCAAAGGAACTTGCACGACGCCAGCTCGCTTCCAGCGTTCAATACTCTCCTACCACTTCCGCCGCACTCCTAAATGGTCCATTAAAGCGCAGCAGACCAGATGACATGGCAGACCTCGTGAACAAAAGACGCGACATTGGTGAGACCAAACCACACTCCATGCAACCACCCGCAATCCCATCCATATCCATATCTGGTGCTGGTCAACGCACCAGCCCCACATCCACATTCCCTCCCTCTCTGCATCCAAACATGGCCGTCGCCAGTACGCCCACCATACCGCAGAGTCCCCGTACCTCCAGTCCCATGCCCCCTCCATTGTCTACCCCCTCACTACCCTTCGGCGCCACTGAGGCATCAATAGCAGCTACGACGCGCGCTCGCGCACGGGAGATGCAGATCCACCAAGCGCGCGAGCAACAACTTCGAGCAGCTCAGATGCAACATCAAATGCAATCTGCGCGCCAGATCTCCCCTCCCGATTCCTCCCCACGAATGCCCCAAAATTTGGGACCGGGCACACCGCAACATCCGCATACATCATATGGCCACAACCCTCCAGCGATGCAGATTCTCCAAAATCCTAGCCATCCCCTGATGACGTATCTCATGTCCCAAATCCCCAACTTCACATCTCTGCCGTTGCCTCAACAGGTTCAGAAGCTCACGAATTTTCAGGTGATGATTCACGTTGTGTTTGCGAGCAAGGATATTGATATTTCGTACAGAATATTCTAGCGCAGAAACAGCCACAGAATCCGTCCAATCAGCAACAACGCCCCCCTATGCCTGGTCAAATGCCCGGTCTAGGCCAGAACCCCTCCATGCCGCCCATGCCCAACGCCCCCATGCAAAGCAGTGGTCCAAGTCCTGTATCTCCTTTAGGCCAACAATCACCCGTCTCATCTCAATCCCAACAACAAATGAGCGCCCAACCCCAGCAAGCCAGCATGTACCCATTTACAAACCAAGGCCACAACACACCCAGCGTAGACCCCCGCATAGCAGCCTCCAATTTCACACAACAAATGCCAGGCAACATGGGTGCCATGAACCTAAACCAACAACGGCAGCTCATGCTCATGCAGCAGCAAATGCGGAATTCAAGTGGGAACATGAACATGAACGCCGCGAACCTCATGAACCCACAGCAGGCATTTGCGATGCAGCAGCAGCGGGGGATGCCCCAGGGTGGTCCGTCTCAAGGGGGCTCACCTATGTCCGCCCCCGCGAATGATACCTTCCCCGCATTGCGCTCGAATTCGACAATCCCAGGAATTGCGAGGAGTGGGCGGTCGCCTTCTGAGAGCGTACATTCACCCATGACGCCTCGTGCCCCGTCGAGGCTTTCGTCACAACCTCCTATGCAGCCTGAAGACTACCAGCGAGCGATGACACAACAGACACAGCCGGGCATGATGGGGGCGCAGCAGAATGCTGGCTCGTTCCACCCGCAGATGCAGTATCATCAGTGGCAGAATGGCCAGCAGCAGCAGCAACAGCAACAGCAACAGCAGCAGCAGCAACTGTCGCTCGGAGGACAAATGAACGGGTTTGGGATGAACCCTCAGGGAGGAGCAGGAGCAACGAACAGTCCCTATGGCGGCTCCATCTCGCCATCAGGGGGAGGGCCTAACTGGCAACAGCAAAGCATGAACGGATACTACCCCCAAAGCAACCAACGACCACCGAATGTCGCCATGCAACAAACCATCAGTCCCATAGGAGACACAAGCACAGCAGGAGAATACGATATATTTAATTGGAATGGTCCATGATGGTGTTCTGGTTCTGGGTTTGCTGGGTCCTAGGAGTTGGGACGCTGATTATCACTTCGATATTATCTTATTTGTTTTCTCGGCTCCCTCGGAGGCTGTTTCGAGTGCTTTACTTTTTACTTTCAACCCTCCTTTCGATGCTACTGTACGTTTGATTTTTTTTCGGTTCATAGTTTTTTTTCCATTACATTCCTGGTCTGTTCTGGAGTCGTGTGTCTGTATTTTGTAGCTTCTCTATGAACTGATCGGATGAAGCTGTTCAGGGCCAAGGCTGTTATATTATTGTTGGACGGTTTAGCTGTAGGGGAAATGTTTTCCGTGCAAGAATAAGTCTCCGCTTGGATATTACCCACTGGCAGATCCACTCCGCTGATACCCCAAAGTCTCTACCTACACACGCGATGGTATTCACCAGACTCTCCTCACAGGAGAAAGATGCCTTCTTCGGGCTTCTAGACGAGTCCGCACCACTGGCATCTCTCCCTCGTCCCTCATTTGCTGACCACAATTCGTTGCTCGCAGGTACTTCCAGTCCCGTCCCGAAATCCTTGCCAACGTTAACACAGGCACCAGCAATGCCCAAGACCCATCCGTAGCCGCTGCATCAGCCGTTCACCGCGCTCTCGCCAAAAACCCAGAAGTCACCTCCAAGATCGTCTCCGCCGGAGTGACACACGGACTTGCAAAGTCCAATAACCCATATGCATCCACGGTACGTCTCTTCACTACCCACGTGTCAGTGTCAAGTAACCAGTCGTGGTGCTAACAACATCAATCCCGGATCCGTCAACCAGATAGCCAGTAATCCACAAGTGAGCAATTCCGTAGGAAGAGTAGCAGCAGCTTCTCTCGCGTTCACTGGAGGCTCAAGCAATGCATTCTCATCGTCGAACGCTTCAAAAACCCTAGCTCCTCCCCTCTCTTCCCATAGCTCTAGTGCACACAGCGCATCCTCGTCAGTGTCTGAGATCGATAAACTAATCACTAAAAAGGTCTGTGCCTTCCATTCCTTGCTGATGCACCTTCTCAAGTCCAGCAAATGCTAACACTCATCTCGATATCGCAGTCCAGTGTCTTGGGCGCCTTCAAGAAAGCGCCCACAGTGAACGTAGCTATGCCCCCTGCATTCCCCGTGCCCAAGACGTCATACGGCCCGCCTCCTACTCGGCGCACGACGTCAGAAACGAGCGCTGCTGAGCCTTCTGCTGCTAGGTCCCCACCACCCTCCCTCCCACGGCGTGCGGTTGAACCGGAACCCGAGGAACCACAAGGGGAGTGGGCAGAGGTCTTGTATGATTATAGTAGTGAGGTGTGATGCATTCAGTTGCAATCAATGTGTTCACTCGAACTGAGCCATCTTCATTTTGTCACATTGTAGGATCCTGGCGATTTAGAAGTTCAATCTGGCTCTCGTGTACTTGTGACTGCAAAGTCTTCTGATGACTGGTGGGTTGTCTTTGGATTTGGATTTTGAATGTTGCGCAAGTCGCTGAATTTTAATTCAGGTGGACGGGTCAGATAGAGGGCCAAGGAAAGGAGGGATTGTTCCCTGCCTCATACGTGAAACTGTTGTAATATTTATTTGACATTGATGCATACTATATCGTTTCACATGTAATGCGGCAAGTAGACCTACAGCAATCGGACAACTACTTATCCAGTCATTACAAACGGGCTTGAAATCATAGTATATATTTATGTAGACATCCTCTGAACTACAAGTAATTGACAAGCAGTATGGTCATCTCACGGATACAGAACGAGAGTAGGAATAGAACTACAGTGGTCTCCATGTCACCGAGAGAATATGTCCAGGGAATGAGATGAAGTAGAAAACGAGTCCGAGGGTGGGTAACATGATGTCCAGAATACGATAGGTGATAGTGATGTGCCATGAAACAACGTGAAGATCGATGCAGAAATGGGTGGTTAAATGATGTATGAAAACGCGTCCGTCACCAGCCGGTCGAGATTCAAACGTCAAGTAGATTTTGGTTGGCCGTCGCTCGAAAGATCGCAGACTTCGAGTGTACCAGTCTATGGAACGCATTAGCCCCATGAACGGGGGGATTGCGTTCTACAGGCTCGGCAACGCTCACCACAGAAGGACCCATCGACCCCTTGCCAGAGAGGTCACATGTCGGTTTCTCTTTCTCCTGACCCTTGATCGCCGCGCTCCACATGCGACTAAGGAATCCGTTGGAAGACATGCTGACGCTTGCTTTCATACTGGAAGCAGGAATACCAGATCCGCCAGCGGAATCAGCATCGGATTGATTCCGATTGACGTTCGACGTGCCGTATACGTAGGAGCTCGCTCGCTTACCGGCAGCACGGTTGACGACTCTAATCGCGCATATGTCCAAAGGAGCGGGCGGGTTTTGAGGAGAAGGAGAGTCGCCTGCTCGGACGGTTGCTATAGATCGGACTGAGCCTGCTGCGGATACCTTTCGTCCTTCTCTGTGGGCCTGCGGCGGGATACCACCCAAGACGAACGGTTTCCTTACGACATTTGGCTTCTCGTCTGCATCTGGCTCGTCGTCAGAGACGCTGCTAGCTGAATCAGACGAAAACCCAGAGTCCTCCATTAACGATTCCATCTCGGAGTCAGTTGCACTTGAGCTGTCGCAACTATGCACACTCGATATTGGTGATGCGATGCAAGAAGAACGACCATGTGCACCTCCAAGACGGCTGCTCGAGAGACGCCTTGCAATCCCGCGAACTGTGGACACAATAGAAGATCCAATGGGAGGTTGAAGCGGAACTTCGCTAGGTGGAGTTGGTAGTTGTGCCTGGGCGCGGGCTTTGCCTGCTTTTGAAACTCGCTCGACTGCCGCTGCACGGGTTTCCTGCTGCTGGGGAGTTAACGGGCAGACAATACGCGTAGGAATAAAAGGCGCGAAGTGGATGCACGCTTCCTGCTCGTCGAAGCGGAGGTCGTATCCCAGTATATAGAGAAGCTGTTCCTCCATGAGGTTCACCTCTGGGAGGTCAAAGTGTTCAGCGTATGCCGCCCAATGTGTGTTTTTGGGAGATGAGTCGTTGAGGTACTTGGCTGCTACGATCAACGTCGCCAGGAAGACGCGGTGCCGGGTACATGGGCGGCCTAAAATCATGATCAGAAATTGAATGGAAAATATTCTATGCCACATACCCTTGGTCATGGCAGGTACTTTGACACGCACGCGGTGCAAGTAAATGAGGGTGGTGAGCAACGTGGGCACCTGAACGTTCGACCTGTTCACTAAGCGCATGATGAAGTTCACAAGACTCGGCAGTTTTGGCGTCACTTGGGCGGGGGGAGTGATATTTTGTGTCTCGGAGAAAGGGGCTTTGACCGGCGTCGTAGGGGGTGTTGGGAGGGCACTGGGAGCAGGGAGTTGCTCGCTGATCATGATGGCTCGCGATGCTTGATGGGCGATGTAAGAGATCATCTCCATTGAGACTGGCCTACGCATAAGTTCTACAAGGTAAGGATTATGAAGGGATCTTGGGAGGAGGGACGCTGGGTGACGGCGGTCTAAGGACATTTCTGAAGGGAGTGGACGTTATAGATATTGTTGTGTTGCCCGGCGGCGGGCAAATGAAGCAAAGAAAAGAAAAGACAAGGAGCAAGATTCTCGCGGGGCGAGCTTATGAGGGGGCGGGATCTGGCGTGAATACCTGCCACAAACAACAAACAGCGCGATACGCGCCGAGATCACGAGACTAAAATCAATATGATGATACCGCCGGAGCCAGCGACGAGGACGTTAACAACAAGCTGCACGAGCAATGAGTAGAGGAGAGCACAGAGCAAAGAAAGACCATATTGAAGACCCTGACCTTTATAAACTTGATGTTAATTACGAACGAGACCGCCAGACTGAGCAGCTGCAAATTTGAGCAGTCTTTGAATTCACAACCTTGTTCGTATGTGGTCTTACACTGTGAGTCCGACAGTCAAGATATTCTTTGCCGGCTGAACGTTCGACTGTATGAGAGTGAATTGACCCTTGAGAGTTGCGGTGTCAGCCGCGGCAGATCGCGTGCGCTACTACTATCCCATTTCTTGTTTTCCCCATGTTGACATTGTCAGACTGGATCACCACTCTTTCATTGGTGTTTGGAGGCTGCTGCAGGCGAGTAAACTTGAACTAAAACTCATTCTGACGCTAATTCAGTAACGTGGCTCAGTAATGCCATCACCCTAGAACACATCACATCTCGATACCCGAATGCAGGCGTCCTGATCACCTTCTTCCAGTTCCTCATTGTATCATTATATGGACTTCCCAAACAATTTACATTCAACGACCACTCAGAACCTAAACATGTAGCAAGTGGTACTGTGTCTGCTCCTACAACACCGCGCAGGAGATGGATTCCTCGGCTGAAGAACCGGAAGGTACCTTTGCTACCTTATTTCGTCCAGGTCGTATTGTTCTTCGTACTGTCGACTCTCAACAATGCTGCTTTTGCATACCACATCCCCATGACTGTGCACATCGTATTTCGCAGCGGTGGCATGATCATAAACATGATGCTGGGATGGATATTCACGAAGAAGCGGTTGGTGTTCTGCTACAGCATTTCCAAATTGTTTACTCATTCCAAAGAAATGCCAGATATACTGTGCGACAAGTGACTTCTGTCGTCGTCGTCACAGCTGGCATCATAATGACAACGCTCTCTGCCTCAAAACCCAAATCTCGTGCTGCTGAAGTAGACATACCTGATGTCTCACTCTACGCAATGGGCATATCCATCCTTGGCCTTGCCCTCGTCCTCTCAGGTTTCCTTGGACTCATTCAGGACTGGGTTTATGCACGATACGTCGCGCCCGCTGAAGCTAAAGCTTCTTCCGACCCCGCAGGACAATCTTTGTGGCAGGAACATATGTTCTATCTCCACTCCCTCGCTCTCCCCTTGTTCTACTTCTCCAAAGATAACATATCCACGGAGCTCACACGCATGGGTTCTAGTCCACCTATTTTCCTTTCCCTGCCGCAGTCTGGGCCTCTCACACCATACGAGGCAGGCTTCGTCGTGCCCTCAATTTTTATCTACCTCCTCTTCAACACGTGCACGCAGCTCGTGTGTGTCGTAGGAGTCAACAGGCTCACTGGGCGTGTATCTTCACTAACTGTGACCCTCATTCTTACTGTGCGCAAGGCCATTTCGTTATTGCTGAGCATCGCAGTCTATGGAGGACAGGGAAATACGGAGATGTGGGTCGGTGCTGGATTGGTATTCATTGGGACTATCGGATATTCGACTGGAAGAAAATCAAAAGACCAAAAAGAGAAGAGAGATTAGCGGGAGCATCATATTACTAGATGAGCTTTAACGAGGATCTTCTTATAGTTCACGCATACTATAAAAGTATGTGCACCCATTCAATTATGATCAGGCAATACTGCTGATTATCATCTGAATGGGCTATACTAGTAGTATACATGATATATATTTATAGCTGCGATGATACCATATACATAACCAACTTGAACATAGAATTCGCATGTGAATAGCATGCGATTGATCATCAAAGAGCTAGCAATTATGAGGATCCTCCATTCCCATTCCCTACAAGTCCTGCGAGAACACCACCAGCAATCAACGCGCCCTTGACGAATTGCATAGGTTTGTTTCGACCAGCATTCTGAGGGTGTTGACTAGGATGATTCTGTTGCAAGTTTCCCTGAGCATGATAACGTGCGGGATGAGCGGAGTGTCCCGCCTGAAATTGGGGCAAATAGGCATGGTGAGGAGCAGTGCTGTGACCATGGTTCACAGCATGCTGGGCTGGTATTGGCGGACCCTGCGACTGCATAGTATGAGTGGCTGTCCCGAAGGAGGGGTAGGCACCATGATTTATATACGGCTTCTGGGTGTGAGATATGCGAGGTTGAGCAAGTGGATGTATGCCCTGCGGAGGAGCGAAATGAACAGACGGGTGATGTTGTGAGGACGATGTAGCAATAGGTAGTTGAGAGGTTTGAGATGCTATGGGGTGGATGGATTGTCCGGTTTGCTGGGTCGGGGTGGGATGGCCTGATGCGGTAAAATGGTCAAAAGACGTTTCACTGAGAGGAATAGACGCACTTGTCTGTGCGTATCCTATCGGCATCGAGTTGGGAGGGCGACCAGTATTTGTGGTGCCAGACATCACGAATGCCGAGGTTTGTTGCAGCTGAGCCATTGGTTGTGAACCCTGAGCCGCACCTTGAAATTGGTTGAAGTCTACTCCGTTCCCTGTGGTCTGATAAAACATGTCATATGTTTGGCGATCCCCGACAAACACCTGGTCCCCTTGATAGTATGTTGCATCAAAGGAGTCCTCGACGAACATCTGGTCTACTTGAATGTTCGCCGTAGGATCAGATAAGTCCTCGGTAAAAGTTTGGTCTATTTGAATGTTCGTTGTAGGGTCAAAGAAGTCCTCGTAATACGTCTGGTCTCCTTGATAGTATGTTGTGTCAAAGGAGTTCCCGGCACTGGCAAACGTCTGGTCTACTTGAATGTTCGCCGCAGGGTCAAACAAGTTCTCGGTAAATGTCTGGTCTTCTTGATAGTATGTTGTATCAAAGGAACTCCCGGAAAACGTCTGGTCTACTTGAATGTTCGCCGTTGGGTCAAAGAAGTCCTCGGTAAATGTCTGGTCTTCTTGATAGTACGTTGTATCAAAGGAGCTCCCGGCAAACGTCTGGTCTACTTGAATGTTCGCTGTAGGGTCAAAGAAGTCCTCGGTAAACGTCTGATCTCCTTGAAGGTTCGCCGTAGGGTCAAATCCGTTCCCTAGAATATCGCCAGTCCCCATGTTAGGATCGAACTGACCATCTGCAGGGTTTCCAATCGTCATCCCATCCATAATTCCAGTGATATCATCAACAATATCCCCACCGCCAAGTGTCTCGACAAGCACAGCCTCACCGAGCAGACCAAGAACACCTCCTGCTAGACCTGCCGCGATATTTTTTCCAAGTCCCCTGCTAGAGTGAACTGGTTTAGCAGGTGTACGTAGTGCTCTTGCATGTTGTTGTGGGGGTAGCGGCGAGGCCTGTGGTTGGAAATCCTCACGCGGTGAATGGTAAGGAGCCTGTCTTGTTGGTGATGCATCCTGAGATAGCTGGGATATGAGCCCTGCAGGACGACTATTGGTTGACGGTGCGGATAAGACCAGTGGGCCCTGAGAATGCTGGAAGAAGGAAAGCGAAGGAAGAGGTGAAGAAGGAGAAGGTGCAGAATTTATCTGCGAGGTCGTTCCAGCAGAAGTAGTAATAAAAGGTGGAATACCCGTTGATGAAGGAGGAGATGTGGGCTCTGCCCTGACTCTGGGAGGAAGAGGCAGGCTCGTTGGCTGGTGGCTGCTCCCAGGTCGAAGAGGCAAGGAAGTTGCTGGACCAAAGTCGACCGGATTCGTAGGTGATGCCCTTGGGTTCAATGTATGAGGACGTACAGGCATCGTGGGTGGAGGCGCACAAGCTGTAATTGGCGTTGGTGTCGAAGCTACAGGATGCCTCGATGCAAGAGCACGATGCCTCAGTATAGGAGCCAGATGCCTCGGTGGAAGAGCAGGATGCCTCGGTGGAGGAGTCAGACGCATCGGTGGAACAGCAGGGTGCCCCTGTGGAGGAGCAAGCAATGGGGCTGCTATAACGGGCGCTGGTGAAGAAGCTACAGGACGCCTCGGTGGTAGAGCAGGCAATGGCGATGCTGTGATGGGCTTTGATGTAGAAGATACAAGCCGCCTTGGTGGAAGAGTAGGCAATGGCGCTGTAAAAAAGGTCTTCGCCGAGGTACCATTGTGCGGGGAGACCGCTTGGGAAATAGGAGGATGTGGTATGTCCTGACTAGGTTGCCTGTCTGAAGCTGTCTGTTCAGATAGTATTCGAGATGACGATGAAGCTTCCATGTACGGGCACGATGATGACTTGTCAGACAACTCAGGCATCGAGTCCTCTGCAAAGTAACCATACGGTTTCTCCTTAATACCTTCAGGCGCTTTTCCAGTGGGATATGACGCTACGTCTGGCATAGCCAACGAGGTTTGCAAAGATCCCGAAAGAGGTTCTGGAAAAGCTGCACGAGGGGTACCAGCAGATGAGGGAGTATCTGCACCTGTTGAAGGTATGGCCCCAGATACAGTATCGGACTCATGCGGTGTGGATGAGGGTACGTCAAGAAGTGCTAGCGCTGAGTGTGATTCAGCGTGATACGTGCTCGTCCTAGTCATGCTGTGCATGGACTGCGACTTGTCGAAGTCTAGGGGAGGAGGTTGCTTGTCAACGAGGGAATTCAATGGTGCTTCTTCGGGACCACCGACATCAAGACTCTCAGTCTGTATAGGTGCAGGAAAGGGATCACTAGGTCGGGTCACAGACTTGGGATTAGAACTGATGGCAGCCATACAAGCTGAAGCTGTTGAATCATCTAGCGGAACAAGTGAAGCTACAACATTGTTCGCGCTCTCAAGCCGCAAAGGGGCGTCTAGTGACATCCAGCTGTCTGGTGTCACATACGTTGTACCGGTTGGGCTCCCCACCTGACTTGACTGTCGGGGGTCAGTAACTGGCGATAGCAGAGGCCCATCAGGGATTTCCGCTGAAACTGAGCCACGCCTAGAGGATGCTTGCACGCCGTGAGGCGCTTGAATGGGAACTGAGGAATAGGCTATACTTGAAGCGGAACCTGTTGCTGACTGAGCTCGAGGGTGCGGAGCTCCTGGGGAATTGGTGCCTAGGCCAGGTACCGGTGACTGAAGATCAAGTTTTGAGACACTCCCATGGTAGAAATCAAGGGTAGAAACAGTTTGAGGAGTGTCATTGTGACCTCTATTCAGCAAAAGATGTGCTGTATCACCATAAGAAGCCCCGGCCAGAACTCGGTTACCTGATTCTCCAGGTCCAGAGGAAAGCTGCTGGCGGGTCTGGGCTTTGGACTGCTTGCTTAACGAGCTGGCATGCATGCGCTGGGCGTGTGATTGACCGCGTGTAACCGCAGAAGCACCAATGGGAGACTGTAAATTTGACCCCGGTTGTTGACGAGAAGGTCTCTCTAGCTGCTGACGCTCGATGGTGTATTGCAGAACAGGTTGTCCAGAGACAACAGGGCGCTCATATGCTTGCGCAGGAGTGACTGGTGCTGCATAATTGGTCGAATTAGATGTAGCCCTGACAGTAGTCGGAGACTGCAAATTTGCCTGAGTCTGTTGGTGAGACAACCTTGATCATGAACAAAAACGTTTAGAACCCCCCACTGATAAATTCTTTTCAATCCACTCACCAGTTTATGCCAGCCTGTGCAGAGTGACCGTCTGCAGGATCGTTACCAGTATAAATACTCATGTATAGTGGGGAGCGGTTGAAACACTGCAAGATCAGGCAGATAAGAAACCAATTGTACTATATCATCAACCCAGTGCGAGGTGCCCACGAACATAACGGGACCTTTTCCAAGTTCGTCTGCCATTTGCCAGGCCTTCAAGCTTCAAGCTTCAGGACCTGTATGTAAAATCTGTGACCGACTCGGATGCTGATAAATAGAGAACGGACCGATGATGCTCCGCAAGGCCATGAAACCAAGCACCACATGAATTAAGCAAATGATTCTAGCACATCCTCATGTACTGGCAGTTTCTTCCCTCGAATGACGATGACCACCAGCATGGACTGTAAATTGACTTCACCCAAGCAGAGCTCTCGCCGCGGTTGGTGAGTGGTGACATCTATTGTGGAGCGTAATATGGAAGGAGAGGATGGAGCCTATTGAGTGGGAGAGCAAGAAGGCGGAGGGGGGCAGGTCGACTCGTCACTCAACCCCAGTGAAAACCCACTGTTCTGAGAGTGGCTCTCGAGGTTGCGTAAAATTGTCTGTACTAAGCGATGCGATCTCGACAGACTAATAGCACGTGTGCTGTGATTGGCCACCTGTGTGCATGCAATATCAGTACTCAAGAGTCAACGGTACCTCGAGCGCAAGCTAAAACAGACTGTATCAGTTATTCGTACCTATCTTCCCTATCCCATACAGGACAGCCTTGGGCCGCCTGGCAGCAAGCATGAGAGGGCAGAGCTCGGGAGTTTTGCCAACGCGGTGCCTGGTCCACGGAAACTCTCGCGCGTGCAGGTACTCGCGGAGATACAATAGATCTAGACCGACGTCCCACTTATGCCAGTGCATGGCTTGCCTTCAACTCTACCCCCCTGAGCTGTCGCATGTGACGAATGTCTTCTCTAGGAACTGTTCAATTCTATTGCACGACATCGTCTTCATGCCCTCCTCTGCAACCTTTTTGCGCAACGTGCTAGTTCATGGGTAGTCGGGGACTGGCGCGACTTAGAGCCATTTCAATGAAGAAACCAGACCTATTCTTACGATAGCAATGATGTATACACGTGTGCACATATGTACAACAACACCAGGGAACGGAAGTTATCATGATTCTTGACCAGTCGCCATACCCCAAGTCTTTTTCATCAGCTTAGCAGCAGGGCTCGTCGAACCTTCGATCTTGGCAAACCCGACTGTACCCAACGTCTCTTGGTAGTTTCGCAAGTAGGGAGAGTACTGTGCCAAATATGATTATTAGTCTATGAACACCAGGCTTGAAGAAACACTTGCCGTTCTGCAAAAATGTCGGTACCAACCCCACGTCTCCCACGTGTTCCATTCGTCTGCGGTCCATGTGCCTCGTGTTTCCCAAGCTTGCTCTGTGATCACTGTCTCAGCATAAGGATTTTGGCGCCCTGCAGATGGGGATGGCGCCAAGCATGATACAAAGCCTTCGATCGTTCGTGCCAAAGCTCCTTTCTGCTCGCGCGTGAGGCTTGCGAATGCCTTCAGTGCCACCGTCAACTGAGGGTTCTCTGAGGCGGAGTCATCTGAGACCCTCTGATCAGCCATAAGCAAGTATAATAACTTGTTGAAGAGTACCTTGCTTGAAAGGCTTGACATCCGCATCCATCTCGATGGATCCAACGTCTGCACCAACGCTCGCCTTCACTCGCGCAACACTATCATCGTGCTCTTTTCTCAGCGCAGCAACCTTCCTCCTGGCCACTGCGACTCTTCCATTCGCCTTGTCTAACGCGCCTTTTAATAAGTCCCATTCAAATGCGCTCAGGCTCATCGGTCGCATTCCACTGAAATGCGCATCCCCTCCAACATTCTCAAACGTCCAACCAACCACATCTGTGGGGTCGACAATCTGGTATTGCATAAGCTTGTCAAACACAATATTCACCATCTGTCGATTCAAGCGCCAAAATGACGCGACAGCACTGAGAATATCCTGTTTGGACTCTGCATCGGTGTCGGCGAGTCCTCGCAGGAGCGGCAGGTAGCGCTCAATCGCGTTGAGGAGATGTGAGAAGGACCGTGAGCCAATAGAGAGCAGGCAATGAATCGAGATCGACCGAATAGTGTTGTCTACGTGTAGGTGAGTACCCGAGGACTCAAGTGTAGTCTTCAGCGACTCAATGTGCGACAGCACTTCGTTGGCTTTGGAACGTCCACGCAGCAGAGAAAGGATTGATTGGGCAGTATCGTAGTGCGGATGAGCTATAGACGAACGTTAATGACAAGGATACACGAAGCAAAGGAGCATACCTGGGTCCTCGTACTCAAAGGCCGGTCCTGGAGTCTGATCAGAAATGACGGTGGTGTCGTTCTGCATAGGCTCCGGTAAAGTCTTCAACACTCGGTCGTGATACGACAACCGTATCTCGAACTCCAGTGCTCGGCGTATGAAGGTGCGTTTAGGGTGCTGCTCCGAGAGCTCCAAGTCGGGTAACCTGTAAGAACATTTCAGCATTCGGCTCATGCAGTATGATTTGCAAAACGTTGACCATTCTTTCCAAACCCATTGGAAACCGAAATTACTCATGTGCACCGCGAACCACTCTGCAAAGCGTCGAGCGTTCTCCACATCGAACCCGTCCCCAAGAGCAGTGTACAACCTGCGTATCGACTTTCCAACGGCGGGGCCGACAGTTGACGGCGAGAGCTTGCATAATTCGGTAATCAGGGCAATGTGGTAGACTGTTTTATGCGTGGATTCTGGGAGGAGGTAAAGAGAGCCCAAGATGGCCTAATGGAGTAGGTCAGACAACACAGAAACAAAAGCAAACTGGGCTTTACCTCTATAACAGTGCTCTCCAACTGCCAATTCTTCCCAGACTCAAATTCAGGCTCAGGAGCCCCAGGTTTTGGCTTAAATGTACCAGGAACACACCATTTTGGATACTCGAGGAGGAGACGGGCGCATTCTTTGCGATTGATCTCAAATATGTCGATCGTATCGAGGATTTGGGACCGCACAAGGAATCCAGCGGGCGTGGCAGAGTCTGGGGTCGTCTAAAATGCGTTTAGATAGATTATTAGTCCTCGGAAAAGAAACACGCACCTCATTGTCGAATAAGTGAAAAAAATACTGTGGCCAGTCTTCTTTCTTGACCTGGGCGTCTTCACCAGCATCTGTAGCCAACCCGTCAAGTTCAATGACTTCAGGCGGTACCAGTATTGCAGGCAACTCAAAAGGAGCAGATACTGTGGGATCCAAGTCAGGGAAATCGAGGTAGGGCTGCGGAAAGCTCTCGGATGCTTCTAAGAATTCAGAGGAGTCAAGAGCTTTTAGCACGAAGAGCCCCGTGTCAATGACCTTGACACCGGATGAGTCACATTCTGATGTGCAATGAAAAAAGCGGACCTCGTCAGCGTTTTCCAAAGACCTATGTTCTGTGAATAAACTCATTACAGGCTGGACAAGCAGCTTGGGTGAGTAGATAGAATCATTGTAATTTTGAACGGTCTTGATTATCTCAGTAGTGTTGGAAGACGAGCTCTTTGCCATTACTGCACCGCTCTGCGAAAGGAGTTAGTGGGATGCTTGGTATGTTCCAGAGAAAATAGCTACAATTATCAGACCCTCAATAGCACAGAGAGCTGCGTTTCTGCCGCGTCCGTAGGAAACACCAAACTCATCGAGGACAGCAGCGAACGACTGGAGGAGCGCAGACATGGATTCGATGGAGATGACTTGAGCCACCGTCAAATGCGCAAAGAAGTGAATCTATGCATCATAAATCAAGGAGTTAAACTCTGAGGTCTGGAAACAATGCTCACACATTGTCGAACATCTCTCCATGCAAGCTTGTCTAGGTACCCCTGGAAGCCCTTCCAAAAATCTTCCAGGACCTGCTTGCCAAGAGACGAACTTGTGGAAGATTCGGCATTTTCGCCTTCAGTGGGATCGTGCAAGAGGCGGAGAAGGGCTGCGTAGTAGGGAATTTTGTACGGTTGTTCAGTCACACTGAGGAGTCGTCAGCAAAATTTGAGAAGAGAAGAATAATGCATTCACGCTATCCTAATGCCCTCAGATATGACTGGCACCGAAAGTGGCACCTGTTCGCGGATTTGTTTCGCTAACCGCGGCAGTTCTTGGACAACGTCCTGAAACAGCCAGTCATGAGTGTCGGTGACAACAACATTTGGTGTGAGATTGGACTCACCACTTCTCCTAGTTTTATAATTGTATTCTTGAGTATCTGCTCAGGGGATTCGAAGGATTCGCGGGTTCGCCTGTCGTGCGCATCATAATCGTCTGGTCCACATATTGGTTCAAGTTGTTTGTTGATTCACGACATGCCTCACCTTTGTAGCGCCGACGATTTCCGCCCCCGCGATGAGGTCTGTCGTAGTGTGATCTATCGTAGCTCATGTTTCAGCCAAAAATTAGCAACTGTGTTCTGCGATTCTTTGGACGTCGCCGTCTGGTAAGTTCATAGACGCTGACCTGTTCTTCCAAATTTCCCAAAACTGTCACGTGGATCGGAAGTTGCCTTTCTTGGTTATAACCTTCCCAAAACCTTGCGCGACGAGGAACGTCGCTGAGTACTGACGACGTTCTCCACAACACCCAGCCAAATTCTTGCGAAAAGGCAGCGGAATAGTCTGAAGTTACTCAGTTGATTGAGACCACTGCCTCTAGGCAAACTGGTGAGTTTTGAAGCGTCTTGCGCATATTAGGATGTGTGACTTAAATATGCTGGTAGGCATGAGAGACACATGCAATGGATTTGGTCACAAGCCGCCTATAGCATTCGATCTTATACCAGCTGCGCGGCCCTCCCTGTGAGAGGATCGACCTCTTGCATTCGTCCTCCGTCAAATGCTCTTAAACCTTATCGACCGCATTCACCCCTGCATAGACCATTTTCACTTTCTTGCAAATATTTTTCTCCACCGCAAGCACATCTACTTCCGCGCTCCTCTCATAATGATACCAAAAAGACTGGTGATCCTGCATCCCCACCTTCGCCTGCAACAGCTTCCGAAATATCCCTTGCCGCAGCCCGTGCCGTCCGAATGTCTTGCACGAATGGTGCTATTGCCGACGCATCGTTCATAGTCAACTCTCTGCGCCGTTCCAACCTTCCTGCGCAACCTTCTGTTAATAAGGGCAGGGGCTTACTCATGCCAAAACTCGACTACGAACCTATCGACTTTGGTCAACCCGTCTCATCAGCTCTATCTGCTCATTGTTTGTTGCACCACTTCGTACGCCAACGCATGTCGTTGAAAGCATGTAAACTTGCAGAGCAGCTCATGCAAGATGGAACTCATATTCGTGCTTCCACGCTGCACGCAGTCATTCGGTGTCAAACGGAAAGAGTCAACGGTGGCAGATTCTTACAGTCTCAAAGACCCTCACAGCGAGACCCGTTGTGTATTAAACCGAAGCAGGTCGAAGACCAAGGCACGCGCCTTGCTCTTCAGCTCCTTCTCCATGCACGACAACATCGACAGCGCTGTCATGAAAACACCTACCAGTTCATCATCAATATTTGTCTCGTTCAAGGCGAAATTATCGTAGCGTCGCTGTTATTCGTACTGCTGGTCAAAGACTGGGAGATGAAGCGAGCAGCTACCCAACTACGAGAACAGGGGGCAGCATGGACTCACGCACTTCCAACTCGGCATGGAGTCGGATCACTACACGGCAGCCCTCCTTCACAACACATGCTGAAGATGATACTCTCCAAGGCGCAGAAAGAAATTATGCTTGATCCAGCAGAAGAATCTAATGGGCCACGACGTGAAGCAGCTCTTCAAGCGCTCTGTAATATCTCCGGCCTTCTTGATGCGCGGTCACTTCCTTACACCGATGTATCATCCGTAATACGCTCCCTTTACTCAGTGCCCAAGGATCCCGATAAAGTATGGGTCACAAAGTTCGGCAAGAGAACACAGGTGCAATCTTACGAGTATACCCATCATGTTATTCTGCGACTGGCAAACGACTTCTCAAGTTCATCCAAAGGCGCCCGCCTGGAACAATTTGGCATCATGCCTGCGCTTAGTCTCGAGTCTTACAACGCCCTCCTACACTACGCATTGCGTCATCGACAATCCATCCCTCTTGCTAAAAGACTGTTACATCACATGGAGCACGAGCGCAAACCACCTTTAAGGCCAGACATCACAACATACAATGTGATTATCAGGTCCGGTTCCTTGTTGAGGCGGAACGACCTTACCGAGTTCGCCCTCCAACGACTGCGTGGGCTCGCGGAGAACAATCGACATGCCATTAGGATACAGCCGCCACCATCACTGGCAGTCGCTCATAATGGGCCAAATGTAAACAGAACAGAGTCCAAGTGGGTAGTGACCTTGCAGAAGGATGGACTACCAGCCTCGCAGAAACCACTCAAGGCCGACGCATTCACGCTTACGAAGCTACATCCAGCATCTTACAGCCACAGGGAACCCCGACGTCATCGCTGACATCCTTTTCCATGTTCTTCCCGAGTTGTCCATCATCGACCACCCATCATGGGGCTCTGTTACAGACGAACAACTGATTATTATACGGATGCAAACCCGCCAGATGCGTCTCATGCGTGCTGTCTCCCTCGGACCATGGTTTTTCACCGCTGTCCTCAATGCTCTTTGCAAGGCTGGGAAAACAGGGCTTGTGGAACGTGTGTGGTTGCTTGCAAAGCAAGCCGAGCGTGCAAGCTTGACAGGTGCTATGGGAATTGATGGCAATCCTGTGAAACCTTGGTGCTTGCCCATTCAAGCATATACGATAATGCTACAATGCTATGGCGCTGAAGCACGGCGCGGTCTTGAGTTGCATTACACCTCCCGGCCAAGCATAAATGACTGGGCTCCCAAGGTCGGAAGCAAAAAAGCGCGAGGTTGGGCAAGTTATGTACTTGCTCAAAATGCGGCTGCTCGCAAACACAGATCTCGTCGTACCCTTGCGTTACTCATGGGTGCAACGCTGTATCGAATCATGTGCCATGCTGGAATGGCTATCTGCAATGCCTTGTCTGAGTTGCAGAATGTAGACAAAGCTACTCTCAATCCCCCTCGCCCAGATGCCCGTTTCTTCAATGCTGCCCTTCAGATGTTCGGTCGGCAACCTAGGACTTTCCAGCGGTCAAGCCGCACAACCCCGGCGCACTGGCGACGCAAGGTTACCATTGGAAATGTTCAGTTCTCTAAGCTAGGCGCGAGGCCCAGAAACTGGAATCCATTTCTAAATAGGATTGTGAAGGAAATGCATGCTCTTGGATTCAAGGTTCCATCAGGCTTCAGACGCTTGTTCGTCGGGCAGTGGCCTTATGGCTTCGAGGAACATCGACACCGGCCCCAGCTTAATGAACAGCCATTCGCATTCCCAAAGTCGCGCAGGTCTCCGTTCCGACCGCACGCGCTACGGACACTGAAGACGCGCGGTCTACCCGTTAGGCGGACGATATGGAGGGCGCTTGGTGGGAGGTATCGGTGGAAGCACAGATGGAGAAGAAAGTTGCAGAATGGAGGAAAAGTACGATAAATGTGTATAATATCTATCTGCCCACAACTAGGAACTATAAATCTCCTTGTCATGACGGCATTTTTTGGAACGACATGGTAGTGGTAGTTTTCTGAATGTCGCGTGCTTTCCACTCCTTCGCAATGTCTAATAGCATTGACGCGATCTCCGATACGCGGGCTGCCATTTCATCGGGCTTGGGCAATTTCTGACCTTTCCTCGGTGTAATGACGATGTCCACCCGGTATCCCTTCTCCAACTCTGCACGTGCCTTTGTGATCTTGTGCTTTAAATCCCCATCATCGACGCCCCAAGTGATCTGTATCTCCTTCTGCTCGCCTGCTTTCATGCTCTTCCTGAACGCCTTCTTCTGTTCCTTCCACTTCTGGTATGAGTCGCGTCTGTCCACAATCTTTACGATAGGCTCTGGCTCTTCCGTAACCAACTCCACTCGAAAAATCTTCAGGTCCACAGATTTGAGAACATCAGATAGACGAGTTGGAGGTTCAAGTTTGCCCGTTTCGGGATCGACGAGGCGGACGACTCGAAAGGGTATTTTGTCATCGCCAGTGCGGCGTGCTGGGCCAGCCGAGGCATACGTCCGAACGAAGGACAAACTTGGAGACCAGAGAGACTTAAGCACTTCAACTTTGCGGCATGGAGGTAGTATTCGGTGACACGAGAGTGTCAATACCCGAAATACAGCAGAAGTGAACATAACACCTGTAGGCCTTAAATTTTATGAGCATGAAATCATGCACCCCAAACGAACCTCACCTAGACCTCGATGCCGTGTCACCGTCCAATTCTGAATTGGTAAATGCTTTCAACTTCAAACTAAGCTAGCGGTTGTTTGTCCTTGTTGAATGTCAAAGTCTTTGCACAACAAGAACAAATATATTTGCATTTACTCTTAACATTTTTTTTTTCCGGTTGATCTCAATTGATCTCTCATGCACCGATTGACGCTAGTACTGGTGAGTTGGATTTTCTCTTGCTTTGCTTGAAAAGAAAGCATCGACATGATGATACCCTACCTTCCACGAGCGCAGGGACTTACAATCCAGTCCCTTCGTCACCTAGCAGGTGGACTCGTATTGAGGCTGCTTGCATATACAGGTGCAGGAGTGGGCGCTTCTGCGCAGTGATACGTGAGGTTATAGTTATTTGATCGAAAATTCTCATTTCTTTATTGATCCATATTGAGCCGTATCGCTAATTGTTTTCACAGATGTATGCTATGTAATTGTCAGTGATCTGTCAATATTCTACGCCTTTACCACGTGGGTGTCATTTCTATCCAAGTCAGCCGGTAGGATGAATCTTACATCACGGGAGCATGGGGATGCAGAAGCACCCAGTCACTCTTTTGTTCTGTGCTTCCCCTCGTCTTGAGGAGAGGTGCAAATGGGCGAGGGAGAGGCGTTCTATGCCGAGATCTTTGTTGCAGTTATAGTTATTTTGACCGACTTCTGTTTATTATGATTCAGTTATTTCGTATGCTGACTATTGTCTTTCATACAGGTCTGAGGCGGTAGTATGATATGTCGATCCACGTACAGTACATGAATGACTACGATTTGTAATACCAGTAACTTACTAGCAGTCAATCTTGACATTAATAATGTTCGCAGCAAAGACTACGTTGGCATGATTCTTGGAGATGGCCAGACTCCAAAATGCAAGGGATGGTGGTTGGTATTACACTTGGCATGAGAATCTCTAGCTTTTCATTGGCTGAACGGCCGGTCCGCATCACTCCCGAACTCGTTTGCAGCATCGGGAGGGTGTACTTTCAACTCGTTAGTCCGAACTGTATTTACCAGAATTCTCCCCTCCACCTCACCTGAGCGGCAAGGTAGTTGCAGCGAAAGTGCAGCAATCCCCCGAGTTTGAGTCAGTCAGATCCCTCCGCATTTTCGCTGCATCGAAGCACCTCACCTCCCCGGGCCGCCCAAGAGAGCCATATCATACCAACCAATGGCACACTCGTAACAATCTCATTTCCTATTTCCTTCTTTTCCAGTCTGGAACACGCTCTACCCAGCTCCACTGACTTGCCCAGACCAACCTCTCATCATGATTCTAATACCCTTTCTTGATGCAGGCTGATGGATGTCGATGAATCATATAGGACCCAAATCATTGCCTCCTTTTGTCTGGGTACCTCCCGCTTCCCGACATGCATCTTATAATCCTTGCACTTCATTCAAGTTGGCAATATACATTAATCCTGCTAGCCCCACGCAACGATGATTTTAGTGTTGCAATATCGAGTGTATCATGTGATTCTTTCATTAACTTTGTCAACTTTATACCTAGCATTGAGCTTGAATTTACGGTTGTCCGACTGAACGATACTCTGAAGTTGCTCTGAAACTCAACTGTGCGCCGGTTCATGTCAGAGAATTCAACTCAGAGGTCACGAGTCAGCAAGGTTTATATAGTATGTCTCATGAGTCCGCACAGTTCATTCATTTTCCTTCTCCATAGCCTGGATGGATGAAAATCTATCTGACTAACAATTATCAGCCATCCCAGCTTCACACATCGCAGTCACTTGGGTGCTCAGACAGAAAAATCGGTAGTGATACAACAATGCTTGACCTAAACCTTTCAAATATACGTCAAAACACCATGTCAAATAAATACCGCGGCGACCAAACTATGCTTCCCTGCGGAACACTCGACAAGCACTTCCTACGAGTTACACAGTACTGCTAGTTGATATATGTACATGCTCCTGGAAGACAATCGAATTCATGCTGGTTTCTGCGTCGGAGTTGGCCACAAGTTTAGCATGATACGCTCGAACGCTAAGGATGAGGCGTGGTCCCAGCACAAACATCTGCACTCTCCATAAAATTTGAAGAGCACCAAAGAGTATCTGATTTCCAATAGAATTCGAATTCTACAGAGATCATGAGCAGTGGTGACAAGCAGATGTCGACGACAGGTCTACGCACCGTGAGCATTGGAGAGAGAACCACAAGCTCGAGGCAAGAGACACCGAAAATGCTAGCACGTGCGGGACTTGAGCAGAAAAAGATAACTCCATTCACATTACAAGCTCACCTTGCAAAATAAAGCACGTGGTATTTTATAAGCACTCTGAAACAGTCCCTGATGGTCGATCCTGACGATGGGCCGAGTCGTCGCAGGTCACGGAAGTATTTCGCAGATATCCAGAGCGAAAGACACAGTGCGAGGACCTCCCAAACAGCATAGAGCACCCAAAGCATCGAAATCAGGAGCTGGGCATCCCCCTCAAGTATAGTGTTGCACAAATATGTGCCAGAAATTATCCACTCCTCTGGTGTTTGTCCGATGAGCTGTGTTCTTCGACTCGACAAGTAAAGCTTACCCAATACAAGATGCTTGAATGCTATTACTGTGATTACTGCGCAGGCAATGTTAACAGCCAGGAAGATAATAACAAGGAAGATGAGCATCATTCTAGATCCATGGTACATGGCATACAACCGAGCAATCATGATGACTTGCATCGTGTTTCAGTCGAGTCAATATCAAAGAGGTATTGCAGTTGGGTAACTCACCGCATAACATGGCAGCTACGATCACATTTGCCCAACTCATTGCATAGTACATAATATTGCCTGAAACACCCAATTAGTGATCAGCCTCGTACTAGTATCAAACACTCCGACTTACACCTATTAACTCATTGCGTTGAGTCAAGTTCAATGTGAATCTGACTCACTCCTACATATAAGTGAGTTCACTGAATAGGAATGAGATGGTTGCATGATACTCACTGCATCTGTTAGCAAGAACGATGGCATATATTCTGTGTGCTGCCAGTCAGAAGAATCGAAAACAGTGCATATGAGACATACGCAGAACATAGATACTAATCGTCAGAGATAACTATTAGCACGATGCCAATTTGTTGGCCTAGACACATACACAGAATATGGTATTGCAATATAACGTATCTAGAACATTTTGAAGTCAGCACAATTTGTCAACCGCGCTACAGCACAATATGAAGTACGAACAACCAAATACAGCACAGTCATGAGAGACCAACGTTGCCTCTGTCAAAAGAATTCGTCGTATTCTCCTATATTTCTTCTGATATAACACTTTGTCACTCACCCAGATGAGCTCAATCTATGACACCATTGTTAACGAGTTGGCTGCTCTGGCGATAGTGCCGACCTACCTCTTGTTCAAGTGTTTGTACTGGAGATATTATGAGAATACCAGCGGTTTTCGAACACTATCCCGCTCACCCCAATCATATACAACCACAACGCCGGCGGCAACTGCGAAACAGCAAGTCAACGTTAGATCAAGACATCTCGATACGACAAACCTGTATAATAGCTGAAATATATGTTAGACCACATTAGCGGCCACCAACTAGGATCATTTAAGACTATGGTCATATTCGAGGATGAGTGTGAGCGAATGGGGAATGTTGGTGGTGTATAACAATAACATTCGTGCTAGATATACTACCTCTCAGCGCTCAGCGGCTGCGCAGGGCTGCGCTCGTATCGCTAAAATCAGCATGATGGAGATGTCCCGTCTCAAAATCTTTGATCAATGATCAGGTAAAGTGATTTCAAGTTACGTATACAGCCTTCGGTGTTTGCCAGTGAAGCTATTGATTCCGGCTGGATGCTTCGAACCTTCGTTGTACTGTTGCATGGCTGTCCCCAAACGATGTGAATGATGAACAAAACGACGGGCACCGACGCGAGACAAGAACCGAGCACATCCAGACATAGTACAGGAGATTAAAAAATGACTCTGGAGAGTTACTTTTCTCTAATAACGATGCGGCGCGCCGCTATTTATTAGCTATGATAATGATAATTCTGTGGATTCAATCCTCCCTGGTGGGCATGCCTCGTTTTTTTGCTTCCCTTCGCGCCGCCGATGTCCGTAATAACCATGCAAGGTTCTCGTATACAACAAAAGTGACGCAAGTTCCAGGAAGAACGCGCACGAGGTTCGTCCCCATCCCACGATAGAACCCACGTATCCCTTCGCCTTGCCAAGTGCGTTTGATGGTGGACGGTATGTCAGGGTATAAATGAGTGGTAGCGTTGTTCTAAAATGGGAATGAAGATGTGATGCAGCGTACGAGAATCATCTCACCTGTATTCGAGAGCGAATGACTTGGTATGGATAAGTAAGCGCGAGAGCCCACAGCTTGCTCGCACCAGACATCAATGTGTAAGACGTGTTTGACTGCCAATGTCTTGAACGTAAGGTAAAGAAAAGGGTCATAGACTCACGAGCTTATCGTCCTCCAGTCCCATCACCTTTCCGGCCTTCGCAAACCGTTTTCGTTTTCGTTCGAAACCCCATCGTTTCATCTCTTCGTATGCCATGAACTGCACCGCGCCATTACTCACACCGACCAACGCCAAACTAGTTCCTTTCCACAGGCCAAAGAAGCCCTCTTGCCTCCATATTGAGGCAATGCCATCTGATATGACACGGTATATTTAACAAACCAAAGCGAGGGTGAGAAGGCAAGCATACCTGGGAGACTACGATATGACGTCGGTGAATCGGCACGCGTCGTAAACATGCGCACTTTTACAACCCATATGGGGTTGGTCATTATAGCTGTGACCGCACCTATCAACAAAATCAAAGTTGAAAGACCATCATAAAAACAAAAGGGAATGGAAAGGCGAACTCGCTTGAGCAGAGCAAAGCAGGTATGCTCCAGGGGACATCCTATAATTCGGGTCATCTCCGTATGCACGCTTCTTCAGCATGTTGTAGCTGAAGGATATCAGTACCCTACAGAGAAACTTCGAAAGTCATGAAATGTTGCTCACAAAAGAAAATAGAGCCCCCAACTCGAGGCGTTCCCCGCAATATTTGGTCCTACGCCCCGGTACAGGCCTCTCCATCCTTCACTTGCATGTATTTCGCGCAAAGAGTTCCATATCGCTTTTCCGATTCCACCCTGTGGATTTGTTGTAGCCACTTGTAGCTTGACTTTGAGAAGGTCAAGAGGGTGCATGCATAAGACGGCGACAACGCCCGCTCCGAGGCCTGCTGCTGCATGGTCCTACGACCTTTAAGCAGATACAAATAGAAAGTCGAGAATCAAAACATACTATTGCGGTTGTCGGAAAGAAGCTTGGCTGATGTAGAGACATGGAGTCACTGGTTTTACCGGTTATAACCGACAGGACTGGGCTATGTAGTAGTCTTCGTGACAATTCCTAACAATATATGACATCAATGTTGCCTCGTCCCATCCATCTGCATCATCCTCGTCACAGTTCCAGTCAGCACAAACAAGAGCCCATTGATTCTACAAAGGTCCTATCAAGGTACTAATCGTCATCATCGTCGACGACGAGCTCGACAGTAATGGACCCAGCGACTTATCATCCCATCACAGCTGGTCATGACTACCTTGACCGTGACAGAGAATACCACGAGAGAGATAAATTGTAAGACCTCTCTCAGCGCTCCCACTTCACAGGGAAATATTGTTCCAATGATACGGTTCCGTGACTTCCGTCAGGCTACTACTAAGGGCATCAAAGTTACACGTTCATCACTGTTCGACTTCGTATCATTCTGTTTTCCTTGTCTATCATCTTTCTCTTTACTCACATGTTCAACCATTTGCACAGGGAATATGAGCTTACCGTCAGGCAGGAGCCAAAACAAGCCCGTATGTGTGGTGTAGGAGGTTTATCAGCTCCATTTATTCCTTCTCACATGAGCTCATCCTCGTGACTTAGCTGACCGACGTCCAATCGACCCTCCTCCTATCATTCAACTTCGTGTTAATGACCCACAAACTCGTCAACCTCCTCCTCCAGCTCACCTAGATGGCGATGATTCAGACCCAAGCAGCGCTCACAGCTTCCTTCAAAACCCTTATTACTTCATGTTTGCAACTCTGGCAAAACCCGACGACGACACCGAACTACACTTGCTAAAGGTCAGTATTTTACCGTCACAACAATCTCTCCTTGATTGTCAGCTGCCAGGATGGGAAAACACGGTGCACAACAGGTTCAGTTGTCTCGTCCTTCCACCACCTCAAAGACGCCGAACATCAGAATGAAGATGCTGGTTTCTTTGTTTTCCCCGATCTAAGCGTTAGAATCGAGGGTTCTCATCGTTTGAAGCTCAGCCTCTTCGAAGTCATCGGGTGAGTTCGCTGACTAGCCACCGATTCAATCCCTAACTTCTCCTCAGCGACACTGTCCGCCATTGTAAATCGATATACTCAGCGCCATTTTTTGTTTACACTGCAAAAAAATTCCCTGGTATGGAAGGTGAGCGTAAAGATCAATCATGGAAATCAATTCCTCGACGCTTCGTTCTTGGCTGATTGCTCGTTGCATAATTGACCTGCATTCATCAGAGTCCACACCACTTTCATGTTCGCTAGCCACCCAAGGCATAAAGATCCGGATCCGCAAAGACATTCGTACTCGCAAGCGTCCAATTGCTGCACTCGCTGCTCCAATCGATACCGTGAACAACAATAATGAAGAAAATGAAAAATGATACCCTGGTTTTGGCAGTCACTTCTCCTGGTCATTCCAAATATGTTCAGGACGGCACAGTATCTTCAAATGGCGCACCAGACTTGCAGACTCCTACCAGGTCACTAGTGGGACTACCTACATGGCCATCATCAACGAGCTTATATCTTTGTGGCACGCATCCGAGGCTAAGGCAGTTATGATAATATTATACAAGCAGTCTGCTCGCCTATGGACAGGTATCGTATTTTGTACTCGTGTTTTCATACAGCAGTAACGAAGCATTCGCTATATCTCTTCCTCATTCGTGGTTGAAAAAATGACCGAACGTCGCGACAATTCCGCACCTGCTATGCAATGTATAGTAAGTGTCACTAGTAATCATCGTTAGGAAAGATCAGCGCGTCCACATCCCACTGTATGTGATCAAGTACCATGATCTCGTCATCAACAGATATCGGTGCAAGACTTTGGTCAACATGCTCCAATTCCACAAAATCATAACTTGGCCCTCCAACACTTCATTTCCAACAACCGGCTCTCGTTCCGTGGCTTCTTTCCCGTGTTCCAGTAGTGCAAATGCAGTATCAATCTCGTCAAGTGATATGGATTCAGGACCCGCAAGATCGTCCTCGATGATGTTCTGAGTCTGAGGTGCGAGTGGTGAGGCGTCCGGCGAGTGCGGCAGCAGACATTGTGCAATGGTAATTTGATTGTCTACGTAGCACGGGCTGTACAACTGAAATTTTCTTCTACTCTACAGGTAAGGAAGTACAAATGCTCTGGGTCGATCGAAAAAGGCTAGCAACTATGGCCATATAAGTTATTGGAACATCTTTCGCTGTGATCCCCATTTTGCCGGATTCTGCCGGGCAAAAGCAGTTGGCGGAATTGCGGACTTCTGCCCACAATACTACGAGTTGATCGCAGGGCCAAGCGTGTGAGATTGTTTGAAAACAGTCTACTTGGCTCAGGCGTGTAGAGCTCCTTGCCATGCTGATGGTGACCATGAGGCAAAGTGGAACCTCATCGAATGGAGCACGCACACAACGTCGGGCGCGAATTGGTTCCGTTGATGAAATGAAAGTTCGTGTGTTGCAAGAACCATGACCTTCGCTTCTAACGATACCTCATGGCATCCAGCAGGTACTAGTTAGAATACCGGGAACGTGAATCTTATCGCCGCAACCTGGTGCTGGCATTCAATTAGCACTTATATACGGCCCATATGGACCTCCCCTTCTCAAGCAGCCCCTCTTGTAACGACAGCCAACGATGCGCGTCTCTACAAGCTGCCTCGTAGTCTTGTCGGCGGCTGCTACCTTTGTTTCATCTCGCCCAAGCGCTTCTTATCTGACTCAGTCTTTCCGGGTGCTGTTGAGTCCGTCGTACAAAAGACAAAGCAGCTCTACTCCGCAGTGTGCCTCAACCTGCGATCCTGTCAACGATGAAGTGAATGATGTAAGCTTGCATCTCGGACCTTGTCTTTGTCGACGTGCTAACTCTCGTCCAGGGATGCCCTATAACCACATGCTGCACTCAGACCTTTGAAACAAGCTACTACAACTGCCTCTTATGTGTTGGCGTTGCATCGAATGCTACAGATTATACACAGGCACAAGGCGATTTAGACGGTAAATTTAGCTTCACATGAGTAAAGCATATCTGACTCAATTGCCTGATCAATACATACACTAGGACTCTACGTCTCTTGCTCCGATTACGGTTATTCGTTACAAGAGCTCACTCTCCCTGGTCAAAACGCTTCCCGCTCTCTCTCAACTTCCCGTATTAGAACTTCTACCGTTGTTGGTACTTCAAGTTCACCTGAGTCCGTAGCGCCACCTACGTCCGTATCATCACCTACGTCCGCATCAGCACCTACGTCCATCTCGACAACCACTATAATGTCTTCAAGTACCCCGTTCGCGTCCTCTGGGACGTCGACCTCTGCCAACGGCACTGCGACTTCGTCCACATCCGAGCCTACAACCTCGAGTGCTGCGCTGGGGCTAAGCACAGGAGGGAGCAGAGTCTTGGCTTTGGTTGCTGTTGCTATAGGATTGATCGCGCTGCGGAACAGCTGATTGGGAAAACTCTATGATTTTCTGCTCGCCAACATGAGACTGCTAACTTCAAGGTGTACAGGAAATTACGAACGTCATGTGACAAAATGTTGAAGTACATCTAACTTGGACAATTAAGTACTTGTAGAATGATTTGAATGCTCGGGAGAACAATTAATGTAATCAGATACATTCTCATCTTTTCAGAACAAGAAACAGAGAAGTTTACAGGACATATGGTCGACTTGCCCAATCAGTGAAAACCGCCATTAGCACTTGAAGTAGGTGTGCTTTAGTGAAGTAAGCCGATCAAGCGCTGTAACACGAGATAAAGAAGGAAGTAATTGACGAAGAGTGTGCACACCAGGACCAGGCTGAGAGTGTGGGATGAATGTGCAATTATCTGTGCAATCCAGGGGTGTGGCTGCCACGTCCCAGTTCGGTCGCAAGTGTATCCATTGCCAGCAGCGCCATCGTAATATAATTCAGTCATGAGTATAGAAGCGTAGTATCAGACAGACAGAGAGAGGTAGGGAGAGGGAGAGGTCTCAAATCAATGAATGCTTGCCTTGTACTCCTCGCCGTATATGCCAGGAGTCCGACGGCTGTCGACCTGGACCTTCATGCTAATATATTGTAATGCAAGGAGGCTTGACACGGTTGATATCCAACGAAATGGTACAAATACAGAAGATATGGATGGTTGGAGAATGAGAATTTGAATTTGAATTCCTGGAAGACAATTTCGCATTAGATGCCAGTTATCCATCGTACGTTGATGTTGGCATAAGGAGGCACCGTTGTCCCTTGACGAGCGTTAGTATCAGATTAGGCCCATCAGCGTCCAAGCCAGTGCTGATAGAACAAGTATACGAAAGCTATATTGACTCAAGGGATAAATAATATCATCGCCCTCAGCGGCCAAGCACGATGAGATTATGTCAGCGGATATTGAACTACCTGTCCCCATTTTCTAGTTTCAACGCTCATGTCAAAACTTGCAACATTTGTCCGATCGAGAAGCCAATCCACTGCCCAGAGATTTCCTCCTCGGTGAAAAGGTACCACTCGTGCACTTTTCTGTACACTGTTGTATCGGATTTTACACTGCTTATTTGTAGGCTCTCTGTTCTGTTCTTCCGGTGTGTGCATTGGCTTATCCTTCTACGCAGTGTGCGATGTCCGTCTGCAAAGCCCGTGCCGCATCGCACGTATGCTCGACAAGCGTTGTTGTTCACCGCATGTGCTTGCCCATACCCCAGATTACCCCATTTACTATTATTACCTTGAATATCATCCGTTGTGCTTCGAATCGCTATGTTCTTGGCTTTCGTGATCTTTTGTTGAGCATCGTGCACTGAGCTGTTTGCAGGTTATGCGTGGTTTGACGTCAATCGTGGTAACTCACAACAGGGTGGCTTGTGTCATGGTTTCTTCTTGTCTTTCAGCCATTCAATTATACCCACTGCACTGCGCGGCATCGCTTGGCTTCTGACCAGTGCTCTGATGTGGCGGGTGAGCCCATCTGTGATTGCATTCATGGATCATTTCCCCGCCCCTTGTTTCGGGCACAGCCCTGCCGTAATCACAATATTTGAGCGGTTTTATAGCCCCCTTCAGGCTCTTACTTCCTACTCAAAGAGCCTAGCCGCCTAGCCCGAGTCTTTTCCAGACTCAATCCAGGGTTTTCAGACCAAGCCGAATCGATGCATCACTAGAAGCTATGTCGTAAGTGAAATATATTTAACCTGCTTATCTATAATGTGCTGGCCTTCCTGTCTCTACTTCCCATCATGATAGCCGCTTATTCCAAACTGACAGAAGAAAATTGGCATCCATCCAGCCTTCTTGCATATAACGCACTTCTGGGTCACCAGGACTTTGACTCGATAATATCTGATGCGAAGCCCACTGTTGATATCAGAACCGATTCCTACGACCGCAGTCTGACGAGTCGCAGGTATGCCCTTGTCGGACTGGCATGTTCAGGTATCTTCAGCTGCTTATGCATCATTGCAGTTATCGCCACTTTAGCGACACGCGGGATCTTGGGTGTAACCAAAGTGCTCCACCTGGGCGATACTGAGTTTAATCCATTCCCGATGCAGGGGGAGACATTTACCCTGATATTTAACGTCACATTATGTACCGAGTCCATAAGCTTCGTACACAACATCTCATTCTCTGCGCTAGCCTCAGAGTCTCGGCTTCGTTTCAGCACCAATCTGCGCCTTCTGACCGCAGCTCGCGGATGGTATAAACCCAGCAGTGCCCTGCTCAATGGTATCTCGGCTGTCCTCATCATCATATCCTACAGCTCGCCCTCACTCATCATATGGCCGGACTATCAACCGACATCAGAAAGTGTTGCCATCACAGGGTTTCCTCTCCTCATTTTGGGCGTCGCACTTCTCCTCCAGGTAATAATTGCATTGTCAGGGATGCGGGCTGCCAAAATCTTGACGTGGAGCTCCTCACCATTCGACTTGACCGCCGCACTGGTCCACCACACGCAATTGACTCCTGCTGCTTCCTGGTGCATGCGTCGGGTGTCTGACCTAGACGAAGGTCCAGCGAAGCCACCAGAAATACAGCCCTCTGCGTGGCATGCTCACCCTAGCATCCGGAAAGTTGTCATTTCTCTTTGGATCATTGTTGCAGCATACGCTGGATGGGCTGCACTCGTCATGTATTTTCAGTACCAGTTATACGGATTCTCTCCTATAAACGTGGTCCTTCTTCCGGAACGGGAAGCTCAATGACATATATTACTCAATGCCGAGTATCAACTTGAATCTTGAGGCCGAGGTGTGGATTCTCCTCTTTGCCAACGTTGCAGTCATCCAGGGACCGTTGACGCTTGGGCTGCATTGCTCGGAGCTCATCGAGAATGTCATTTGAGACGAAAGACAGTGGAGATGGGCTACCAGAAGGAAAGGACTTAAAGTGGCGACGAATCCGCTGAAGCAAATTTTCACTAATCTGATCTGCCTCGTACTTTTCATCACGAAGCCTTTCCTGCGTGAGTCATTCACGCCTAGTATTTTTTTTGGTGTCATTAGTACTATCCTCGACGAATCGCAGACTGGATGTTTGGGCTTTCATTCGCCATATCTGACTACGCCTATGGTGGGAAACTGCAACATTTGGCGATATTCATGTTTCCTGCCCAGGTTGGCACTTAATGCCCATGTAAATTTGTTACAACATTCTCAATCACATATTCTCGCAGATCTGGAACTTATGCATTGCGGTCTCTATATTTTTCTGTTTCTTCACCTTCATCGCACTGCGCCGACCGTCGTTCCCAACCTGCTGCATACGGCCATGTCCAGACGCTCGCCAACCTCGTGGATGAGCGGTCGCCTGTGATGTGGTGGGGACACAAGGAGGATGGTATTCCGTACTATCACGCTTGTAGGGTACTTGTATACTCAAGATGATGCTGCATTGACACTTTTGAAAAGGGACAAGCGATCACCCGCTGCCTGATGTGAAGATGGACTGCGTTTATGCCGGTTCCGGTGCTGGGTCTATGGTACCCTTCTCGTGAGAGCTACTTCCTTTGCTTCTAAAGGGAGTTTCTTGAGTTCTTTTGAGTCTTGGCTTCGGTTTCTGCTGCCACAGGATTGATCATGCTGCAGAATAGTTGATTGGGATAAATTTTCTGTTCGCCATACTGTGTTTCAGATTACTTTTGGACTGTAGAGTAGTATGTATTTAAACATTATATATCACCCTTATTTCTGTCCATTGGGGTAAAGTACCCTATGTCAGATAGTACTAACTAGTCTATAAGGCTCCTGCCTTCACAGTATATATCACCAGGTACAACGCCTGCCGCAGCCAGAGCATTGCTGGTTCGTGCCAAGCTGGAATAAGAGGGAGTCGTGTTCTCTAGGCAGTCGATATTATTTGCGAACTTTTTTCAAGGGGGCCGTCTGGCCTATTGATTGGAGGTGAGTGAAGCGTGAGGGGTCTTGCATTATGTTGACGACCTTGCTGTAGAATTGTTGCTTTAGCGCAGCCTTTGTTTGTGGGAAAGTTCTGATTCCTCCCCGCCTCGCCAAGGATGATTTGGGCAGTTCGTAACTTCTTTCGATCTGATGGATCTGTACAGGTGCTGGACAATGTGCAAAGTGTGCGAACAACAGATCATGACACGCCTGAGGTAGATCCAAAACTCGTGTGGTACGCAACCAACATAACTATAAGACATCATTATCAGATCAAAGACTCCATGAATAAAAGTAGCCATTAAACAACAGAAACTCAGAGCCCAGTACGAGAGTATTCACAGCCGGGCATTCTTGGGCATCTTCTTAATAGCCTGCCGCACACCGAGGTCCCCTAGTACATCTTCCGCACCCGCAAGAATGGCATCGAAAGGTGACGTGCGATGGTACTTGGCGTAACATCCATTAGCACCGTATCGCTAAGAAAGAACGAAAGTCCAGACATACATTCTCAATGATCTTGCCCATACCCGTAACGGTGATACCCCGACCACCGAAAATCTGAGTTGCGTCCTCAGCAGTTTCACGGCCAGCCTTTGACACAAATCTGCATTGCAGTCCATCATTTTAGCACATGATTGACGGAAGCGGACATCGCATACTGTTTGAGCAATGCAATAGGCCCTGCGAGTTTGTCAGATTGTTCATGATAGGACATCTAAATTTTCCAGTTTAGGTTAATAGCACTCAGAAAACCTGGAGACCGACGTTGTTCATTTGATGCGTGACGTTCTCTACCCATGTCTGGCAGGCTTCCACGCGAGAAATCATTGCCGCAAGTTTTGCGCGGATAACTGCCTGAGCATGGAGAGGTTTTCCAAAAGCAATTCGTTGATTCGTCCACCTGAAACATTGCTCCAATGTCAAAAAGACACGAAGAACAACTTGTAATACGCGCTTACTTCAAACACTCTTCAACTACAAGTCTCTGGGCACCAAGACTCGTGGCCGTGACCATCCATCGCTCATGATTAAAGTTGCTAAGAATAATTGATATGCCTTTCCCGACTTGACCCAAGGTATTGGCAACAGGCACGCGTGCCTTGTCAAATGTGACAAAGGCAGTCCCAGCGGTCGAGGAGTATGACGTTTTTACCGGTTTAGTGGATACAGCATCCGAGCGCTCAATGAGCAAAACAACAAACCCGGCCTACGAGTGGTGATGAAAATTCAGAAGGGGACCAACAATAATGCAAACCTACATCTGTTTTACATAGTGTCGTGAAGTAATCCGAAAAGGTCCCATTTGTGATCCACCTGCAACGACCATGAGCAATCCGTTCTCGAGAAGCAGCTCGAACCATGCATACGTACTTCTTAGTTCCAGTAACAATCCACTCGTCACCGTCTCTTACCGCAACAGTTTGCGCGCCGCTGACATCGCTGCCTGCAAATGCTTCTGAGATGGCAAGGGATATATACTTCTTGCCCGCCAGAATGTCTGGTACGAACTTGGCTTGCTGCTCTGGGGTTCCGAAATTAATAATAGGAGGGAGGGCAATAACCCCGCCATTCAAGAGACCGTCCACGAACCCTCGCGTACCAAACCGCGCAATCTCGGTGTTGAGAATGAGCTATAAGGTTATGTGAGTGGGTGAAAAGGATACTTGGTGAAGAGCACGTTTACTTCGTGGAAGTAGTCGTATTCTTCAGGCTTTACAATGCCACCCATCAAGGTAAGTCCCTTGAGGTGCTTGCCTGGTCCTAGGCGCATAGCTAGGAAATTTATCTCGCTGTAGTATGATCAATGACCAAGTTACGCAAACTTCACGCAGGGAAATTTGCCTTAATTTATCCACGACTTCTTGCGATATCCTCTTCCCATTTTCCTCACATCTGACTGCCTCAGGTTGTACAACTTCCATCAAGAACGCCCTTATAGCTTTGTGGAAGTTGCGGTGATTATCACTATAATAAGGGCTGAAGTATCCAGGTGTGAGCCACGTGGGCTCAGCATATGGCACAAGAGATAGCTCGCCAGGACCAACGGGCTTGATGTTCTCAGTCTGTCCACGAATAGCTCCTATTTGAAGACGGGCATACTGAGGACGTCGGAGAACCTCCAGTCTATGAAGTCCGAAGAATACCTGAGTAGCATCCTTCCCAGCTAGAATAAATATGAATATGAGAGTCGAGTGGAGAAGCTGCTGCACTTGCCTACGCCATCGGCATACAGCACGCCTGCGCCTCCAGGGTGAAGGTCCGCGAAACGGGATAGATCATAAACTTTGGAGTCTATGACAATCCACTGTGTGCAGAATTAATAGCAGATTGATAGACTTGAAGTTATAGCACACACGAGGTCCCCTTCCTTGTTATGCTATAAACATATTTCAAGTTAGCATCCGCTAGAATGAGCTGCTTGGTGCCCACCTTAGCAATATCATCGAATGTGAACTCTTTAAAAGGCATAATCCTGCTGGCAACCTTGCTGTCCTCGATACTGATACTGGTCCGGATCTATGAAGTTAACGTATGAAAGAGTGCTACAACTTGAAGCCGTGAGAATTATGTTGAACTTTGTGTTATGTCAGATTGTAGCCTGAGACGTTATTGTCGCTGATCTAGAACTCGACTAAAGTTTGTATTTATGCAAGTATGTAAAGTCACTGGACCACACTCCATGGTTTGCGACCCATCTCGCTGACGTGCACGTGTTGAGCTTTCGGGCTCGGAAAGCAAGGAGTTCATGAAGACAAAGGATACCAGCAGATGGCGGCAACTAGCGATTTCAATTGATCAGTAGATGCTCATGTAGGACCGACTTCGTCCAGTTGCTCAAAACTGTCTCAAATGTCAAGCTTTCAATTGTAAGAAGTATACTATAAATACAAAGTGAACAGGACACAACGTCGTTAGGCACTGATCACGATTGGCGATCACTCAAATTGATATGCATGTGAAAAGGTCTAGCTTGAAAGCCAATGGTAATTTCTGCGCACCTGCGCGGCTTCGATTTGTGTGCACTTCCGCTACCTGTAAAAGTAACCAGAAAAGTCTAGAAGAAATTGAGTTGGTATGGTGGAGTGGATCATGATAAGTGTGATATTCAAAAGAGCACCGCAAGGACGAGTCCACCTGGTGGCGTAGTGAGTGCCTACGAGGGAAAAGAGCCCAGCCTATCGGTTGCTGGTACAGGGCCCGGGGGTATCAAAGGCACCCTATCACCAGCCATTCCTTAGGTACTAATTTGCAATTACCCGAGGAGCGAAGGTGGCCGCAGGAGAAACTATGGTTCTCGCAAGAGTTATCGTTATTCCCCAGGTTAATGTTTCCTGCAGAAAGGCGACCGCGATGTCACCGCACGGCGAACGCCGTCGGTGGGAACCGCTGTTGTCAGCGTCATCACTTCAATAGGTCCGATTTTACACGTCAACAAGGATTCCGCGAAGCGAAAGGCAAATGCTGACTGACGCGCTGACGTGCGACGCCGCACAGCAGGATTGACGGCGTGGAGGACAGTTATTCGACCGTTCATACGAATCACAGCGAGTGCAGCCCTGTTGGCATGAATGTATAGACGTGCGCGTAATAATGGAAATACTTGACGGAGATCACCGTGTACAACGAACGTTGGGAGTTTGATTGGACACAAGACACAGAAATACAATGATCTGTGGAACTCGAAGGGGTGAAAGACAGCCCAATCAAAATGCTACATACGAATTGTCTCAGTCTCACACGGTAAGTAATCTATTCCCACGGTGTAGAAGAAGATTGTTTACATTTTGTGATTACTGAGCGCTGAACTTAGCTAGGTCCTCTTCACCGTTCAACATCTTCAATTATGCTCGCTCTCGCTCATCCGACAGAAGCTAGAACTATCGATAGAACTGGTGTCGACAGAAATCTCTCAAGTTTACCTAGAACTACTTCATCTTCATCCACCGGTCGACCAAGTTCTAGCAGAGTTTCACATTGGAAACCGCCAGCATCGACAGCTCCCGCTGTATTCCAGTCATCTTCATCCTACTGCCCACCAGTACCACGGAGATCGACTTCTGCATCTTCAGTTGTAACAAAAGACTCTTCTCCAATTCGGCATAACGCCGTACAGTCATCTCAGGCAGCATCCGAATCGTCAACAGCCACAAGCAGAGCCCCTCCCCCTGATAACCCTCCAAGAGCTGGTTCTCCAATTCCTCCACCCCAAATACATGTACCAACCTCTGCTTCATCTTTTGACGTTCACAGCTACCCCTCGACCGATTTGCTTCGTCTCCTCGCTTCACTTCTCACCCAGATTGCATCCACCAACGATGCAATCTCTGGTTCAGACCCAGCATCCCATACTTTGGCAACTCTGTCACATAACAATATATCAGAAGACGCATCTCGTTCCCCTATTTGGCGTTCCCTCACTTCCGCCTCCCGTTCCTCCCTATCAAACCCTGCATCCGCCCTCACTTTCCATGCTCGCAACATTCCGACTATCGCACTTGAATCATACCTCTTACGAATACTCAAATATTGTCCAACTACAAACGAGGTGTTCTTAGCCCTCCTCGTGTATTTTGACCGCATGTCTCGCCTCGCCTCCGAGGCTACGGGGCGCACGTTTGTAATCGATTCGTATAACGTTCATAGACTTGTCATTGCTGGCGTCACAGTCGCCAGTAAATTTTTCAGCGATGTATTTTACACTAATTCGCGGTATGCGAAGGTGGGTTGCAACTTCACAGACCTGTTCAAAATATTCACTCCACCCCGCATCTCGCTATCTTTACTCAGGTCGGAGGTCTCCCCCAAGCAGAGCTTAACCAACTTGAACTCCAGTTTTTACTTCTCAATGACTTCAGGCTCGTCATATCGCCTGAGGAGATGCAAAGATATGCAGAACAGCTTATCCTCTTTTCGCAATCACAACCACCAGAATCCCCTTCCGTATCCCGCCCCGCAACTCCGTCACGCTCACAGCAATCAACGTTTCAGACACGTTCATCACCTGCCACAGCATCAGGCCCGGCACGGGCTATGGGTGCTATTGATGTATATGGTGGTTCAGTGGCGCCCAATCGGACGCCCAGTATGCGTGCTGTACGCACGCATGACGATGACGCTGCGAGCATCGTCAGCACAGAAAACGATACAGAATCTGAAACAGAGGGTGGCTACACGACGGACGATGAGCCCACGATTCGGCCAAACAACTCTTCAAGTTCAATCTGTGGAGACGCCGAGGAATACGAGAGCGCTGGCGAGTTCCGCGCTACCACCGTAGAGCAGGGCGACGAGTGTAGCCAGAACAGAGTGGAAGACAAAGAGAGAGAACGAGGCGATATTACGCCGGAATTGAAGGCCCGGCGGCTTGTACGAGAAATTAGCGAGGATATTGGGATGGCGAGCCCTTAGACTGTTACCAAACGATTACTCCTGCGACACCTCCTAACCTTTGCTCCCGGGTATATGTTCGACCAGCCCGTAATACTTCTTCATACCTTTCACAGTGCACGCCAATCACCTACATTCAAATCACGACATTGCAGTCATATCGTACAGTAGTGTCTATACCTCGCCTTCAATTCATATTTTGGCGGTGTATATTTATTTAGCATGTGTCCTTATAGATTCGAACGATGGTATCGTTGCTTGCTGGCTGGTACTTGGTGCCGAAACCTTCTTTCTTGAAACTTTACAATTTTCAAATATTATACCCTACTTAAAGCTTGCTCTGCGTGCGTGCTTTTCTTTGACATCAGACACAGGATCTGCAACTATCGAACAGGAAAATTTGAAAACACGAACGTTCGCATCTGAGGCGTTTTTATGGTCTCTAACAGGTTTTAAAATATACGAACATGACACCTTACACAGGTCCAAGATTTAATCACACATAACAGACCAATAACATGCAATTGTATAATTAAAGCTAGTGGTTACCGCCAACACCAGTGTGGACTGTACACGTTCATAACCCGTGGATGACAATTCTTTTTTCATCATAACATACCTTGACATGGACTGGGAGGATCATCTCAAGGCAGTGTCCTGGCAAGAGTGATTACTACAATAGACTTGAAATCCGTTGTTCTTGGATTGTGGAGGTCTGAAATCTGCAAATGAGAAGTTTTTCTATTGAAATTTGATGTCTTTTCGTGGATGATTTTCTTGGTATGCAACTCTCGTAGACGAGTGGTTACAACTCACCACAACAGAGTTAAAATCTGTTTCAGTTTGAAACCGCGCTCATCACGCAAGGCTAAGGAGTCTCCTTCTGTCAATTAGTATCATACGTAGTGTTCAAATACAAATTCCTTTGATACCTACTGGCCTCGAGATGACGGTAAGCCTAAGACATCTGGCACATCGAGCGGGGTTCCTGTCATGTATGCTGAATCGCTGATTACTCAGGCCAATTCGGGTGCGCACGCGATTCCTAGACTGTCCGGCGGACGAGTCCCGGACTTTCTGATTTAAAACTCGGCCACAAGAGGATGAAGATAGAACTTCAGGTTCACCTGACGCGTAATAAATACATGCATGCAGAAGTACCGTACCTAAATTGCGTGCCAGAAAGTCTATAGTTCGTCTTTGGTGTGCTCGTCCTCCATCGGGCGACATAGTGCCGGCGTCGTGCCTGTAATTTGGTATTCGCACTTTTCCAGTTCTGCCACCGTCAGTAACGTGTTTTCAATGCCGCAAGTCAAGACGAGCTTATAAGAATAAATCAATGCTGTGCGGGAGAATAGAGAACATGCAATATTTACCTCAACGCTACGATGGGGGCCGTTCCAGCATTTGGCCCCCTGGGTGTAGTGCTGTCTGGTATAATATTCAAGTTCACCAGGTCGAGCGACTTTGTTCCAGGACGAAAATTTCCTGGAAGGCACATAGATAAGTACCTTTGTAGCACTTATATTTAGACAACATACCCGAGACTGAAACCAGAACCGCCACTTTTTGGAATTTGCCTCGCCTCGTCAAAGAGGCAAACTTCGTAAGTGTAGCTTCGAAATGTAAGTATCTTTCAAGTAGTTCAAAACAACAACACATACTCTCCGGTATCCTTTGATAAGCACATGCCGTCAAGTTTTTTCCACTCGCCTTCTGGGCCAAAGCCATCAGGATCAAAGAGATCTAGGAGGTCCTCGTTTGCGGTTCGTTGCTCGTCCTGGGTCAGCTTGAGGCTGTGTTCTGCATCCGAAAGAGCCACACGTGCACGATTTGATTCTAACGTGGGATGAGCACACATATTCAGTCATAGAGCATGTAGTTACCAGCAGACGTGTCGGATGCAGCTCCGCGTCCGATCCCGAAGACTGATAGAGCCGATAGAACCGAGTCACGGAAACTATGATAGGATGGGAGCAGAGCGTCTGGAAGGTAGGCTGAGATCTCAAACACTTGAAACTGGTCAATTTCTTGCGGTACCAAAATCTAGTTTGAACTTACAGAGAGACTGGGTCGAAGCAGGTCCGACAAGCTGGTCATGTTCTAGCAGCAGCGTCACATGATCTGTTTTTAATAACTGATCCAACTCCTTCTCGATCTTTGCTGCATTCCAAAAATTTTCATCTTCAACATCTTCCTCTGTTGTCAAATTTTCTGCGGTAGTATCAGCTTCCCCATCGTCACCCTTGCGTACGTCGTTTATGTGAGGTAATCCTGCTAGTGCCTCCCAGCCACGAACAGCCTCGAGGACGGCCATATCTTGATAGTTAGGGTTATAGCCCGTACGAAGTGAGGTCAAGATGTCACCAAGAGCTTTCTCGCGTTCCATGTGCTTCTTGTGTTCTTTCTGAAGGGACTTGAGTGCGGTATGATGTACGAGGAGTGACTGGTAGAGGGCTGCAACATACTTGTGGGTCAAGATTGCAGGAAATATGTCGGGATACACATACGCGACTTTTTCTTACGCTCCAACTCAGCAGCCGAGAGAGATTCTGCGCGTTCTGCAATATCTGAAAAGGGCTGTGTTACCACAAAATCCCTGGATCCTTGAACTAACATCATACCTCGTAGTCTCTCCACCTCTTTCTCTCTCGTTTCAATCTCTTTGACAAGGTCAGCAATGAGTGCTTCCAAGCGCTTTTTCTCCTTATGCGCGTACGCAATGTATGAAGATCGTATCTTGGATCCAGTCTTTCGCAGTTTCCGCTCTGCTTCTGTTTTCTTTCTGTATTCTGCTCCGACTTCCTGGCAAGTGTTCTGACACACGCCTGAGGGCTCGTCCGATCCATCACAGCATTCTTGCTCTATATTCAAATAAGTATCATGAACTCACGCTACCACGTCTGCAAACTTACCACAAAGTCCATCATTAACACGAGAGCTTTGTATTATTGCTCCAATATGGCCCTCATTGCGGCAGTAGAACTTGTTATTGGGACAGGCACTCGTGCCTTACAGAATACAGAACTACGTCAATACAACTTAGTTACCTGACCATAACTACCCAGACTCGCACCTGGCTCATCGCTTCCATCCTGACAATCACAATAATCATCATTTACCGCACTCCAGGCAATTTCCTTCGAACCGTCTAAACACGTCCATGTCTGGTGCGAACCCTTCGTGCTGGGTACGTATTTCGATACGAGAGATGGAGGAACGCCGTGGGCCTTGTCGAGTGCTGCTAGTGATGGAAGGGCAAGGGCGAGGAGTAGCCAGGGATGCATTGTCGACCCGAATTTTGGTGGGATGCTCGTTAACTTCTCTCCCACCTAATTCAACATGAGCAGTGCCACAGTTACGTCAGTAGGGTTTGATGCGGCGCCTGAATATAAGCGGATTTCGCCGAGAGCTTGGCGGTCAAGCCAGCCAAGTGCAGTTCATCGACATTGACGAAGAGGCCACGACATTATGGTGAGTATCCTCCCCTGTTGATGATTTCCAGGACAGGAAGCATTAAATATGCTGGTTCGTTGAACCGCAGCATGTTTCGAGCATTGCAGCCCTTGGATGTCATATTAAGCATGTAGATGCGATGCTGACTACGTTTGATTTAGGCCAAGGCAAAAGCTCCACCACCATCGTCGTCTGGCGGAAAGGCTGCTAAGAAGAAGAAGTGGTCGAAGGGAAAAGTCAAGGACAAGGCCCAGCACGCCGTTGTCTGTGACAAAGCTACTTTCGACCGTATCATGAAGGAGGCTCCCACCTGGCGTCTCATCAGCCAGAGCATTCTCATTGAGCGTTTGAAGGTCAATGGAAGCTTGGCACGCGTTGCCATCAGACATTTGGAGAAGGAGGGCTTGATCAAGCGCATTGTGCACCACTCTGGCCAACTCATTTACAGTGCGTTCCTCTCAATGTTCCATGTTAGATAAAAGAGGTTGATCAACCTCCAATTTAGCTCGGCTGACAACCGCATCGGACTAGATTACTAGTCTTTTATTCATTATGGCCATTCATAAGCCCCATGTATCTTTCACCACAACCAAAATCTATGCTTTCTGACTGGCATTGAATGGACCAAATCTCCAGATGTCATGAACGTCTTGCATTCTCGCCATTCACTCGGTAAAAGAATAAATTATGAAGAGTACATGTAATGAATGTCATCTATGCTAAGTTTACGTCCGCCTATCCGACGAGTCCTTGATGTATGAGCCCAACCAACTCCAAAACCTCTCGACTCGGATAGGTGATCAATGACGCGGACGTTCATTCTCCTATTGATGCTTTGTGAACAGGCAGTTACATTTCCCCACACTCTGCGATACACGTGTGAGACACTTTTCGAAGCCGTTAAATCGACTGCATACCAACGATCTTCACGACTAGCTTTGGTCTGTTGTTCTGTCCCGTAGGGACATTCTCAATTTTTCGAAGCGTCAACATGCCATCGATGACCTTGCCAAAAACCACGTGCTTTCCGTCCAAGAAATCGCATTTTGCAGTAGTGATGAAAAACTGCGAGGATTAAGATCGAGGCAGAAATGCAGAATTGTAGCGAGCAATACCTGGCATCCGTTTGTATTTGGGCCTGAATTTGCCTACAAATCATTATGAGATAGATGTTTGCGAACGGAAAAGATATAGCAAACCATAGAAAGTAAGCCAGGTCCAGTATGCTTCTCTTGGAAGTTCTCATCCTGTGGCGTCAAGTCGACTTGTGCACCGCGCCATGAGGAGCGTGAGTACACTTACAGGGAAATTTTTGCCGTATATCGAGAACGATCCTGTTCCATCACCGTTCAAAAAGTCCCCACCTACAAGTAGACATGGGATGAGGCTGACCTGAAGAGATATTGTTACAGTATGCTCACCTTGGCACATAAAATTTGGTACGCTGAGTCGCACACGTTAATCATCATGGACATCAAGAAGATGATATCATACACTCTGCCCAGAATCTATCAATGAAAGTCGATCACTCGAAGTTGCGGTAATGATCACCTGTGGAAAGTCGCATTCTTGTAACCCTGTGGTCGCGCATCACGTCTAATCTTGAGGCGTTCATAAAGAATTGTTTATCTTCATGGCCTGGACATACCTGCATTCGCCGGTGCACAGCTGCCTAAAGTTTTCAGCAGTTCTGCAAAGTTGATCAGAACAGCACACAGCCACAGGTAGCAGCCGCAGACTTTGGGACAACGTCACTGAAGAGTTCCATTTTTATTCTACCCGCTGGTGTCTCTCCAATATTGATATCCATGAAAACGATTGGACGCGTTGTTGAAGACATGATGACAAGTTCCTGTAACCTAGAAGATCAAGGTTGTAAACAGGGTATGCCGGTAAGAACCGACGGTTCAGATAAGATTGAAAAAAATATTTTTCCATGACCCTTGAAGTTGGGTGTCTACATAGTGCCCTGTTACGATTCGACTGACTATAGTAGATAAGACCTGGTGAATTCCCTCACAAAGGTACAAGCTGACTTTGTCAATCGATACATCACTCGCGTCCAGAACGTCCCCTTGCCGACAACGACCAGTTTTTCGCTAGCTCCTCTGAATGTATAAAATTATGACTGCCAATAAAAGGAACATGCATGTAGACATTATTGATAGTAGGATAGTGTGCATGCACGAGGCGGAGCTACAAGGTAGGAAAAGAAGGAACAATTCAGGATGCAGTGGAAAATACCGAAGCAAATAATGTTAAGGCCACACCAATCGCGATGACTGACAAGGAGGACCGATAATGAGAAAGGGGATCATGATGTCGACCGCGAGCGCGATGGAGGTCTGGTGCTAGATCCTGGTGACTTGCCGCACAGCACTACTTGATGCGCTGTTCCACAAAAGAAATCAGTAGCGACGATATAGCTAGGGTACCCGGGCCAGTCGGAAGAAACGAGAGCGAATTTTGGTGTTGAAGAAGATGGCAGCACTCATGGACATCAGGGTTAGAAAAAAATGGCTGAAAATGCTGCGCACGAGCTCGACAATTAGGGTCATGAAGACGATAATACATAGCTCCCTACTTTTTTCAATAAAATGGCAAACCTAACGTACAGTTGTATGTGTTTGTTTTTGCTTTGTCAGCTCCTTCTTGTTGTCGGTTGTAATCAGAACGTTCTCTTCGCCCGCCGTCATATAAACATCAATCAGCTGTTCATTATCATCGCATTTGACTTGTCGTGGCAGCTTCATTTTGACGTTTTTGTCTTCAACGCTCGTGCCTCCCGTTCCTTTGGTGTCGGATCAGGCTAGCAAGTACCATAGAAGATGCAACTGTAACTTATGCATTAATCATGTTTCTTTTGCCTATTATTCAGAAACAAACCACTAGTGTCGCCTCCCTATAATGTTCAGATCACTGACTGGCGGCCTATGCATCGGGTACGGGGGTCGCCTTTCTCCACTTTAATTAATGGGGATTCACACTTTTGCCACTCGCTGTGCTATTGCCACTACTTGGGAATACTGTGTCAGGCTATATGTCAACAAAGGGTCTGGGATGTCCACAGGGCCGTCACAGTTGCATTAATCACAGCCTATGGTAGGTCTCGTCTGGTCTCGTTGCCTAACGGTTCCAATTAAGGCGTCGTTGGCTCAACTCCCTTTGATCAAAAGACCTCGTGATAAGGCGACGAACGGTCTAGATCAAGCAAGGTCGGTCCAGTGCAATGGACTTAGGTTCAGGTTCAACCAGCCGGACAGTTCAGGGTCCTATGGCGGCCTTATTGACAGTCACTGACTGATATCCCAACATGATTTAAACCACAGTATGCTCGCTCATTTCACTCCCTGACCCCATAGCCTTGCCTATTGGAATGAGTTGCAATACGCCCTACTTTATCGGTATTGATATCGGTACCGGTTCTGCTCGCGCTTCCCTCATTGCACGAAACGGTGAGATAAAAGCGTCTTCCACGAAGGATATCATCACCTGGCGTGATCAGCACGACTACCGTATCTTCGAGCAATCCACGAATGATATCTGGGAGCAGATTTGTTCCGCGGTAAAGGAAATATTGATGCAGTCTAAGGTTCCCGCGACCGCAGTCAGGGGGCTTGGCTTCGATGCCACATGCTCTCTCGCCGTATCAGACTTTGTCGGGAATCCAATAACAGTGACCAAGGGTAGCGGCATCGGCATTCATGGCAATCGGAATGTTATTCTGTGGGCAGACCATCGCGCCGAGGAGGAAGCTGAACTTATCAACTCCACTGGGTCGATCGTCTTGAATTATGTAGGCGGAACCATGAGCGTATGTCGCGCGACGGCTGCGAGTCCAGTTTACCTTGCTAATTCTGCTTTTGGAGCAGCTTGAGATGGAGGTGCCCAAGATTCTTTGGCTCAAGAAGCGCATGGATCCTGCTCTGTTCGCCCGATGCCAATTTTTTGATCTTCCCGATTTTTTCACATACAAGGCAACTGGAGATAACACACGCTCCTTTTGTTCGGTTACATGCAAGTGCTCTTATGTTCCCGACAAAGGCTGGCAGCCGGACTTTTTTGAGCGCATTGGTCTCGGTGAACTCGTCGATGGTGGTAACTGGAAGCATATGGGCGCTGCTAGGGGGCGAGTGCAGACTGCCGGAAGCCCAGTTGGACTAGGCTTATCTCAAAAAGCAGCTGAAGAACTTGGACTTGTAGAAGGTACTGCTGTTGGAAGTGGTCTGATTGATGGGTATGTTATATTCCATCAATTTGTCTATTGAAATATGGATGCTATTGGTGTCGTGATAGATATGCTGGTTGGATGGGCACAGTTGCCGCTCAATATATGGAGAATGGTCAACTTTCAAGCGTGCTTCCTTCTCTTGACGAGTCTCGGCACCGTTTGGCCATTGTTGCCGGAACGAGTACTTGCCATATTATTCAGGTAAGTTATCTTGCTCAATCCTTCTTCATTCAGACGTCAACATTGTTGCAGAGTCGGGGTGGTGTCTTCGTAAAGGGTGTATGGGGCCCGTATAGGGTATATCATTGCCGTTCTGCATAACATGCGATGTCTTGATGGTATTTTCTCATAGGACACAGTCTTCCCTGGTTGGTGGATGAACGAAGGGGGCCAATCGTCTACGGGACAGCTTATCGACTTTATCGTTACCACTCACACCGCGTATCCTGAACTCAAAGAACGTGCAAAGCAGGAGGGAAAGTGTATACATGCTGGTTTGTGTAGTTTTTCATGATGGAGCAACGCAAACGGCGTTTTAATGTGCGTCTATAGTCTTGCTGGACGTCCTCGAGAAGTTGCGGCGCGAGAATAATGTTGATACCTACACGGAACTTACGAAGAATGTACATTTCTATCCTGATTTCCATGGTGAGATAAGCTACAATTCGATTTCAGTATCTTTGTTCACAACTATCACAGGAAACAGGTCTCCAATCGCCGATTCTCAAATGAAGGGTTGTATTGTCGGTCTTGAGCTGGTAAGTCACTCCTTCAATTGAAACTTCAACGAAGTCATCTCGATTACTTCAGGACGCATCTATAGCCGACCTTGCTCGCAAGTACTACCTTACCTTGGAATCTATCGCCCTTCAAACTCGCCATATCATTGACGCTCTCAACGCTGCAGGGCATGTCATAACCTCTCTGCATCTGTCTGGCGGGCAGGTGAAGAACGTGGTGATAATGCAGCTCTTTGCAGACACGTGTGGCATTCCCGTCATCTTGCCCAAGTCGTATTCTGAGGCGGTGGTTCTTGGTGCAGCGATGCTGGGGAGGATTGCAGCGGAGGGTGCTAAAGACGGAGAAGACATGTGGAAGATCATGGTGAGATATCCTGTCCTGTGCGTTCTGCTGAGTGAAGATGCTGACTTTTGCGATTCAGGTCGAAATGACACCTGCTGGTACCCTTGTGGCCCCTGGGGCATCAGCGACAGTCAAAAAACTACTAGATGCCAAATACACCATATTTCTAGAGATGATTGATAACCAGAAGCGCTGGAGACGGCAGATCGAAGAAGCTAGCCATTGAAATGTGCGTGTATATTCCAATTTCGTTTACGATAGATTTATGTATTATTGCCCCAACATTGCACGGATGATAGAGCGCAAGCTCGGTATCCCAATCAACTGCAAGACCTGACTGGTAGCTACTAACAAAATTTCATGAATACCACCAAACATTGTATGTGTTCTGTACTTGGGTATAAAAGATTGCCTCCAGGTAATGTACGCAATGCACCAAAAACCACTTGAAATATTCCCATCAATTTGTCAGTGAAGATTTAAATCTCGGCCATTTTGCAATAATGCCACCTGTGCGACGGCGAAGGTCATGTTCGTCTCCGAATGGGATATCCTCCAACTGCGCTAGCTGCTGTAAGATGTCTTGAAGACAAGTGACCTTAACATGGGTAAGATGAGAATGTTGCCGAGGAATATTAAAGCTGACCAACCCGTGCAAGTTTGGGATCTAGGTACGGGTACACAGACTCTATCTCAGCCAGGATTGTGCTCAAATCCTCCATGCCCTGATATATGTGAATAACAGTGCAGATATTGGGAACTCATTCCGTACCTCATGGCCAATCTTTGTCTTTCCTTTAACAAGTCGTTGTAATGCCGTAATCCATTTGGACACCTGGTCTCCTGCGGTCTCAATTTCATGCTTCTTTCGAACAGGTTCATCCTCGAGGTGGATCTCCGTATAAGCTCTCTTTCGAGAGACATCTTTTCGCCCAGAAATGCTTGTGGCTTTGGTGCTTTGCAAGAGCGACGTGTCAATGGATATTCTTGAATCATTGGATGACACAGGGCTGTGTTCTTTGCTTGCTGCAACCTCGCGCACTGGCACGCCGAAGACAGACGCCGATTCTACAGTGTCCTGTGGTTACAATATATCAACTTGTGTTCATTTCTCGATACATGGTACTCACGCGAGAAATTAATCCGTCAGGCGAGTGAGGTATGTCTCTGCGTCCGAACAATGCATCGAGTCGTTCGTTGAATCCATCCCCTTTAGATTGCTGCGGAAGTGCGGTAGCTTGAACACTGTCCAGCATCCGCGTAAATTTGCGTGGCAAGGCATGATGTTCATCCTCGACTGAAACTAGCCCCGACTTGATTTTACTGTGGTGATCTCTCTGATGTACGGAGGTTGAAACATTGAAGTCAAAAATAGCGTCTTCAAAAGGAAAGCACTTCGTCCTCGAAGTCCTGTCCTGCGACTTTTCGTCAGTGCCGTGCCTTGCGGCATGACACCGACGACGCCAAGCGATTGTGACTACCCGAGTGTCCAATGCAGCATTAATAACCTTTTGCATAGATTCGTAAGGAATTGCGGGAGCAGCTTTTCGACGAGCTATGGTCGGAACCGCTGTAGTGACTTTGGATATTGGAGCACCGACTGCTGCAACAGCCTCTGAACTTTCCTGACTCGTGCTTCTGCGAGTGTTCTGAATCTGGCGGCGTTTTTTGCTATAAATCACTGTTTGCATGTCGGCGCTGCTCCCCTCGCTATCGATAGGTGCGACTGGCGGCGAGATATTGTATGAACCATTCGCGCTGAATGTTGCTTGTAGTATCTCCTGCAAACTTTGGGAACCGCGAGAATCCTTTGCCGGAAAGTAGATGCCTGAAATTTGCGAAGATGCCTGCTGGACTTCTCGTTGGGGCATTGCAATCGGAGGGATATGGTCTGGACTTGTTTTGCATTTTTGCGATAGCATTTTTCTCGCATTCGAAGGTGGGCCTTTTGAGTCCTCCATACCTAAAGGGACCTCATCCATACCACCTTCGCTATCTGAAACAACCAGTGGTGTCCATGAAGGAAGATCATGGTGTTCAAGCTGTATGGTACCTCCGTCTACTAGGATCGCACCTCGAGATAGTCGAGGGACTGCTTTATTTGGACTTGGAGGAGGCGAGACTGATGAAGGCATCATCCTAGTAGTGGTTTTGTGATGAGTATTGTTGGGCATTAAACTCGGAGACAATTAGTGGCGAGACAATGGCCAATAAACACTCACTTTTTATGTGTGAACTCGGAACCTGAGTCTTTGGGGAAAATACCTGCCAGCGTGAAATTGATACCTCCAGTGAGAGTCTGTCCCTGCAAGTGAAGAATCATTTGATCAGAAATGGTACAACCTGATGCAAATATGTGCAATACTACTGACATGTGGGCCTGCATGTGTGGCTACAGATTGGTGTGTCATTAGTGATGTGTCATACATCCTTGCCCATTGTTTCATGATGTAGAAAGCAATGGCAGAAAGTTAAGTAATCAAATTTGAAAGAGCAAGGCTTGGGGACTTCGAGAAGTGTAAGTTCATGGGATATTAGATAAGAAATTTGTATTCACCAAAGATATGTGGTTACTTGCTATATGGTGTGAGGCTAAGAGATCTCAGGTAATTATACCACAAGGAAATGATTTATTATCACCCAAGCTTAGAAAGTGCTACTATCTATATATTGACTACATTGTTTGGTATTATTGACATAATTTGGCACACAGCTTAGTCACTCACTATCCTTGGCACTCCACCAACAATTCACATGATTTGTTCACTTGCCTGATTTAGCTAGGCTGACAGCTTGTGATTAGGGCTGGCCACCATAGCCCTTGTCTTTCTATTATGTAGCAAGGCATGATTAGAGGAAATAGAATTAGGTCTTTGAGTGAACAGTACTGTATGCATTCAACCTTAGGTTTGTCACAGTGTCACCAATACCTCGAACTGAACCTATGTCATGTGACAGTCACAGGCATCTGGCGAGGACGAACCTAAAAGTGTGACATCTGGTTCTCTCATATTTTTCTGTGAAATAAAACAAATTCTAACTAATGTGTGTCATATTCTCTGTATTGTGTGTTTGCATTGTGCTGTCGCTTTCCTCTGCTGGCCTCCTCAATACCCTCCAAGTCACTAGGTGAAATCATGTCACAGTGCTTGTCAGCAGCACTGTCCACTATCAGAGACCCATCCATGGCCATGATATATCCTTCTGACACGTAGGTCTTGTCAGACATGATATGTTTGAGCACCACCTCCAATGGGGCCTCATCATCAACTCCATCACTCTCAACCACATCATCTTCTGGTAAGAATACTTCAGCATCCACTGAGTCATCATTGCTTCTTGTTGTAGCAGTGGTGCTGCGGAGCTGGATATGCTGCCACATGTCAGGATCCGTGCGCAGAAGATCTTGAAGATCTCGAAGAGTGTCGATGCTGGTAAGACTTTCGAAAGAGAGATTGGATTTATCATCTTCACCTGCTTTGCACAATGCAAAGGCCTGTTTGTCTTTACTATGTGAATAACATTGACACTAGTTTGAAAATGAAACATACCTTTTTGATCAAATCTGTCTTGTTCACAGCCTTGTAAGCCTCGATGAACCATCATACAGAGTAGTCCCACGAGGTTCCTTTGGTGACATCCAGGCGAATTTCAGATGTGACCGTGCCAGAGGAAAGCTGTGTCAGTGTCTTGTTCACAACGTCTGCATGCTGAAACCCTTTGATTGCGAGCTTGATAGGGCGCTGGAGACCAACATTACAGGGTTGAGTCACCCCAGTTGTACCAGCTGGGACATAGCAATATTGAATCCAGTCATATGTCGTGTCGAGCCATGTACAGAATGCAACAGAGCAGTGTACAGACCAGCAGTCGAGCTGCAGAATGCAGGGTTGATCAGGTGGTACACCCAGCTCCTCTTTTTTCTCCATCCAAAATGGGACCAGAATATCTGTCACATACATGCACATCGTTTTGAAGGTAGACCAGTATGTGTCGGTCTTTGAGAAGGCAAACTGGAACTTCAAGTTCATTGCTTCATCATAAGAATGACCATGTACAGAAGGAAGGGAACACTTTGTCTTCCCAACCACAATGATTTGCCATGGCAGCAAGTCACCAGCAGCTGAGATACCAGCCAAGAGTGTACATGCTCGTTTCTCCTCCTGGCCAATCATACTAACCTGCTTTGAACCAATGACTTCATAGGTATAACCACTGGTGGACTGGTAGATGATGTTGGTTTAGTCAATGTTGACTAAGAACTGGGGGAAGGTGTTACGACTTGGATGGTATCTGTTGGCGACGCTCAAACAGAGCGTGTGTCGTCAACGGTCGAGGATGTCCTTGGGCTAGCCCAAGGTTAGGGGTCGTACTTGGTGTGTCTTCGGCAAGTACGATTTAACGCCTATGTCCAAATCGGGTAGCTTATGTCACGCGGGTGCGAGACGATAAGCTATATCGGCCTAGGCTTACGACACCCGAAGGTTAATCGTAAGGATCGTCGTTAATTAGAAGGACAGAAGTCCAACTAGTCAACAGGGGCTTTGCTCGTCGACGAAGTCGATGAGTAAAGGTCGAGACTATAGGCTTATCCGCGAAGAGCAGATAAGAAGATAGAATATAGACTGCTGGCGAGGCAGAAGGATCACTCTGGTGAGAGTAGGAGGTCAAGAACCAAGTAGATTCAAGTTAGGGAATATAGTACATGGTAGCGAGTTTATATAGAGGACAGGAGACGTATTAGTGGATGATAACTCGTACTACCGGGAGAGGCAATCGGTAAGGGTAAGACCATAACAGGAAGGCACGTTTGGTCTAGGTGGAACGTGCTAGATAAGAAAGTGAGTCAAAGATCGGATGAAGAAGTGAAACGCGCAGGGGCACGATCGTGCAGCTGCGGATCTAAGTATAAGTCGCATGTGCGACTGCGCACCGAGTCAGAGATCAAGAAAGGGAACAGGAAAAAGGGGATGCGTCGTGCATCATATCATAGGTTACCGTCCAGACGGTAAGGGCAAGGGGACTGTCCACAGGATCAGTCAGGTGGTGAAACGGAGCACGGGTATGCTTCGTCAGCGAAAGGATCCGGCCAAATGTACTGGCTTTGCTGAAGCGACAGGTAGAGGGCGAAAGGGAATGCGAGGATGACGAGGATGACAAGGGTAAGGTCGGGGTAAGGGTATGATGTGAGGGCTGATACGAGGAGGATTAGGAGAAAAATAGTAGGGGCCCAAGCGTCTAGATGTTCTTGTAACAGAAGGTGATCACGTCGTCGCAGATTGTGAGCGCAAGCCAAAGGAACTGCTCACAACAGACCTCGTTCAAATTGGTAGGAAGTTTTTGAGCTGCACGGGTTCCTTTGCGCATGGTGTAGCGCAAATTTTCATACAAGAATGTCTGCACCCAAGAGTCAGAACACTTGAACATTGACCCATCATAAGCCTTTGTTGTGAAGATCTGAGGGATTGTGTAGCACAGCAACCTGACAATAAGACCACAGCAGCATGATGTGTTTAGAGCAATACCGACTTGGTGAAGAGTTGAAAGCTGATCAGCAATGGCTTTCACTACATCTGGGTAAGGGGAAAGTATGTTGGTTCTGTGACAGTGCTTGATGCAAGATGTCCTTGCTCTGCACGTGCGATGACAGAGTCTTTCCATTATGGGCGAGTCCCGGTTTGATCAATCCAATGCCCAATGACTTGTGGAGTAAGGGTCTCACACCGTGGGTCCAATTTCTGGGTGTGATAACAGATGGCATGTGGAGACATGCCTGGTCTGCCACTGAGCTTTGTAGCTCACAGGATTGTTGGCCACAGAATTGGACTCTGCCAATTCACTCGTTTGGCATTGGTCAGCCTGCAAGTGTGTTTACGACCACCATGAGTAGCTGGTTTTTTCTGGTGAATGTCCTCCTTAGAGCCAGTTCGGCAACAAGATGTTGACTGAGGTTTGGCAAATGTTAGGTGAGAGCTCTCGGCTTTGATTTTGCCGAATGTCGGAGCTCAAATTACCCAACCCTACAATCATGCTGTTATCTATACCCTACATACTTTGTCCTCGATCTATGCTCTACAACAATGGATGTTCAATTGGAACTCCCGCTGTAGTGATGGTTGTGGCGCTGGGCTCAGAACCACAGTTTTTCATACTCACATCAACACCCGAAACATATGCGCACATGTCCAATGCACTTCCACACATGTACAAGCCACTCCACATTGGATCCAGCGCATCGGACTTTTGGACATTGCATTGGCCGATTGCACTTTGTGCGCACTTGTCCATCCCATGTCCTGTCCATCTGAACTAGCCTCACTAGGTGCGTAGTTATTCCCGTGCACATTATCTGACATTTGGACCGCATTATTACATGTCCACAGCACCTCATGTCTTATTACATAGGACATCAGACCCGAAATATATTGCTACTATCTTTGCCTGTAGTATTCCGGATTTCTACGTACTTACTTAAATACTCTGTAGTGACCTGTAGCAATTATCACCCAGTAGTTAGGAGCTGTTTTCCCGACTCTGCGGATCACCCAGAATATTCTCGTAGTTCTTAGTTGCATTGCGAAATATTACCGTTCATTCACTGTCATACTCCGTCACTCGTTATACTTGCGCATACCACTCGCAATCTGACACTCGTTATAAAGTTTCTGACCTATTATCATGAAATCTGAAATCCGAAATCTCGGACATTGCACTTTGGCTTCAGACATCAGATAAGTACCTTCGGACATAATCAGATTACCTTCGGACATCGTTTCGCAGCATCGGACATTTTGTTATTTGCATTACTGATGCATTTTACTACTAATACCAATTAGCAATCCCTTTAGGATCGAATGCACTTGCTCTGCAAGTATAGCAGCATAGGTTGTGCTAAGATCTACCTAAACATTGTTGACTAGGTAGTACAGTTTCTGCTGAGCCCAGTGGAGATTTACTCTTTACACCATGTTATCCGCCCCTACGGCCAGAAAATAGACGCCGCCTTATACAACATTCAATCCTTGTCGTTAGTATTCTAATCTGCGCTACAGCAAACATCTTGGAGTCACTGTATGCAAAGGATCTGGAACCCTACCATACATCCGCTCTCTCGGGTGAAGCATGGGTGATGGAATTATTATCTGGTCATCCAGAATGAATCCGATGTGAACTCGGTGTGCATGCGAATGTCTTTGCAGAGCTCATATCCGATATTTGTACCCTTGGACACACCGACTCCAAGTTTGTTTTGTTAGAAGAACAACTTGCCATCTTTCTATATACGTCTGTGACAGGCTTGTCTATCAGGCACGTCGGAGAAAGATTCCAGCGCTCAAATGATATGATTTCTCGGTAAGTATGCACTAAGCTAATAGTTTTGATGTCTCATTGTAGATTCTATGTAGTTATTTTCGCAAAATGCTTAATATATTCGCGTCCTCCCCCTTCTATATGAAACACATTTAGTTGCTGGATGCCTCAATTCCTGCCAAAATTCGCCATAATCCCAAATTTTATCCATTCTTCAAGGATACCATTGGGGCCATTGATGGGAGCCACATTCACACATCACCTTGCGCATTTGAACGAGGTCCCTATCGTAATCGAAAGGGATTTGTTTCACAGAACTGTCTATTCGCTTGTAACTTTGACCTTAAATTTGTGTATGCACTCACTGGCTGGGAAGGGTTGGCTACAGATGCACATGTCTATGAGGCTGCCAAGGCCCACGACCTTTGCATCCCTGCAGGGAAATACTTCCTTGCAGATGCAGGTTTCCCTCTGTGGCCTGAGTTACTCATTCCTTACCATAATGTGTGCTACCACCTTGCAGAATGGGGCCATGCAGGTGTAAGGTGAGTGCAGCAGCATTTTTACTTTGCATTACACACTAATTTTTTTACAGGCCTACTACAAAGGAAGAACTATTCAATCTCCATCACACATCCGCTTGAAATGTCATCGAGCGGATTTTTGGTGTCCTCAAACAATGTTTCCATATCCTCCTTCTATCCCTGCCATACACTATGGACATTCAAGCACAGATTCCAGTTGCTTTGTGCAGCATCCACAACTTCATCCACTTGCACAATCCTGCAGAAGGTAGGCTACCTGACGCAAACTATTCCCTTGGTGATGCACATGCTGCAAACTGGGAGCAGGAGGAAGTAGAAGAGCACCCAGCTGCATGCAACAATCTGCATTTGATGCATGATCACATTGCCAAAGCAATGTGGGTGGACTATCAGCGCATTGTGCAGGAAAGGCATAATCTTGGAGACGACAATGACAATTTTTCAAACCAAGGTATCTCGGAGGATGATGATAATGGACTGGACTAATTCTTACTAGTACCATGTAGTTGTACATTTACAATGTTATGTATGTAGTGAGCTAAATGATGAGCAGCGGCAACCACAGCCAACCACTCCAGATCCATTCCTGATGAGTGACGCTCATCAGCAATGGCAACCACAGCCATCCACTCCAGATCCGTTCCTGACGAGCAATTCTCAATGCTTGTTAGCAGCAGCAACCACAGCCATCCACTCCAGATCTGTTCCTGACGAGCAATTCTCATCAGCAGCAGCAACCACAGCCATCCACTCCAGATCCATTCCCACTAGCAGAGACCATGATAATTGTAGATATGTGTACATGGAATGCATACTACATGTTTGTATGAGAAATGTAATGAGTAGTAATACAAGTAGTGGGATAGTTCTACATAGACTCAAGGAGCCCTGAGATAAATGCACGGTGCACATCAAAGTCATCCTCCAGCCCAATATAAACAGCAAGATTGTTCTCCCCTCCTGCACGGGAAAATATCTGCAGGAGGGTGGCTCTTTGATCAAACGACAGATCCCCATCTACACTGCGCATAACTGCCAGGCCGTGTGAGATCAAGGTTGGTATGACAGGTACGACAGGAATTGGCAGATCAGGCAGAGGGGCCATGTTTTTCTCAATGGCGTCAGTGAGGTGATTAATACTACCTTGCATGTTCATCACCACAGCTACTGGAGTGATCTTCACGGTGACCTTGGCAGCACTGCTCATGCCCGTGTGTATGCTGCTGCAATGTGTCAAGACCTGAGCCTTCTTGAAGATGGGTACCTGGGATGATGGTACTAGTGTTGATGAAAGTAGGAGTGATGGCGACTGGTGACTATCAGGAATACTGGACATGCCACCAGAATTGTGCGATGAGGTCTCGAGGGAGTCAGGCAAAGTGTTTGTGTGCAGGTGCTTAGGAGTGGCGCCAACAGAGACACTGCCCCCACTGGGGTCTACGTCTATGTTGAGAAGATCAAGGGCTCTGTCTGCACCATCAAGTACATCATCTACAGTAATAGAGGCAGGGGCTGCAATAGCAGGGTGGAAGGAGTGGCAGTCCATGAGCACCACTATTGTCCCCCAAGATGGCCTGCATGTCATTGTACAGAGGCCACCCTTTGTTGCGAAAGGGGCGCATTGTAATTTGTGACTAACTCAATGTCAGTTGATAGTGTCGCAATATATTTTATCATAATGACATACCTTTGGGGCCACATACGTATCCCAGACACTGGCAGCAGCAACTCCTTCAATCCCAGCCCTGTGAATGTTGTCCCAATGGAAGCCTGATATGCCACGGTAGATCTGTATTTGATTGAATGTCTTCTTGAGCTAGAAAAATCTTGTTAATTCAAGATCAATCAAGATAAGAAATCATGTACCAAAGTCCATTTCATCTTAACCATCTTGCCTGTCTTTAGTGGGCCTATTGTTTGAATTGCCTGATCGGCATTAATAGCAGCCACTGCGCTGTTGTAGGTAGGCATTGAGAAGTTTCCACCATCACTGCCTGCTGCCTGGTTCTCAACTAGGTGGTGAAGAAGGACATCAACCTCCGAATCTTGCCAATGTGCCTTTGAGTTATCAGTTTGTTGTGTGACTTCTGGTTGAGCCATGAGAACAGTCATAAAGCTGGCATAGATGGCAGTAAGGGTGATAACACTAGTACAGATTCTTTGCCGATGATGACAATCAATAAGATAGGGATTCATGGTAGATGTACAGGTAGGAGATGTAAAGTTAGAAGTCTGCTGCCTTTAGCCGAGAGCTCTCACCCAACATTTGCCAAACCTCGGTCAACATCTTGTTGCCGAACTGGCTCTTAATGACACAGTGTGGGCGGGATAACTCTGTGAGTGAGTGAGAAGGCTGTGAGCCAAGGCTTTGCAATGATGTTGGTGGCTGCAGTACATCATTGACTGATCATAGTTTATTCTTGAATTAGATGAGATTATGTCTGATGAACTGTTCAAAACAAAACTTACATTCTTCACTCGTGCACAATGGGCACGCTGGCGATCTTGGTCACGAGTGCACTTCAGGAGTTTCTGTTCTGCTGCTTTCAGCATTGCACTGAATTCCTCGTCCTCCTGCTCATCACTGTGCACAAGATCCTCTTCATGGACAGCATCAAGATATTCTTGCCATGAGATAATGCTAAAGTGCCTCAGCAACCTGGTCCTGGGCTGAGATGGCGAGACCTGTAGATTGAGGGAGACATGCGACTTGGAGGGTGGTATATTGGCAGACATGGAGGAGGCAGAAGACTTGCGGGAGAAAGACAACTCTGAGAAGGATGTGTGTTGGAACGGAGAATCAGATGGAGGGTGGCAGTCATTGTCGGAGGCAGAAAAATGACCCTGAAGAAGATAGATGAGCTTGTTGATACACAATAAATATTTCTTCTTGTCCGTAAACAACAGGACATCAAAGAGAAAATGATGAATTGTGTTGATCATTGCGACTGTGCATGAGTATGAGTCGACCTGCCTGCTGTGGAGTAATACTGCACCTTTGGACAATGGTTGGAAGCCATGCTCCCTCAACCATCGTTGGATGAGATTAATGTCTTCCTTTGGCCACGGCCAATCCAATGAATCACCATAATGGACCTCTCGTTTCTTCCCATCGATCAGCAACACAGTCCAATGTATGCCACTGACATTCAGAGGAAATAGGACACATGTGAGCTCTTCATTCACCAAGGAATCACCAAGCTGAGAGAGCCTTCTAAAGCACTTGTCAATTAAGTAATGACCCCATCGCTCACGACTGCAATGTAGTGTTTCGATGAATGCCAGATTTTCGACAATTGTTGTCTGGCGAAGCTGTGGATTGAGAGGGATTTATAGGGATATCTCGTTCACCATCACATCTATGGATGAAGTGGCCCTTCATTGGCATGGATGATAGGAACTCTGCAAGATCAAGCACCTGGAGTGATGCAGCTGGGCCACGGAGAGTAGTACCCCACCCAAGTATCTGAAGGCTACTAAAAACCTCGTCAATTGCAGCTGCAAGATCAGTGTCTGCATTTTCTCGTTGGCCTGATAGCCAATCATGAGCCAAACTCCAGCACCCCTTCGCTACAATAGCACACCCTAAATCATGCCAGTACTGAACTACCCAAAATGGAAGATTACCCAGAAACCGTGGATCCTTGACAGATTTCATGCCATCATGATAGGCCTGACTGAAGGTATTCAGGAGCTGAGTAGACAGACTAAGTGGTGGAAGGGGACGATCCAGGAAGTCAGCGGGCACATCATTTGTGACACAGTTCTCGGAAGTGAAAAAATGATGTAAGTCAGCCACCATGAGGAAGTGATCAAACAGTGGTAGATTGGTGAAGTCGAGAAGAGCTAAGATGGGGAGGTGCAGAGCTGGAATAAATGAATCATAGCATTGAAGAAATACAAGCAGATGTACATAATGCTGAAGTTGCGAGTCAAGAGAAAGATCAATAGCGCTATCCTGGATGAAAGAATTCATGGGTGGCTGAGATGGAAACATTCAGAACATACAAATAAACTTACTAGGTTATATCAATGTATCCTTGCATTCAATATCCCGCTGAGACACTACAGAAAGCTAGAAAGAAGTCAGATATGTAGCAACCTCTGTCGTCGACTGAGGATCAATCCGACTTGGAATCTCCAAGTCCATCAGTGACACAGCGGCGGCACACGTCAGCAAACCTATCTTAAGTTCATCACAGATCACAGTGATGAACGAACATGCGAACCTACCATTATGTCATGTCACACTACAACCCCCATGAACTTAAGGTCGAATGCATACAGTAAATGTGGCATTTGCACCTCTTACTTCTCTACTGCAATGACCAACCGCTCTGTGCACTTCATCAACACAGCATTTCTTTTCCTTTCTTTCATCCATGCAACCTCATACAAACAGCACACCCCATGAAACATTTTCAGATCTAGCCCTTTACTTGCTCAATGGCCAATCTATCTCTTGAAGTTTGCCCTGATTTTGCAGGTGGCCTTTATGCCAGGATTTGCAAAGATCTAATCATGGCAACTGATGCCAAACCATTGACCAGCTAATTGAAGCCTGGACAGCAGGATACGACATTAGAGCCACAGAATGGAATAGATGCCACAATGAAGAAGCCAAAAAAGAAGAAGAGATTCAAGTAGCATGAGCATCCAGAGAAGAGGAAGACCATTTAATAAAATAAGCTGAGGAAGAGAAAGAGTGTCTTGAATTAGAGAAGAAGAAGCCCAAGATGAATGGTTTCAAGGCAACATCCATCATTGATGATGTCATAGTGCCATGTTTCTCTCAGTATGCCATCCAGAAACTGAATAACTAATCACTTCTTAGTCACTCACTAAGTGGTACCCTGAAAAAAGACCCCGAGCACCCCTTGAGTTCAATGCGCCCAATGGTGCCAATGTTGCCCAACAGCATTGCTGTCAGCCTCAAGGCCACTAAGAATCCTCTGAAAACCATCAATCACCACCTTTTAGATACATATCCTCTAAATTTCAATACTAACATGCCTCCCAGATGCTCCAGCACCACTGGAGCGAGCCAACCCAAAGCCCCCTCCCCAACCCCACCCAATGACCCTAACACCCGCAGAACAATCAGGAATCCTACCACATCCAAAGAAATAGAAGCTCTGCAAAGTTGCATTATGGATACAGAGTGCGCTGAGAAATTTCTTTCTGCAAAGCTACTATGCCAAGAAGGACAACCATACTCGTTGGCCCACCTTACCACCATCTTATTCCACATCACCCAAATGTCGGTGGTAACCCCACTCCCAGTCAATGCGGTTATCTGTGCAGTCGCATTCTTACTGAAACAACACGTGGCCTATGAAATCACGGAAGCCGCCACTAAGCACATCTCTGACACGCTTACACCCCAAATCATTGACCATATCATTGCTGCTGTTGCTCCCCAGGTTGCAAATGTACACATGGCATCAGAATCCCTCTCCACGACCCTCATGCAGGTAAAGGAGCTACATCATTCCCTGAAACTAGTCATGCCACAGCTCAGCTCTGGCTCACTCAGGTTCAACTTTGCCAGCTGTAACCCCAGTTTGGTTATCCCAGTGAACCAAGCCACCCATTTCCAACTTGGTTCAGCTCATTAGCTGCACAAACTAGCTACAACCCAGTCATGTGCAAATATCGGTGTAAAGAGTAAATCTCTGCTGGGCTCAGAAGAAATTGTACTACCTAGTCAACAATATTTAGGTAGATCCTTTGCATGACCTAGTCTGCTATACTTGCAGAGCAAGTGCGTTCGATCCTAAAGGGATTGCTAATTGGTATTAGTAGTATAAATGTGTCAGTAATGCAAATAACAAATGTCTGATGCTACAAAATGATGTCCAAAGGTAATCTGATGATGTCTGAGGGTACTTATCCAATGTCTGAAGCCAAAGTGCAATGTCCAAGATTTTGGACTTTTGGACTTCACGATAATAGGTCAGAAACTATGTAACGAGTGTCGGATTGCGAGCAGTGTGCACGAGTATGACGATGAATGAACAGTAATATTTCACAATGTCAACTAAGAACTACGAGAATATTCTGGGTGATCTGCAGAGTTGGGAAGCGGCTCCTAACTACTGGATGATAATTACTATGGGTCACTACAGAGTATTTAAGTAAGTACATAGGAATCCAGAATACCACAGGCAAAGATAGTAGCAATATATTTCAGGTCTGATGTCCTATGTAATAAGACACGAGGTACTGTGGACATGTAATAATGCAGTCCGAATGTTAGAAAATGTGCATGGGAATAACTACACACCTAGTGAGGCTAGTTCAGAAGGACAGGATATGGGATGGACAAGTGCGTGTGAAGTGCGATCGGCCGATGCAATGTCCGAAGGTCCGATGCGCTGGATCCATTGCGGAGTAGCTCGAACATGTGTGCAAGTGCATCAGACATGTGTATGTATGTTTGGGGTGTTGACATGAGTATGAAAATATGTGGTTCTGAGCCCAGTGCTGCAACCATCATTACATCAGCTTGTGCCGGCTTAAACCAGCTCAAATATGGAAAACACTCTTCCCTTCTGACTAAGTTACTAGTACGTTCTCCCTCTATGACTTCTCCCGCTGAAACAATTGTCAGCCCAGCAGAAACTCAGCCTACAGTCGCTGTGTTGTATACCACATGTATAGACTAAATTTTGTATTTTCAGGCAAAAGGAAGATAAGTAAGTATATCAAGCAATTGTTCATCTAAACACCTGACAATGTGCTTATTATTTAGTGAGGAGCCGAATGACCCAGACCACACCCAGGACCTGGCAGAGATGCACCTCAGTGGAGTGCAACCAATCATCACTGGTATGTGATATCCATCTTTGCTCAGCTCATATTGACCATTTCCCTCAAGCCATTCATGCAACTGATCTCACTCTTGGCCTCCAACAGATTCCCACTGGCTTCCACACATTGATCAAGGCCGATAACGTTGAATACCAGACAAGCAATATATCTGTAAATGTAGACCAGGCTATTATTAAATGGCATGAGCACACTCCTCTGTACGTCATCTTCAATCTATCTGCTCTGCAGGTATTGAGAAAGACTCTATGCTGTGCAAGCCATGTTCCAAAGTCTGGGTCAGTGTGTATGCCTCATTCAAATTGGGTCTCATGCTCTGTCATGGAGAACTCCTCCGCACGTTCAAGATCTTGGTTGGAGAATTACTGGATCATAGCAAAAAATTGCATCGTCAGTACCATCCATTGCACACAATGCCTGACAGATGCTAACAAGCCTTATCACAGCCATAATATTTCAGCCAAAGCAACAGGAAGTCGTATTCACTTGTACTTCACTTTTCTTGACAGTGGAGCAGCAACTTTCTGATCAAAACTGATGCTGTATTTCTTTTCCCCCTTACTACTGTGAGGGATCAATGCAGTCTGGCATTCTGATACTAAAAGCCATAACATGTAGCCTACATCTCATGATTTAGATGCATTAGCACTAAGGACGGATGCCAGACATTGTCTTCTCACATGATACCATAGAGCCCAGAACAGCAGGGAGCTTGAGCAATTTATAAACCACTTCGAACATGCCTCAGATCTCTGCCCTATATATCATCCCTACCACCCTGCAGCACTGTTTAATCTTGCCACTGCAAAGCTTGTTAGTTGGCAAGCTAATGGAATGCACCTCGACCTCAACACACCTATCTCTCTTTTTCAAGATGCCCTTGATTTGTGTCCCATTGATCATCCAGACTGAACTGTCATCCAGCTCCATCTTGCTATTGCTCTGCTCACTCACTTTGCAAAACAGGGATTTCACATGGATGCCGATGCAGCTGAAGAGTTACTGAGCGAAGTCCTCGATGTCTCCCACGCCAACAGCCACATCTGCAGAGCAGCTTTAATCGCAATTGAAACATATGTTCTGCATTCTGTTGGAAGCATTGACACAGATGACCTTTGGCAGGAGTGGGCCATCACATCCATGCTTCCATTATTGCTGAATCAACTTGCTGATCAAGCAAAGCGGTGTTTGGAGGGGGATGAACCTTGTATCTTAGATGAAGTAATATCTCTTCATTATGATGCACTGAGATACTATAACACCTGGCATGCTTGCAGAGGGCAGTTGCAAGGTAATCTGGCTGTGATACTAGAAACTTGCTTCTGCCGCCAAGGCAATGATGAAGACATGGACCAGGCTATTGCACTTCAGACGGAAGTGTTGGTCTTGTTCTTGATTGGTCACACAGATTGGTTCATGTCATTAAATAACCTTGCAACTCAACTCTCTATCTGCTTTCACCACCGAGGCAATGACAAAGACTTAGATCAGGCTATCACATATCTCAGGGAAGCACTAGCCTTGTGTCCAGTAGGTCACATAGATCGGTCCACGTTATCAAGTAATCTCGCAGTTCAACTCTCCTCCCACTTTGAGCACCGGGGCAATAACAAAGACTTGGAGCAGGCTATCACACTTGATAGGGAAGTGCTGGCCTTGCATCCGGTTGGTCACACAGAACAGTCTATGTCATTAAATAACCTTGCGTTTCAACTCTCCACCCGCTTTGAGCACCGAGGCAACAACAAAGACTTGAAATAGGCTATCAAACTTCACAGGGAAGCCCTAGCCTTGCGCCCATTTGGTCACATACATCGGTCTATGTCATTACATAACCTTGCGAATCAACTCTCATTCCGCTTTGAACACCAAGGCAACAGCGAAGACTTGGATGAGGCTATTGCACTTCACAGGGAAGTGCTGGCTTTGCTCCCAGTCAGTCACACAGATCAGTCCAAGTCATTAAACAATGTTGTCGCTTGTCCCAGTGCAGATGGGTCTGACATTCTCAAAAGACTTCGCATGCTACTAGCCGCTGATCTTGCTCCTCCTGCCTATCGTGGATCAGCTATCTCAATTGTTCAGTCAGGTCTTATGCTTGGTGTTCTCATCGCACATGTGGTACTTTTGTATATGCTTGTGACGATCAGGACTATGCACTGTTTGATGTGAGTGACTATGGACTCTGTCCTTTTAGCTCCCTCACCAAAAAGCTCAGAGTCCAAAACCCCCATATTCCGTGCCAATGTCATCAACTTGAATAATCAACCCACTAGGTAAGCACCTGCATAGTTGTCTGCCATAAGTATTCAAGTGTAGGGTTAGGGTCAATCCAAATAAGGAGAGCCATCCCAGGATGGTCCTGTGCATCTGACAAAAACTCCTCTTTGCAAATCATCTTGCATGTGAGTATTTTGCTTTATTTTGCTTTATTTTTGCACCTTCTTGAACTCATTAATATCATTTGCAAGTTTATGCCCACATAATCGCTTGCTGCTGCCTGCAACTACTTCTACTTCCGCCTCATATCAGACTCAGAAGAAGCATGTTATAGTTTAATGGTGTTGTTCATTTTTTTTGTTCTATGAGTGTAGGCTTTATGTAGATAGCATCATGACACTGTTGATGTACATAATGTAGAGAGTCTGTTGTAATTCCCACTATCTCACTTGCAATGTGATGATGGAAATGAACCTTGAGTCAGAGCCTCATATGACACTTGATGGCTCCACCTTTACTCACTGCCAAACTCAACTTTAGATTAAATTTGATCAGCCTTGCCCTCAGCACAACTTGCCTGTGAGTCAGTGATGTGTTCTGCTTCTGAGACTCATGATGCCATTAAGCCTCTAAGCTTCAAGCTCCACCATGACAAGGGATTCAGTATCATTGACTTAATGTGCACATTTAGATTTTTCTCAGGTCTATCCACAAATATTTATATAGACGGTAAGCCTCTCCCTTTCTCTATAACACTACTAGTACAATTACTAACATGAACCCCCATTGTGGTTGTTTCGACCGAACACAACTCAACGTCAAGTTCCCAGTAAAACTGCTCCCTATTCTGAATCCACACCTGGTGTCACTGTCATTCTCATTGCTACAGCGACCACCAATGCTGTTGCAGCCCTCCAATGCCCTCGTAGACAACGTCAACCTCCTCTGAGACACCAAATCAATAATGCTGATATGCAGGCCGATCTGTGTCAAGCTGGCCCTGCTGATTCAGAAGCTGGTGAAGAATTTGATCTCGCCAATGTTAGCAGTGAGGAGGAGGAAGAATATGAGTCTCATGCACATGACAGCCTACTCCAGACTGCCAACAGTCCTCTCAATACTCTGTCAACTGATCCAATGGCAACAGGAGATGACACTTGTGATACTGCTCGGACTGATCCCATGGCCACAGAAGTGAAAACAAAGTGCCTCAAGACCTCTGCTAATATTCACTACTTTTTTTGGAAAGAAACTAGAGGCAAGTGTACGTGTATCTCATGCAAGTGAGTAATATCTTAGACCAAGTCTTTTGCTGGTTCTGATGTCTTTTACCAGGCATATACATACAAACAAACTATCCCACCATGTTGTTAAATATGGTCCAAAGATGAGCAATTTAGTTCTTTGCAGCCATGTGTACAAGAACTACATCATCCTCTATCTACTTCAAAATGGACTACAGGACTGGCTGATCATCATACAACCTGTGCTAGATCGCCTCAATGATGGATGGACATTTGGACAGATGTGTAAAAAGCTCCAGGACCTGAAGTATACCATTGATACAGTTGGTGCCCCACCCAGTCCAGCACATAACAGCTTGCCAATTGGTGTAGCTTCAGACTATAACCTATCAGCATACTCTATTGAGGAAATGCATAGACATATCATGAAATTTATAGTCGCTGATGACCAGGTAAGTAGTATCTACTTTCTTTGTGCCATTACTAATAGCTGACCCTACTAGGCCATCAGTGTCGTAGAATGTCCTGAGTTCCATAGATTGCTCCTTTTCCTGCGGTGGGACCTGAAAGACCATGAAATTCCTCACTGTACCAAATTCCATCAACTAATTATTGATGCATGGGACGAGTACTTTCAAGCCATAAAGCATGACCTGGTGGTAAGTTTGCAACTAGTGAGACAGCACAATATCATCATATCTTGCAGAATGCTCAAGGAAAAGTCTCCTTCACATCAGACATATGGTCTGATGCAAAGCTTCGCCCTTTCCTGGCAATTACTGCACATTAAATCATCAAGGAAAATGGTTCAGTACTTGTCCTGAAGGCTGCCCTCATCGCCTTTCACCATACCCCTGGCAGTCATACAGGGAAGCTACTTGGGAAAACAATCCAGAATCTGATCGAGTGTGCTAGTGTGCAATCTAATGTAAGTATTTCATTTGACATCATAGTGTGATGTTCTCTAACTTATTTTAGATGAGGCATTTTAATTTGGACAATGCTGCAAATAACAAAACTGCAATGGAAGAATTGTCGGAGCTCTTGGCGAAATATGACATCAAGTTTGATGCGGTTGATCACAGAATCATGTGTTCCCCACATGTTATCAATAGATGTGTACATCACATCCTTGAAGAACATGTGGACACTGACTTTTCAGAGGTACCAAACACATTGATAGTTGGCCCCCAACAGTTGGACAAGAAAGCATATGTCGAGGCACTGAAGAGTGGCATTGTCGATCATACCAGAGCTGTTGTGCGTGTGATACATGCATCAGGCATGCATCATGACAGGTTTTGCGAGACCATTGTCAATGGTAACAACTTGGGATTCTTCATTAATCAGCAGAACAAGATTATAAGGCTCCTAGTTGTCGAATTGTTATGTGATGAGCCAACACGCTAGGACTCAACATACATTATGCTCAATCGGCTGCAAACACTTCATCAGGTAAGGTGTTATTATGCTTAACATTTTCAGTGGATTAACAGTGACACAGGCCGTTGGCCAGTTCTTTAGCATTCCTACTCAATGAAACATATCACATCACAAACTAGACACAATGCAATGGCAGGTCTTGCAAGATCTCGAGATAGTCCTAGAGGTGAGTTTTGATATCATGACTCAGATTCATCTTATTGATATATATCAGGCACTGTACAATGCCCAGCAGCACATGTCTGGTGAAAGCATCCCTCTGCTAAGTGGTGCTGTTCCAATGTTTGAATTGTTGGTCAAATGACAGGAGGGCTTGGCCTTGCACATCCCACATATTGCACCTCTGGTTGTGATAGGCTTGACTTGGACAACTAAGTATGAAGACCAGATGTGCAGCACAGAAGCATACAGTGTTTCTATGTGTCAATTCGACATTTTGTAATAGTGTTTTATTCTTATGATGATTTACAGTTGTTGACCCTACCATCCATATGTCATGGATAAATTGTGAGTGGGATGCAAATCAAGTTGACAAGGCTAAGGATTACATTATCAATTTGATATGCCTATAATATTCAACCAACCGCACCATAAACTAACATATTTTGCAGATGCATACCAAGAAGGTGACCATCAGGTCTCCCATCACCAACCAGGCATATCACCAGCCACATGCTGTCACACTAGGCTTAACACTTTATGGACTCCCCAATATTGATATGCTGCCATATCACCAGGCCAGTATCCAAACAGTCAAAGAGGAGTTCAGTGCATATACCACAGCTATTCTCAGCCCTAGGGGAACAAACATACTTGCATTTTGGATGGTAAGTGTCCTATCTCTCTCTATAATTTGTGCCAATCATTAATCATCAATGGTCTATCAGACATCACAATCATTATTTCCACCTATTTTCTCAATTGCCATGGACTATCTCCCAGTCCAAGCTTCTGCTGTTCCTTGTGAACGAGTATTCTCATCTAGTGGCAAGACATTTACAAAAAGACGTAACTGCATCAGTCCACACCTAATGGAAGCACTACAGGTGGTCAAGTTTGTACTGAAGAAAGACCGACTTAACTTTACAAAAGGCTGGACAGCCTCACAGAAGGAGATGGAGTACAACTTGATGTGTCATTCCACTGCAGACACAGACTCAGGTAATCCTTTGATACCTGACTCTACTAGTGACCTCTTGGTATCTGCCACCAGTACAAGGACTGCTTATAGTTCAGAATATGAAACACTTCTTAGAATTATTGCAGAGGACAAGTGCAATGACATTCCAGATGTTGCTGACGTATTGGTAGCTTGTTCCTTGATTCATAGACCATACCCATTCCTTGCTGCTTTGTTTATGTAGTTGTCTTTATATAAATACATCTCATCTTGTTGAACTCTCATATCTTTCTCTTTCCTGCCTGAATGCATCAAAATTTGCAACAAAATTGGATGCTGGACAATCTCCAGCTGACTTGAGCCAACTTTGGGTTACTAACTGCAGCTATAATAATTGAGCTGAGCTGTATATGATGTAAGCTGTAACTAAGTGTCTGGCTCAGCTAACTTCAGTATCAGCCTCGGCTATAGCTGGCCATAAGTCAGAGCTATGGTAACACTAGGGGGAGCTGTAGGATATGATGATGAGGACAGCCAAGGTACCATTGAACAGGGCACTGCTGAGTTTATACTATCTGCGAGCTGTGGTCAGAAGGTGCTGATTGGTGCTGAAATAAAGCCAAGACTCTGAGGCTAGTGCAGATAATGAGATATTGTGTACGAAGCTTATAGACCAGCAGAAATGAGGCAGCGAATGTCAGGTCACAGAATAAAACAGTTGTTCCTTATCACTAGCAACACACAAATAGAATAAGTGGAACACTGAGAAGAGATAGAGGACAGTTCAGATCAGCAATTTATGCAGGAGAACCCACATATGATAAACTATACCCTTGCCAGTGAAAGCACTGCATGCTACAAGTTCTACCAAAATTTCTGCCATCTGAGAGCAATAACAATTCTTCCAAGTCAATCAAAATTGTACTCAGAAGTGTGTGCTGGATATAAAAGCTGGTCATCGTCCTATGAAGTTGCCCCATACTCAGAGATATCATCCGAGATTCCCTCAGAACATTCATATTACCTCACATAGAAAATGCATTTCTTTTTTCTCACCACTGTTGTCGCTTTGACATTGTCTATGTCTGTCAGTGCATGTAACAGAAAAGAATGCAAGTATGATACTGATTGCTGCCACGACATGTTCTGTGGCAGGGAATTGGTGAGTATGAGCAGTTTGCTGTGACCAAAATTTAACCACATGGCTTAACTATGCGCATTAGGATGGAGTAACCTGCTGCTTTGGGATCTTAAATTGAGCTGGCAGCCCAAGCGGCACATCGCAACAACCATATTCCTACTTTCACTTTGGTATCATGATTTATGGTGCAATACCTATGGAGTTCATACTCAATCAGTATGGTTACTTTTGGACAAATGTTCGTGCTCAAGTAATGTAGTTGTTTTGCCTAGTGGTTCACTAAGCTTGAGTTTGAGATACTATGAGAGTGATCAATTGCTGTTGTTGATTAATATTTGGAAACTGTACGAAGATGGAATGCATTGTGCAGACATTTATCTGTTGGTCTCCCTCATGATGGAGTTGCCACTTTGTTGCCAATCGTGATCCCTGACAGACATGTTATTTTCTGGTATGTAGTCAAAGACTCACCAGGGTCCCGAATTCACTCACATGGCATTACACAGCATTCGCACAAAGCCTTGGACCGCTGTGAGACGTGTGGCAGATGAATACAACTGCTAGTCATTGGGTATTCATATGATTTTGCATGACAATTTGAAGTAAGCTGTATGTTGTATATGTTTGCTTGGTGAACACATTCCCAGTGGCTGCAATATGGAAAGTGGCACATCTTTGCACAAATTCCCAAATGATATATAGTAGACAAACATGAACAATTTAAAGAAGGTGGCATAAAAATTTGTACAAGGGCATCAATTTGCACTTTGTAAACACTTTGTGGTACTCTGCAAAACATGATTTTTTTGGTCTGGCTTGGGACGTTGCACAATACTCGAAGAAAATCAACTTTTTGGAGAGGAGGGTGTCAAAATTAGCATGAGAATATTAATTTAAACTTGTGCACTTAGTAAACACCTTGTAGTTATCTGGAAGATGAAGGCCTTCATGCCTGACTTTGATGTGATGAAATCCACTTCTGAGGTGCCGATAGTGTCTCATGTAGCTCAACCCTTCAATTTTACTTCATATCACTTTGGAGTTAGATGTTCTCCCAATCAAACACTGGTATAGGAAATTTATGCATTGTCCTTTTCTGTACAAAGTCAAACATCACTATGTGATGATGGATAGCAGAATTATACAGATGTTTGTGATTATGTACTATATATCATCATATATACTCTTATCATCTTTCCTTCAGTCCACTGATGCTTGACTCAATGTCGGGAGAACATCAAGAAAACATATGCTTAATTGTGCATCCCTCCGGTCTTGTTCTGAGGGATCCTGGGCAGTCGGGGCATTGCACAGAAGAGAGCTCAGTCGACAAAGTCGTAATGTCAGGCAATTCAATATTCAGGTTTGCTTTATTCTGACTATGTCTCTGCGACTACCTTTGAAGCAAGAAACAGCCTAGTATGGCACTGGATCAGTTCAACAATTATACATGCACATACATACGACACACACATAAATGCTGAACACACACACAGGTCTTGTATTGTACAAAATTCAGTACTATATGGTCGACTATGTTGTTCTAGCTAACAGGTCTTGAATCATTAGGTCGCTGCAGCCCTTGCAAAGTTCTCACTAGACTAACCAAGCCATCAGATGACTAGGGATTGGTACAGGTGTGTTGAAGGTCAGACCCGCACCTGCACCAGCGGGTATGCAGGAGAGGTCTTTGCAGGCTTTGCAAGGGCAGGTAGGCGATCAAAAATGTCAGTAGTATCATCATCCTGTAGTGCCAGATTTAAACACAAAAAATAACATAATAAACAAACCAATGGCGCACCTGGGCTATTGGGTCACCCGAGTCTTCTGATGTTTGAGTGCATACGAGCGCTCATACGGGCCAATCTGTGTGACTGACAAGGTGCAAAGCCAGCGCATTGCTGTGAAGTGTGATAGCCTCATCTGAGTCTTTGTTGTTGCCTCAATGGCAAAAGCGGGTGGAGAGTTGAGTCACGAGGTTGTTTAATGACATGGACCAATGTGTGTGACCGACCAGGAGAAAAGCAACTGCTTTGCTGTGAAGCACGGTAGCCTCATCCAAGTCGGGCACAAGAGACCAGAAGTATAGATCTGTAGGCGTTGATCGGTTTGCGAGAGAACAGGTAAGTGCAAAGATGCTTCACAGTAAGAATATAAAAAAATAATAGAACATACCTTGAGTCTCAGTGTCACCAGCACTGGTCCCCTGCAACTCCCTCATGGCTTATGGTGAACTCCAGTGGTACAGGTAGTAGAAGCAATATTAACTTTGAGAATGAATGCAATAACAAGAACAAGCACCATAAACAAAGTCACATGACATACCCACACGGGTATTGCCACATGGGTACAAGGTAGACTCGTGACCAGCCCATTTGCAATCAGGACAACAACACTGAACAGAAGGTGTAAGGAGGGATCTCAAGGGCACAATGCTTAAAAACTATTGATCAATGCACGACTTAAGCTTAAACACTTTTATAACGAGGTTGCTGCTGGTGAAGCTTGGCCTTTTTCTAGTACAAGACTTGTGTGTGTGTTCAGCATCTGTGTGTCGTATGTATGTGTGAGAGTTTTGGGTGTGTATAATTTTTGAACTGATCCAGCGCCATAGCCTAGTAACAAAATAAGCTCTCACATCGTACTAAGAATGGTGGCAGTCATTGCCAATTGATATCTAACGGACCTTGTAATTAATTCAAAACTCCCACTGCACAGTGATCCTACAATCAGAAGCATTTGTGACAAGTTGCTAGACGGAGATCTACAGACGACAAACATGTTGCAGGACTATTCGACTCATGCAGTTACCCTAATTTCTATTCACTGTGCTGAATACACCGAAACGTCTTGCCAGTAGCTGCATGCCTTTGGCTCAGCACCTGAATTCATCACAAATATGGTACTCACTCGCAACGCTCCAGCAAGGTGACATCAGTCTTGAAAGTGTAAACGTCAGGTACTCCTGTGGATGTCACATTGAACATCATCTCTGTCAAATCATCTTTCCAAGGTCTCCAGGAAGGTGTGATATCCCCTGGGGTGTACCTGTCGTCAGGAGTCTCGGACATGGCCATAGCCATGAATGAATTTGAGAAAGCAGTGATGAATTGCGAATTGTTGTACATAGAATCATTTCTGAAATAGTATACAGTCAGAGTAGGGGTTGACTCATTGTTTCAACTCACAGATACGAGGTGAAATAGTATGGAACATCGTATCCATGCAGGCCAGGCGGGATTGCAAACTCGCCCTGCGTGTATTGAGCGTAAAATAAATTGCGAGTTGCCTCGAACTCACTTTCCAAACTCGTTCTCCAAATGCTGAGAGGAGATAATAAGTGGGGCAAACGAATATTGCTGAGACGACCCATGAAATCAGGGACAGTGATCATTCCTTCAAAAATACACGTACATTCACCCATCACAAGATTTGCCTGGTTAACGTTGCTTCCGTAGTTTTGGTACACCATTACCGCTCCAGCAACCTGAGTAGAACCGAAGTTCGGGAAAAGCGTCTTGACATAATCTGCAACATCCAATGTCATCGATTGGTTGACGAAATAGTTCCCTTCATGCGAATTGGTCATAGCAAGAAGATAGTTCTAAGAGAGAAAGGGTCTCAGTTCGTTTGTGAGATAGAGGATTCATAAATCCTACGCCATTCAAACGACCTTTCCTTATCGTCACGGTAGGCCTCTCCAAGATGAAAGTGCCATCCACAACAGGGACAAATACGAACGTGCCAAAGAACCCGTTGATGTTGATGTTATAGTTCAAGGTCTGTAGCGTATCGACGTCAGCAGCGCGCAAACAAGAAAGGGTGTCCAAGCTTGAGGTACAGCTGCGAGTTGAGGAATTAGATAGGGACTGGCGGTTTTGCAAAGTATTTACTTTGTTCCATTGACGACCTCGCTATATAACAGCTAGTAGTGATATTATTCAGGACCTTGCAGACACTGTCCCCACAAACAAGAATCACCTCAGGGATCCGGTCATTATAGTTGTATTGGGATGGCAAGAATGTAGAACTCGTCATAGCGGTTTTGAAGAGGGGAGGTTGCGTGTTTCCTCCGTGAGCAACGATATGCTGTAGCACCGAACCGGCACCTGAAAAGTAAATAAAGACAATGATGACGAAGAGCATCTAGCGCAGCTCACCAGCAGATTCCCCCCAAATTGTGACCTCCATGGGGTTACCACCGAAGTCACTTATCTATCCGGGTAAATTCCCTATCAGCTGGGGTACACCACACCAGTAAAGAGTTCTGCTCACGTGGGCCTGCACCCACTGGAACGCATAGTTCTGGTCAACTTGGAACATCAAGTTCAGAATTTAAATTATGGCCAGACCATGATAATTGCGTACGTAGTCCAGCATTGAGTGCACCCCCTTCCTTGACCGCTTCACCAGGAAGAAACCCTAATTAGGAGTGTATACACCTTAGTAAGCATTTGAAACCGAGAGGAAACGGCGAAAACATACCGAATAAACCGAGGCGATACTGAATTAAGACTGTGATGACACCATAATTCGAGTCTATAATTAGATCTGTGCCATTATATGAGCTTGAAGCTCCTTCAATATACCCTCCTCCGTGAATCCAAACGACAACTGGGAGCCCTCCTTCCGGAGTGGCCACCACTTCATTTCCAGGAATGTATACACTACCGGAAGTAAGCACTGATCGTAAATGTCAACATCGTGGTTTAATGACAGGGCTTACTTCAAGAATAAACAGTCTTCAGATTGACTAACATCCCTTTTCTTCATAGAGGTGCTTTCCAACGGATTCGTCAAAGAGTCGCCCATGACTGCTTGATTACAATCGTTTGGTTGCGTGGTAGCTTGTTGAACCCCAGAGACGGTGGGTGGGGGCTGTGGGGCAGCCCATCTTAAGTCACCTAGTATGCGCTTGATGCGTGAGCAGAAATTGTGTTCAACAAACAGAACTTCACGTACCAACTGGGGGAGCGGCATAGCGTATTCCAAGAAAACTGGTGATATTTGTCGCCGTGTCAACGGATCCCTGGTACTGGGCATAACCCAAGTTGACGATGGATGCAGATACGGTGGCTGCCGGAGAAGACAACCCTTCAAGGGCAAGCAAAACCTGCGATACGGCCAATAGATTAGCTTTGGTAAACAATTTCAAACCCATAGATCGCGCAAAGATAAACATCCTTGACTAGGGTAGATATCAAGATACGGCACGAGTTGACGGATATTATTATAAATTGAGAGCACATTTTCCGACGACCGGAGAACTCAACTGAAAATGGCAGTGCGCCGAGCTCAGTTGTACCTGTAAGTATGTAGCGTAGTCAGCCAATTAAATTAATCGTCAGTGCAAATGGTCTAACCAGATTTACCCCACAGACGCTCCAACTATCGGGTTTCAATTGTATGGACGTGGCTAGGGCATTCGAGACCTAGCCTAGAGCGTTCCAGAGCACTCTAGAATACCTTTCGAACGTAATTTCATTGGCGGCAAAAGGTGGTTAAATGTTGGTTTCCCCACTGTGTTACCAGTTTCCGAGTCTAGTGTGTCCGACACACAGCAAACTCCGGCAAAACCATCATCGATGACTATGGTGAATCCGTTTCCAAGACGACTCGTTGTTCGCGAATGTCATTATGCACAGGCTCCTCTAACGTAAGCGGTATGGTTCCTTGCAGCGAAATGATGAATCATATCTTGGCGATGCGTCCGAGGAAGGATTTGATGGGAGTAAAGAATCTGATGGACGTCATGCGAAGATAGTTTGGAAGAGAACTTCGATGAAGATATATGATGTTACAAGTCTGTGGTTTGCGTCGATGATTCTAGAGTTCTGCAGCCACGTTTCAAAGAAGACCTCGTTTGCAGGTGCTCAACATAAAACAAGACGACATAATTATGTATCTTGTTCGCGGGTATCCAGTGTGATGACCAGGGTCGGGGTTTGCGCTCATGACACACCACCACCAAAAATAGCTTTTGAATCAGTGGCAGCATGTAAGCTCGTCTACTCCGGGCCACTTGCCGAAAGGTTTGTTCTTCTTGCGAAGCCTGGCAGCGAAAACAGACCCAGACGAAAATCCAGAACAACAATTCAACCAGTACAAGTGCTCGACGCTGCCTTCGACGGCTGATAGTAGGGTGAATAGACTAATCGACATGAACCCTACCGTATCCGTGCGCTCATTTCCTCTGGGACAATCATCTTAAATCGATGATAAATCGTAGTCGTTGAGGACGCCTGTCGCACGACTGCACGAGGTCCGATAAATCATGAGATTGCTGGGGCTGATGTCACAGCGAATCAGTGATAGACGCCGCCTTCCCAAAGGATATGATGACCTAGAGTCGCAGTTGATGAACGATAATTAGAACACAAAGAAAGAACACCTACGGATGACAATGTACCATCATGCTTCGCGGAACTCAGGCTCGTGATAGGCTCGAGCTTCATGAATACGGTGGTGCAGAAGACCCGACTGCCCTGTTCAGCGTCCTTTATTCCTAATGCCCTTCTGATAGTAGACGCGGGGGACTCGTTAAACCTATGGAACCAAACCATGTCCGAGACATGAATGCATGACCCATCACCCGTAAGTCGCCTTCACTTTCGCGAGTGTTTCAGGTTCGCTCAGACATGTCGCCTCTTCTGGCCAATAGAACTTGGCAACTGGTTTTTCCGATGTGGTATGAGGAGGGTCGGTACCCATAGCAATTCCGATAATGCCTTGCTCTCCATGCCATTGGGAGGATGGACGGTGGTTGTCATTGTACGTCCATGCAGACCGAAATGAGATGAGCACATCGGAGTTTGTGTAGACCTCAATATTCAATACCATATTTGTGCTTAACAATATACCCCATTAATCATATTGTGCATAATGGGGTCACATTCGTCGCATAGAAGCAAGACGAGAAAGCGGACAAAAAGTTGTATGATAAAATCATATTGAAAAGCACTATGTACTAGTACATAATAAATTATTCAGACTAGTACTAGTAGTGGCATCATTGGTACCATATAATCAACAAAAAATCCGCATGATGAATAGCATAGGGCTAGCATCGAGCAACTATGAAAATCCTCCGTTATTCCCATTCCAATTCCCTACAAATCCATTGCCTCCACTCAGACGGTTATACTTCGCGAGAACACCACCAGCCATTTCAACATTTTACTACCTCTTGCAAGATTACAATCAAAAGCAGATCTGGACCTGGCTAGAGCATTTCAGACCTAGAGCCGTGTTCCACGGCACTCTAGAATATGATCTTTCGAATGTAATTTCACTGGCGGAAAAAGGTCAGTTTCCCCGCTGTGCGATGTAGTATTTCTCACCGAGGCTAGCCCTAGTAACATGCACTGACAGACCGTGACCGTCATAAACACTGTCAAAGCGGCAACGACGAGAGAGGAGAAACCCGGGGTAACACTATAAGACGACGACCAGCTTTCATATCCTGCATATACTTCTGGGCACGATTCCGATTGGTTTGGAAGAATTTTTATTGCTGCCAGATAGCAGAAATGAGTCCGGTAAAACCTCCAGCCTGCGTGTTCATTGTATCACAACCTGGAATCCTATTGCGCTAGGGGTATAGTTCATCATATATGGGTTATCCCGCATGAATTACTGATTTGAACCGTCCTCGGTTTCTTCGCAGCGCTCCGCGTATACTATTCACGTGCTGCTTGGGATAAAGAACAGTTGCTTCATTCTGTGACTTGGCATTCGCTGCCTCATTTCTGCCAGCCGTGCCTCCTGCGGACGTAAGATGACTGTCACACTACCAGCTTCACTAAAAATTGATCTTTGTACCCTACCGCTTGCACTTGTGGTGAGACTTAAGCGACCCAAAACCACGTCAGTGACGGGGCCTTGGCAAGGCTTACGAAGAGATTGATGCAGAATGATATGGGTGGATGGGACGGACATGACATGGGCGACACTTGACGAGTAGTACATGTCCTTATGTCACACTGTATAGTTATCAATCAGCTGGCTTACAGACCTCACTTCTCAGTAGTATATCACATAGGACTCTTAGGTGATGGCCGTCCGAGTCCGTCCCACTAAACACATTGTTTCATTACTTAATGAACTTCGCCATGAATTTTCTGCGTTCGAGACAGTTAGAGACAGTACAGCAATGAATGTATCGGACACACTTGTGGAATTCTGTCCGTAGCAGGTCATTAACAAATCGACCAGATTTATCTTTCTGATTTGCGGCCTGGTTCTTGAATATTAAGTCTGAAACGAACAATGTTAGCAGAGGATGAATGGTAAAGAAACCGATGACTCACCATCATCCCATCTCCGTTTTACAGAGAATGTCCCTGGTACAGTTGTATTCATACCAGGTGACTGTCCTAATGCTGCGGCAAGATTTAAGAGAGGATTCGAGGTAGCTATCTCAGCTTCTCGTGCGATCGCGGCACTCGCATTCTGTTCATGCTCTTGACGGGCCTTCTCTTCTGCCCGCTCTTTTTTTATCTTCTCCAACTCACGCATCAATTCAGCGGTCTCGTCTTCCTCATCTGACTCTTCACTGTCAAACTCGCTGTCATGAAGCAGTACTCAATGATGAAGTCGGAGGAGAGACGCTCACCTTTCCTCGTCCTGCTCTTCCCCATTGTCCTGCCCTCTAGAACTAGCACCTTCCTCTTTCTCGTCGTCATCCTCATCGTCCTTATCCAGTTCCAAAGCCTCTTCCAATAACTTCCTCCGCTTGTTAGCTTCATCCCCTGCTGCCTCCGTCCCGTTCCCATTTGTGAGCGGGAGCGGTGGCTTTCCCTCTGCTTTTCGCTTCTTGTTTCGTGCTTCTTCCTCCGCCGCTAATAGCTCCATGCGTAAGTCTCTCCGTGCGACGTCCCCAACGGACGTTTGACCAGGTTGCCTATTAACATATCGTAAGTTTCACAACTTGAAGATGATAAACCCGAATACTCACCGGAATTTGAGTTTCGTGTGTGCTGCCATGTCTCGGACAGAGAACTGGCGGGAGCCACCTTTCACATCGCGAGCCTGGGCAGGATCCCATGTCGGTCTGTGTGCTGTAGACATTAAGTATTGAAAGTCGACGGAGTAGACGATAGGTCACGGTTCAATTTGCCGTACTTGGTACTAGAACTAGAGTAAACATCGATCGGACTTCCAAATAAGTCGTGGCAAATCGAACCGTAAGCACATCCAATTTGATGACGAGGGCTCGGCTCTGCTGCCTGTCACCTTACCCTGTATCTTAGGGAACAAAGGACTCAGGACTAAATACCACGGAACAGTGCCCACCAGGGACGTATGGAAAATCTTCATGCTCTGCCCAACCCCACTGACTTGCTCGAACCCACTCTCCTCATGATTCTAATTCGACCCCTTCTTTGCTGCAGGCGGATATGTGGATCATGGGACCCAATCATCGCCTCCTTTTCTGGGTATCTCACATTTCTCGACATGCATTTTATACTTTTTGGGCTTCATCGGTGATACCTTGAGCTTGATTGCCAGCATGCACATGGAATGCGCCGGTCGCGGTGGTAGGATTGTGAGTTCTTGATGTTTACTGTCAATCCTGCTAGCTTTATGCAACCATTTTATTGTTGCAATATCGAGTGTACCGTTGATTCTTTGATTCTCTGTCAATTTTATATCTAGCACTGACTGAATCTACGGCTATCCGACTGGACGACGCAATGAAAACCAGACTGGGCGATACTCAAATGTTGTTGCTAATTCACAAGCACGTACCGAAAACTAGTTTCCTCAGAGACGTGATTGCGCCCTCTGAGTTCACATGCACGTCGGTGTTCCTTGAGATATCATCATTATCCGTGTCGAGAAGATTAATTTCAAACTCGAAGTTATCCACAAAGAAACAAGCAGGGCTTTGTTTCCGATCTCACTAACCTCTACAGCTCTGGAAAGGACATCATTGCAAAGGCCCTTCAAGTTGCACTCAATGAAGGTGTCCACAGCGTATCACTTCCGTAGTACGAGATGCTAACGTCAAGTTGGGCTTCTCACCAGAGACGAGCGTCACGAAAACTTGCAACGCAAATCCTTTGTTTTGCACCCTAGAAGCTCTACCTGATATGAGAATCCATACAGAGGAGGAGAGTTCGAGCGGGAAGAAAAAGAGAGAAAGCGTCTGGATTGGACTAGTGAATGCTTATGTCATCATATATTACAGTGGCCGATCCCCAGCAACTTAGCTATGAGTATGCAACTTGAAAGTGACAGTATCGACGGCGAGTCGGCGCGAATTTCAGACTCGGACTCAGAGGACGACGAGGTCCATCAGGATGTCAATGGATTAGTCGTACATGACCTCGCAGAAGCGCCTAACACCTATATAGGCTACCTTCCATCATTTCGTGCACACCTGCGAGACACCAGAGCACACCTCACTGGGTCTATCTCCGTTTACGACACTCCCCATCCTATCCCTTCAACCAAGTCTACGCTACCTCCACATACTGATCAAGATAACGTTTCTACTTGTCCTGAGCCAGTCGCAGACTCGGAGAACCCTGAACTACCACCACGCAAATCAAATCCAACTATCTGGTGTTCCTCACTCGCTTCTTGGTCCCAATTAGAGGTAGATGCATTTTTCCACGCGTTGTCGATCTACTCTCGCTGGCGGCCGGACTTGATCGCGGAAGCCGTGAAGACCAAATCCGAGGTCGATATCGTGGAGTTTCTGATTACTCTGGATTCCTGCGCGCATTCCGGCACCACCGAGACCGGTGACATCGTGTCAACTTCTCCTGCTGCGATAGAAGTATCAGATAAGTGGGTAGTCGCGGAAGAGGCTATGGCTGCCGCTCTGATTGCCGAAGAGGATCGCGGCGAACTGCAGGCGCTGGAGGCACTAAGGAGAAAGAGGGTGAGGGATGCAAAGGCGGATATGATCCCGAGAGGAAAACGGAGGTGTATCACGCTCAAGGTCGGCGCAGATGAGCCCATAGCATGCGAAGATTCAGTGAGGGACGATCTCGAGGACGAGCCGATGAGCGTCGAGGTCGCCAAGGGAAAGGCTCGCTTCGAAAAATGGCACGCGCGTAAGGTCGTTGATTGGGAGCGAGACGATCTGTTCAAGGAGCTCGAGGACGGGCATTTGCAAGTTTTGGATACGATGCTGCGCGAGGATGAGGAGGCACAGAAGGGGAAGGGCCTAAGCCACGGAGGCAGTGCTGATGTGATCTCGCAGGACTTGGATAACGGAATAGACATGAACATGCTCTCTCCCACATCTCGCCGACGTCAGACAAAACGACTTTACATGCGGCGAAAGCGTGCACAGCTTCGAGGCGAGGATGTGGTACCAGTAACCCTCGCACGGCTTAAGCCTGGGAGGAAGGAAAAAGAAAAGGCAGTTACAGTAGTGGAAGAAACCGAGAAAGGGGGAGTCTTGCTATCTGAAAAAGAAATTGTGGATAAGGTGACAACGTCTCCAGATCTTACTGAACCTCATTCCGAAGCCGATGACGATGACGTCGGGGACGCGGGTAAGACGATCACCAAAAAGCGTGTTAAAGTGCGTGGAAAAACTCGTTACCAGAAAATCAGGTCCGATTTCGAAAATGCTGGGATCAATGCATCCTACCTCGGTAAACACGGTATGGATCTCTTCCATCTCGGGCGTTTCGGAAAGCTCATAGGGTACGTCTTGATCGCGAATTTCATTACTGTTTTCTCATTCATTGTGGTACAGGATATACAAATCGCTTGGGCCATGTCCAGAGGATGATGTTGGCACCACCTTCATTTCCCCAGATTTAATACAGTACCTTCAAGCATCGGTAGTTGCGTTCACGACGAATGTCATACACCGTGCGATCATGTGGAAGGAACAGGTTAATGAACTCAAGGGCCAGAAAAAGGTTTGGAGGGTGCTGCACCAGGTAGGTAATATTCTATTCTTAAATTCCAGCCAATTCACCCGTATCATCATGTCCACCAGATAAGACAACCAGTTGTCGAACATGCATTAAAGACGATTGGTGTGAGGACCTTGAGTCAACAGGAGCACTTCTCAAAGCTGCTTGATCAGTATGATTTATCCCCAGACAAACAAAAGCGCAAGAAAAAGCCTAGTCCCCCTGCAGGTGTGGAGGACGAGCGAGCGAGCGCTACCGGACATTCTCCCGACGCGGAAAGCTATGACATTGCACTCTCGCCTCATCGTACAATATATACGCCCGCATTTCTCGCTCCCGCCTCGTTTAATATCGGTGTTGTGGACACTTTCTTCACAGGTTACGATGAACAGCTTCCATCTAAAGGCTTGATCAATGAGGATTCTCGCGATGCGGAGTCTATACTCTCGGATGAGACAGACGAGGAGGCTCTAGAAAATGAGTTGATGGTGGACGAGATGTTAAATCAGGCTGATGTGGAAACCGGTAAGAAAGTTGAGGAGCAGCTATGGGCTGAAGTAGAGAGGGAGATGATGGAAGCGTCGAAGCAGTAATATTTGAATGTGGATAATAAACTGTAGCCATCCCATTACTTTATAGTTGCTTAATAGTTGTAGTACAATACAAATGTATGCCGAGCATTGGCGAATTGGAGATAGGAAGAATCAGATGTACAATTCTGAGGCGCAATTTAGCGTATGATATGCCAATCAGCAAAAACGGGTTAAGATTATGATCCCAAATAAGGCTGAGGCTGCACAGCAAGCTGTGAAGTAACTTATCATGTTGCTTGTTCGAACTTGCTGTACATTCGATTCTGAATTGACCTCGATAACTCCTTTCGACTTAGACATAGAGGCCTGATGATAAAGATATCGTCGTAAGTGATGTTTTTAGATGGATGAGATGGCGCTGACCCCAGTAGTTGATTATGCCTTCACCTTTAGCCATCATCGGGATGGAAGAAACATCAACGATAAAGCCCTGTCAGAAGTTTGAAGGACACACCGATGATGTCGATACTGCCATAATTCTGCCAGACGGACAGCGAATGATAACTTGTTCAAGGGACGACTCGCTGCGGCTATGGAACGTGAAGAATGGAAAACAGATAGGAAAAGACTACCGGGATGGAGACATTAATATTGAATTGCGGACCATAGCGTTGTCTCCAGACGGGAAGAAAGGAGTTAGCGGAAGTTGGGATGGTCAAATGAGGATGTGGGACATCGACACAGGCAAAGTCATCGGGAAATGGACGGGACACACAAATACAGTGCGGTCTGTGTGCTGGAGTCGAGATGGCCGGCGAGTGGTGAGTGGATCTTATGACGGGACTGCAAGGCAGTGGGATGTGGAGAAGGGAGAGACAATCCTTAGTCCAATCGAGACCGGGCACGTTGATGTGTACGCAGCTGTCTACTCGCCAAACATGACGATGTTTGCGACTGCTGGATCAAATTGCAGATGGGACCTGGACATCCTGGATGATTATGAATATGAAGACTCGGTCAAAGTATGGAATACGAATACAGGCAAGCTTGTCGCAACTCTCAATGGACACGCGCAAATGGTGAATTGCCTGGCTTGGACATCAGATGGAGAAACACTTGTCTCTGGGTCAAACGATTCCTGGATTATAAAATGGAATACGACAACCTGGAAGCAGATGGAAAAACTAGAGCACGTCAGTAATATTGATATTCACTTGAATTTCTTCGCCGGCATTGCCTCTTTTATTGTCTATGACATTGCGATATCTCCGAATGGCCGCATCCTCGCAATCGCATCCTTCGAACCGACAGCACGATTATGGAACCTCGACGACAACCAGCCTATTAACAGTCCGTCCCTCCAACATGCACACTCAGCAGTTACCTGCGTGTCCTTTTCGCCAGATGGAAAATTACTAATCACTGGCGGTGACCACAACGTATGCACATGGGACGTCACTGCGATATTAAAAGAAGCTGGCCTCGACGACCTCCTTTTGGACAAGCGTCTACTCGCTGTGCGTGCACACACTTCCTCGTTGCATGTAAGCTTATGCATTCTAGGCTGATGCTACACAACGTCCTCCCCGGCAGCCAATCAAGGTCCTAAATAGGGTACCCCAAGGTTTCTTTGACGATACACCTCCTGTATGTGGTTGACATCTCATCCAGTACTTTCCTCACCTTTATTTTCTTAGTTGTCTCCACGACACCAGCTCCAACATGGAACCACCCTTCGTGACTACTTTTTATCTTTATTCCGCCGAATACACCCTGATACGTCATCCCAACACCGTCCTTTCCACTGGATTCGAAACCGTCTTTCTGGCAGACCAAGCGAGGTAGATATCGACCTGCATCAACATCCCTCAGCAATAATTGACGTCCCTTATGCCAAGGGCAAACGTGTACGTTCCTCTCCTTCTCAAATGTTCAGTTCCCCCTGACTTGATTTTCTTAGAGAAACGCTTGTGCAAGAGAAAAGCGGAGGCCAATCCTGAAAAACCCTACCACAAGTACCTCAGGCCCTCCCAATAACAATGCCACACAGCAATCCGCTCAGGTCCAGTCATCTTCGCAAACACAGCCGCAGGTTGCTATCCCCACGTCATCCACCACTCCCGCACCTATAACTTCAAATACTAATCCTCATGCAATGATAAAACATGCCAGTCGCTGGACTCGCTTTTGGCTCTTTATCTGTTGCGCCTCTCCCGAGTATACCGATGGTCATCATTAATCTATACGACAATTTCTCACATTTCATGATGTCATCTCATCCCTTGAGTACATATGATGGAGGCATATATAGATGAAGCCGCGTCATACAGATTGCTTCTGCAGAACCAACCGTTTTGTCCTTACATGTGGATAATAATCTGTAGCTGCCCTGTCACTTTATAGAACACCTGTAGTACAGGTTATCATTGATACCTTCCGACTTTTGATACGTACGAAGGGCCATATCTGCAGATGTCGAATATTATTAACTTGAGTTGAGGGTTAATTGATTAATGCACCACTACTGTTCCGACAGGACAATAAATATCGCATGTTACTAGAGCAAGCTCGACTATAGTTACCCGATAAATGATGACGATGTCGAGTATAGTTCATCCAGTCGACTTCACGGAGATGATAAAGGTGCTATTGTTGAAGCTCCTCCGATCGACCTGCTTGAACATCGGCAGCATACCAGGAAAATGGAAGTTATAAGCCTTGTGTTGCCATAGCCTTTGGTGCACAGGAAACAACACCACGGTATTACCAGTCGAGGTAATTGAAGCTGCTACTTCCTTGCAGACTGAATCAGTACAAGACTATACTGACAATCAATACGCAAAGCACATCAATGTAATGGGCTAATAAGCATCGTCATCATCAACCATAATCACCTTCAATCTCCACCCTTGCCAATCGTCATCCGGCTCGTCATCAGCCCATTCAATATCTTCGTCACCAGGATCCCCCGCAACACCATTCATCTTGTGATCAACAAGGTCGTCAATTCCACCTAATACGTCAACAGCCTCATCTTCCTGAAGCTTTTTGCGCAGAGCAAGTTCAACTTCATTCTCCTATTGGCCGTTAGTAAAAGGGAAGGATACGAATGGAAAGTGCAGCTTACAATGTCAAATTCTGATTCTCCCTCCTCATATACCACATTCTCATCTGCTTCTTCAAATCCGCCAGCAAATGCACCCCACCGCTCTGGGGACGGACAATGCCAAATGAGTACAGAACCTTGGTTAGTTGTTGAGGCAAGTCGAGAGGCTTGTGGATGCCACTAAAAGTAATAATAATTGTCGTAACTAGTATCATGACAGAGAAGACGTACATGAATATCAATAAGAGGTTCCCTACCGCCGTCCAAAGCGGTCGCAAATTGACCATCATTCGAAATATCCCAGATGTAGATTTTGTGCGTCGCTGGATCCGCCGCACCTGTTCTCGCACAAACGATTCAAGTCAAGTCGATAATGTTGTAGAGCAATTTACCTCCAGCAAGCCACTCTCCATCAGGGCTATAAGACATAGCATGCCACGAGACCTTGCTAATGGGATCATTGAACCTATGAGTAGGTTCCAACTCTGTTTCTAGAATCGCGCATTCGGCACCCGCGATGGGTGAAGGATAAGTGGGGAGGATGAACTGCCTGATTGTTCGATCCGAAGAATTAGTGGCAAAGCGTCTATAGAACATAGCATAAACGGAATGAATATATCGGAGGATAGGGCACCTACCGCCCAACCTTCGCAAACTCCAGACTCTTCATGCTACCCGCACCTGCTATGCGATGCCGTGCAACCATCTTTAATTCCATTAAATCCAATTTCCATGATAGGCTGCCAGTGGGAATCCTTACAATTTTCGTTCTGCTATTAAACACCAGTACGTTCCCGGTCGAAGTCCCGACAAATACGTGTCTCCCAGAAGGATCAAATCGCGCGGTAGTCATGATGGAACTGAGTCAGTAAGTCAGTGCAGGCTATAACGCAGAAACTAAGCCAAATACCGCGCCCGTTCGTCGTCGTCATCTTCACTCAATGTTTCGCAGAGCTCCACTCTCGCTCTGTGCTCCTTGCGCGAATCAACTACATACGCCTCGCCCGTGCTGAGCAGTGCGAGTACTATGCGACTACGCTTGCATTTATCATAAGCCTATGAGAACAAAAACAAAAACAAGAACGATGCGCACCTATTTCTCGGATGAAAATATGCGCTGACAACCGGTGCATCAAATCGTATCGTATTGTACCGTTGTGGAGGATCGACTGGAGAAGCTAGATCCCAGATGATCACGTTCCAGTCTTTGGATGATGTCAGGACATAACGGGAGTTACGGGACCAACTATGTAGATACGATCAGTTGACATGGAAGCGCCGATAGCCGTTGCATCACTCACTCGACGCTTGTTACAGCCTTGACGTGCCCTTCGCACCACCGTATAACAGCGCGAGTGTCGAGATCCCAGATAGCGGCTGAGCCATCTGACCTGCCTGCTGCGACGAATTTGCCAGTCGGATCAAAGCGAGCAAATGATGCACCAGAGACCAGTGAGGTTTGTACAGCGGTCGGGTGTGTAACGGTGAATGGGTCTTAGTATGAGGACTCAGTATACATTATCGAAAATGATGCGCAAGCATACTGAGTAAGGAAGCATTCATGTTTAGTGTTGTCCGAATAACAGTTCAGCGCTCAGCTCTGAGTGATATTTGAGCAGGAAGGAGTTGGTGATGTATAGGTCACGTTGAACTGTCACGTCGCGTCCATTCTCCAATCAGCGATCATCGAACAGTAATGAGCTCTTCAACACTTCCCAACCTACTCGCAGACCTTGCCATTCCTAAAGAATTCTCCCGTTTTGACAAGCTCACAGATGAACAAATCCTTGCTCAACTCATCAGGTGGAAAAACGGTGTGAGGGCTAGCCTCACGACTCTTCGCGATCTGCTCGCGACGCGACAAGGCATTCAAAGCCTACCTGTCGACGAGCAGGCAGATATCGCCGCGTCCGTAGCTGCGTTTGATGGTCCTGGTGAATGGATCGCAGATGATGCATCGGCTCTCGCACTATGTATGACCCCTCTATGACCAGACTACCTTGACGGCGTCTCACTCTCATCACAGCCATCCTCGATCCGCTTACAAAACCACACATCCATCCTCTGGTACTGACGCGTATCCTGACGTATTACCTCAAACCATCTTTTGCTGCCAATCCGCATCCACGGCTTAATCTGCAGACGGGGCGCAAGTTACCTCAGCCAGCGGATACGCAAGATGCATATGAGGGGCAAGTATGGAAGACGCGCATCGGAACTGGAAATGTTTTGGGATGGTGTTTACGAAACATTGAGGTGCGTGCAGCAGATGAATGGACTCCCAAAACGTATCTCAATCACGTAGGCCAGCACGTATGAATCAGTTTGGCACCTGATTCTCCCTCCTGTGATGACTTATCTCGACGATTTCGAAGCACCTTACAAACTGCGGGGAGTGCAGCTCGTATCCGATTTGCTTTTTCGCGTTCCTCCGGAGCTTCTTAAGCGTACAGGAGTTGACGGCCTTTTATTCACAGTACGTCACGATTAAAATTGAACTAATGCGATGTGCCATATCATTCTCTTTCTTGCTGTTACGTCAAATGCAATTGCTTTGAATGCTGAAACTCTTTTAATGCAGTCTTTAAGTGGTACATTTAACCACTTGCGCGATCCGTTCACCCCGGATCTCATTCGCGCCGCCGTTCCTACCACCCTGCACCTGATTGACATCATCTCACCACCCTCGCCGGCTCCGCTTCCTCCGACATCTGGATCTCCCTCTCAAGGCCGCACCGTAGTTAAATCAGGGTCCTTCTCTGCAAATCCGGCCACTCGATACGAACATCTATCTACACTTCTCGGTTCTTGCCTTATTGGCACTGTCTTCCTGTATGCATATGCCGACCCTGAGGCCATTCTCGCGGCGACAGACATGCTTCCGCTTGTACTTGTCCCCATCGGAATAGGCGCTGTCAGGTGGCTCAAGGTATGCCTTTACCAAGTCAACTTCGACTTACGCAAATAACTGGTCGTTTCTAGGCACTAATTCCGCAGTTCACCCATGCTCTTCTCCCGCCAGCCGTTCCTTCACCCAGCCAGCCACTTGATGTCGATTTGAGGCTTAAGGTGTCTTCGCTCCGCGCACTATGTACTTGCATTGAGACCTGTGCCCCCCGAATGTATCTGTGGAAATACAATATCATTGATGCAATTGGACGTGCATGGGCAAGCGCCATGGACATTGAACATGAACGTCATACCCAGCTTGCGGATGAGACAGGTAGGTAATTTGCCCTTTGCTGAGTTTCTTTGTCATTATCGGTATCCAGGTGCATATAGCTTGGCATCGGAATACAAAAAACTCCTTCGAATGACTTGCGTTAAGCTGGCAGAAGCATGCCCAAGAATCATTCAGGTATGATACCCATTCGCGTATCTTGTTGGTAATTCTTATCATGATATTTGTATCCAGGAAGAATATCAACAGCTCATAGCGTTTGATTCTGCGCTCTTTGATGATCTTGTTTGCAAGGGTTCCTCAGGCACGTCAGACAAATAACACCTAGTTCTTTCTTGAAACAGTGTGTTGTAAATTACTATAGATCAACCTGAATGTCCGTAATCCAGTGGCAATATGTAGGTACACAACAGAAAACAAACACGTGTGCGTGAAAAGCGCGTCTGGATGAAAATCTGCCAGGATCAACTCCACAAAGCACTGCCACGCAATGACGGAAAGAATCGCCCAGATCCCAGCCCACTATAACCATAACGCTCAATACCGGGCCGATGCCAGATCAAAACTTCAATTTGATGCCTCATTTCTTGTGAAGGAGAGGGTTCCTCGGTGGTTTGGGTTAAATAATCACGACGCAGGCTGCACGTGGCCGGGGGTACAGAATGGGGAGGCCGTGAGGTATGTATTAGCACCATAAAATGTACATGGCAAGATGGGGTTATGGGCAGATATATGTTCAAGAGACAGGGGAAAGCTTGAACGCAACCCACGAGCTCAGTGTTCCCACGCAGCAGACTGGGCAGGGGCACTTTCCCAATTGCTTCTCACAAAGGGCGAGTGATTAGGTGGGCGACCTGCGTTTGTGAAGAATGACGAGGGCGGGGTCGCATTTGCTTGGGAGGCTTGTAGGTAAAATGGATCTGTGGTGGTAAATAGAGTTTGGGATTCAACCGGCGTGCCGACAATCGTCATAGGCGTGGGCGCAGGGGTTGGTGCACCTTTCAACCCCGTGTAACCCCAAATGAAGGTTTTTGGAGATTGCGGGGAGGATGGGATTATCATGTCTTCAACCATGCGTTCCTCGTCCAGCTCGTCTGGGTCACACCATCCCTCGTCTACACTTTGTCGACGGGAGCGCGGACAAATGATGCTGTTGTTACGCTTCCTCTGAGTTATTTCAATCGGGATATAGCCTGGAGGCCACGAGACAGATGAAGAAGGTGTACGCGTAGTAGGTGTGGTGCAATGTTGCACGTGTGTGGGGTCACACTTACTAGCGCTCGCATTTCCACACGAGTTAGGTGAGCTAGACAATGCACAAGAGGGTGAAATTTGGTGTGCAAATAACGTCTGCGCGAGCTGCGCCTGAAAATCGCAGCGCCACGACGTGGCCAGATAAGCATTTGTGGGGGAATAAGGTTTATAGTAGTATGTACCTGTAGAGTTGCAAGGTCGATAGCCTCTTGACCAATGTGATTCGCATTGAGGGAGGATACGAGGTCATCTATAGACACGCTCATGGTGAAGAGCCTTTGTGCGTGTGGCGGAAGGTAACAGAGGAGAGATGAACAGAGCCGTCATGCAGAGCCTTGTCAGGAGTATAAATCATTAACTCCGAACCACGTGGTTACTAATTCGATACAACCAACTTTCGGTCACTTCCGGTCCGTCTTTAGCTTACCCGTCATCCTCCGTTTCAAACTCTGAGGCTAAGTGTTCCGAGACAACATCATGATTAACATGCGTCATGATGCACAATTTGTCCCCTAGCAATCCTTTCGCAATTTCGTGAGTTTCTGCACAAGAAAACTCTTGCATCACGCCAAGTGATCTTTTCTTGTTCAGACTTAGACTGGCACGGGAAATTAATCTTCTCTTGTCAACTATGCTCGGCATGTACTTAACCTTACCGCCCTTCGGAAGTTCTGGTGCATATGCTTGGTACGTTGTTTCTCATATTTGCGTACATGGTGACTCATACGCATGGTCCTGTGCTGAGTTAACTGTGCCGACACTTTGTACGGCCCACAAGGCTATCTTGAACCCCCTGGAACTGCCAAATACCATTTCCGCGGACTAGACAAAGGCCGTTTGTTTATTCTTGGCTGTCCATTTGGTCTGCGTCTTCCTGTGTGTTCATCTACAGATCTATGAAAGCTAGATCGCTCGTGTTGCCTATTTTGCTCAGCTGAGCGGCGGTATAGGCGCTCTTGAGCAGAAATACGGACCGTTTTCCCTATCCCACTTTATCCACGAGAGCTTTCATCAGGTCCTGTTTTTAAACACGTTCTGTCAATGAACTCATCACAAAGTTACGACATACATTCTGATTGTTCCAGAAAAAGCGCTCTGATCGGCGCCGAAGCCCAATTGGGCGGTGTTCCAGCTTCATTTAGTGTCATAAATCTTATTGAGTAAGATAATTGTCACACATGTGACACTGGGGGTTTCAGATTTCAATCAAAAGCATATCTGGATCTGACTAGAGCAGTTCCAGACGTAGCCCAGCTGAGTGTCCCAGAGCACTCCACTCTAGAATGCCTTTCAAATGTAATTTCACTGGGAACAAAAGGTAGAAAAATGTCACTTTCCTTGCTGTTGCTCTCATCCAGCACTGCTGACTAATCATCACATTGCAGCTCAGTGTTAAGGGCACCTGGGTTGCCCAATAAGTAAGGTTTAAAATAGTGGGCAACTAAGCATCTCATCCAGGTTTAGAATACTGTACCATTTCATTCAATTCAATAGTCACACATCACAGAAGGTCATGTTAGCATCAAAATTAGCCCTATGTCACACGTAACATTTCAGTTTGTCGAGTTTACTTTTCAGGAACAGAATTTGCTTCTGCTAATAATTAACTACACCATAATCATGTTTCTCGACTCAGTACTTACTCAAATCTCACCGTTGTCATGATGGCACCAGAACATGTGGGAATACAAAGTATTGGCCTTCTTGTTTCTTCTTCCCTGCCCTAACCCCTCCGCCACATCAATGCCACCCTCGTTCTCAGGCTGGACCATTTGCATATCGCCACCTTCAAACTCCAAGCTCTCTGTGTCTGTCTTTGAACCAAGCCTCCCATCCACCCTCTCAATACCAGCTGCAACACCAGCACCCACCATATCAGCAATGGCAGCTGCACATGGGACATCAGTGTCGTCAAATGATGTGTCATTATAGAGGTCCACCTCTGTCTCAACATCTTCATTTGTTTTTGTAGGGTCTGTCATTTCTTGAGGCTTCACTTTGGTGAGTTCTTCCCAAAATTCAGGGTCTTCTGATTTCAACTTTCGCAACTTGTCTTGTGCAGGAAAGCCAGTAAGGCTCTCATATGACAAGTTAAATTCACAAACATAACACATCTCAAATGCCTACAATCATAATTCAGTATGTGCCAATCATTTTTTTCTTTCTTACCTTCTTCACAATGATGGGTTTCCCCACAGTTTTGAATGTGTCCCACATCCATGTGACACTTTTATTGCGCATAATGGCAACACACTTGTCAATGACCAAGTTCTCATTGTGTGCAAGCTGTTGTGACATCTCCTGCACCACGTCACTATGGTATGAGTGCTTTAATGAATGCTTGAAAACTCACTGCATTCTAACATCACAAGGCTGAAACAAGCCTGTGCACCCTCCAGGTACAAAGTTCAGCACAATCATTGGGTGGTTCTCCTCCAACCATGTTTGGAATTAAAGGGACTGATGGACTGACCATGCATCAATTTGCCACACTGATGTTTGTGTTTGTGGTAAGCCAAGCTCTTGTTTCTTCCTCTCAAAATATGGTGCAATGATCTTGTCAACCAAGGTATGCATTGTCGCTTGTGTCGACCAGTATGTTTTTGTATTTGAGAACTCAAAATGAAAATTTTCCTTGATGCAATTTTCATAGTTTGCAGCTGATGGATTCAGACATGACATTTTTGAGTGCCCTTGATAGATAGCTTGCAGCAGAAGCATTGTACCATCATTGGCAACCAAGATGACAACTGTGAATGCACATTTTTTGTCATTACCAACAGCAGAGACCTGCTTGGCACCTGTCTTCACCCACGTCAGGTTAGACCCTTATGCACAGACAACTTGAGTCTGATCAGTATTGACATAGAGACCAGATGGGATGTCTTCCTCTTTGATGATGTACACCAGTCGAAAGAAGGCTCACTCGCATAAGTCTTCCCAGTTATCTGGAGTTTTTTGTGCAGCTCATATCATGCATCTCTTGGACCAGTGCAAGGTTTCATGCAATCAATGTCATACAAATGCATCTGAACACTGGAACTTTGAGCCATCTTTTGCTTGGTGCTCAAGGATGTCTGGTGCTGTATCAGAAAGGATTGCAATGATGATCTCTCGGATTGTGATAAGAGTAAGTACAGCTCTAGCATCATGAAGAGCTTGAAGCTGTTTGATGATGGCCTGCTCCGCAGCTGGGTACTTTTTCTAACCAAACTAATCAATATCATTCCAAACCAGCAGTATTGATAGCACGTACGAAAATCCTTTTTTACCTCCATTGGAATGTCCCTGATGATTGCCCAGATTTGTCATCCGAATTGCAGCTTCAGTCCATTTGGGCTTGCCACTGTGATCAATCCAGCCTTCAACTGTAGACTTTGCAAGACCTTTGAAAGTTGCCAAATCTTTCTTCTTCAGATACTGAACAATTCGTGTTGAGCTCCAGGTAACTGATGGATTTTTGGCAGTATTATCAATCTGCACCCATGTAAAAGGTCTGTGCCAGTTGTGATATACTGCATCTTGCTTCTCGAGGGTGTGCTTGCGACCTTGAGAATGCTTCATATGCTGACACTGATGTTCTTTGACCATTTGGTCAGGTCTTGTTAATTCTGCAATTGATGAACTAGATCACTTAGGTCCATTATTGGCTCAATGTTGTTTCATGCTATCAAGTAATAATTGAAGATTGGCCTGATGAGATCCCCTTCAATAATCTTAGCAAGGCATCCAGTGGAATTCCTGCTTTGGAGGACCTTTGAGAGAGATGGAAGTCTGAAGAAACTGCCTAGAGACAGCTAGATGATGAGGAGTTGCAGGAGCTTATTGAGGAGCAAAATGGCAAGCTTGTTGAACATCACCATCAGCCTCACTCAGATAAGGGCAAGAAGTGGTGCTGTGCCTTTTCTCCCAGTGAGAACATGATCTCAAGGCCCCACAAGAAGGCTCCATATATGAGTCCTGCTACTGTTGACAGAAAGAATGAGATGGATAGCACTCTCATCTCCTTCCAAAACATGACCTTCAACACTGTGTCTCTCATTGACACATTATTCAATAGTGCACCTCTTGTTGACACACCTCCTGCACTCAACAATGCACCTCTTGTTGACACACCTGCATTCAATAGCACACCTCTCATTGTCATACTTGCACCCAATGGCGCACCTTTCATTGACACACCTGTCATACAGGAACCTACTTCATTGTTTGATGTTCCCTTTCACCCTTTGGTATTATTGTCCTCTAGTAGTACAGGTGTTTCATTCACTGAATTTGATTGTACTTTAATCTTACTTGCACCATTCTGGCAATATATTTTGAACAGTATTTCATATATTCCTTTCTGAGTAGTACAATGATATGTATTGAGACCATTATCACAGCACATAAGCAGGATACATGACAATCTCATCTTGAAAACAAAGCCACAGGAGGCCATACTGAAAGATGTGTAGAGATGGGTATTGGGGAGAATCAGCAAGCTGATAGAGATCAAATGTGCTTGTCTCACCTCTGCTCTTTTTTTGTAATGTCCATTGCTGTTCCTGTTACGACAGATACCCTTCCCGTCAAACATACCCAAGCTTAACTTAAAGGGCTTCAACTGGGCCATCTTCTCATTGTGTTTTCAAGTCGCTGTTAAGGATCAAGGAGTTATGGAAGTACTTTGATGGATCTTGTCCCCATCCTGCTTTGCCCGTAACTGCCGCAGAAGTCATTGTTGCTGAAAAATGGCAGAAGAACAAAAACCTTGCGAAACATCTACTCACTCAACGAATTCCTGACTCCATGGCTCTTCGTGTTTGCAATCTCACAGATGTTGCAGCAATGTGGGCAGAAATTGTTTGTGAGTACACTGAGAAAGGCGCATATGTGCAAACAGACTTGTGCACCAAGTTCCTCAAATCAAAGTGCCCTGTTGGACACGATGTACGTCAGTTTCTGGACGAACTACACATGAAATGTGATGAACTGTCAGCGGTTGGCATCGACATCAAGGAAAAAGACTATTGCTCTACCATTATTCAGTCACTCCCAAACCATCTCACAATCTTCGCATCCAGGCAACTCACAACTGCCCAACTCTACAGTACCACCAAGACAATCGAACCAGACATCCTTACTTCCCTCATCATTGAGGAATTGGAACGGTGCACTAGTCATGATGCACACCCCTCTCGCAACACTAAGTCTGGTGGTGCTAACCAGACATTGGGAGTAGCAGATGTTGCCCCTAGAGGCAGGGGTGGTGGATATTTCAGAGGATGTGGCTCGAACTCCAACAGGCAAAGGAGGCCACACCCTCTGTATTGGAACTGTGGATCACAAGAACACTTTAAGGCAGCCTGCCCTGAGCCAGATAAGTCAGCAGGAAATCATGCTGACACAGCAAAAGAGTCTGCTCACACAGCAGCAGATGACAACAATGAAGACGATGGTGTATTCATCGTTGAGCACACCACAGACTCTGACTCTGTGTGCTCACTCCCTGCCCTCTTATCCACAGAATCCTCTGACGATGATGCTGATGAACGATCAAATCTTGTTGTTAGCAATGACAATTGGTTTTTGGAGGTGGGAGAGGACAGCTTACCCTCTTTCAAAGATTGGGAGAGCCAGTCAGCAGCCCCTAGCAGTGGAAGCAACACAGACTCCTTCATAGACCTAGGTGAACCTTGCATCAAGGAAGAACTAGCTGCTAAAGTTAGCGGTGGGCGTGATAATGGCGCCAGTCATCAAACTATATGACTCTGGTGAAGGTGAATCAACTCAGCTCTAGGTCAAATGGTAAAGGCAAGGAAGGGACACAAGAAGCTGATATAGTGATCAGTGCAATGCCTAGTCTGCTATGCTTGGAGGGACAAGTATGTTCAATCCAAGGGGAAGCAAGGGAGACAAATCCACAGTCATGCAGCAGCTGTGTGAGGTGAGCAATGGGTGAGTGAAGCGCAGGAAACTTGCGTGAGATTAGTGTGAAGGTGCAGGAACACGAAATGCAAAAGTAGCAAAAATGCAAAATAAAACTAGCAATGAATGAGGGCTCAATGAGTGACAAAAAAAAGACTGCTAATATCTTCTAACTCTAGCTATAGACATGATGGGGGGACTCCACTAGGGTAAAGTGTGGTGTAGTAAAGGGTGAAAAATACGGTCCTATATATGGATCTTGCTAAGTGAGCTAAGTAGGAGATAATGTATGTAATAAGGTATGTAAACCAGGGTCCATGCTCTAATATGGTGCCATTTTGATAAAAATGCGGAAATACGTACCAGTGAGACTTGCTGGACAGTGGATGGATGCTCCTGGATGATAAGGTGATGAAAGCGTGGGAAAGCAAGTGATGCGAGGGCATTGCAAGGCGCAGGAAAGTCGCGCAACACGGGAAAGTGTTGCCTGATAAGGAAACAGCTTGGGAAAGGTCAGGGAGTGATGCTGCAAGTTGGTGCTGCGAACCTGGGTGGTATGGACTGAAGTATTATGCGTTGCAAGTCTGTAATTATGTGAATCTCTACACCGGCACCACTCGCCATATCTCACCATACTGAGATCATTTTGAGACCATGTCCCCCATCCCACATAAACCCTTTGTTGCCGCTAACAAACAGCACTTCAATGCGACAGGCATTGGTGAACTTGTCATTGAAGTCCCCAATGGGGTAGATATCTCCAAGTCATGTCTTACAGAGGTTCTGTACTCACCTGAGGTGGGATACACCCTCATGTCAATTGGCCGTTTGGATGACCTAAACTACTCCACTACCTTTGCTGAAGGTACCTGCACCATCCACGATGCTTCTGAGAATGTCATTGGAAGCATTCCCAAAGACACTCAAGGACTCTACCATGTCGATCATGGACCAGATAGTGCACATGCAGCAGACAAGACCATTACTGTCATGGAATTACATTGGCGTATGGGACACATAGCACCCAGTACTGCCTGATGCCTAGCAGAACATGGCTTAGTAACCGGCGTCAAAGTGGATATGATGTCTGGAGAGCCTACCTTTTGCAAATTGTGTGTCTATGCAAAAGCAACTCACAAGCCTGTGGCTAAAGTCCATAAGGAAAAATGTGCAGCAGATTTCAGCAGAAGAAGTTCACTCAGACTTATGGGGCCCGTCACCTGTACCCACCCTAGGAGGACGTCATTACTACATCAGTTTTACTGACAACAAAACTCAACTCACCCATCTACACCTCCTGAAGCAGAAGAGTGAAGCCTTCCAGGCTTACAAGGATTTTGAGAGTTGGTGCAGCACCCAACAGAATGCTCACATCAAAACCTTGCACTCTGATCATGGTGGTGAATACCTAGGTAACAACTTCAGTATGCATCTCAAGGCTACTGGCACTATGCACAAGCTTACCGTACATGACACTCCCCAGCACAACAGAGTGGCCGAATGACTCAACCATACCTTACTTGAGAAGGTACACGCAATGCTCCATGAGAGTGGACTACCTCGAGTTCTGCAGGGAGAAGTTGTATGCCATGTGGTCTGGCTGAAGAACAGGACGCCTACCAAGGCCCTAGATAGTGCCACACCTCTTGAAGCTGCCACTGGGAGAAAGCCAGACTTACACAATGTCCAGCTGTGGGGCTCCAGAGTTTGGGTGCATATTGAAGGTGGAACAAAGCTTGGGGGATGTGTCGAGGAAGGGTGATGGATGGGGATTAACAACACTAGTGGCAATGGGCATAGGGTATATTGGCCCTTGAAACGGTCAGTGGCTGTTGAAAGAAATGTCTATTGGGACCCCACAGAGGTCACAACAACACCTCGTGAGGGGGAGGAAGAGAATAAGAGCCCGAATGCAATTATATCATCACCGTCATACTCACCTCTTAACCCCACTCCATCAGCCACTATCCCAAGAACTCCAACTACCACTTCCCACTCTAAGATTCCCATCCTATCAACCCCACCAATACTCAACATAGTTGCAAAGAGAGTCAGGAAACCAAGCCAACAAGTCCTAGATATAATCGAAGGAAGTGGTCCTGTCCCTAAAGGAGTTCAGCTACCAACACCAGAAGCCATATCCAAAGAAAGAACTCACTTTGCTGGAGAGGAAGCAGCAGAGCAACTTATGGCTATACTGGAAGATGAAGATGATGTCACTGAACTCTCACTAGCGCTTGTTGAATTCACTGCTGAAGCTGAAGCACTTGAACCCACTAGTCTTGCCAAAGCTAAACGCCATCCTGATTGGGCCCAATGGGAAGCAGGCATCCTTGAAGAGTTGGCCACTCTGCAGACAGCTAGTACATGGAAGCTTGCTGAACTCCCTGCAGGAGCAAACCTGGTAGGATCGAAGTGGGTTTTCTGAGCCAAGAAAGATTCCGCTGGAAATATAGTCTGTCATAAAGCGAGACTTGTTGTACAAGGATACTCACAAGTCCCTGGTGTCGACTATTTCGACACCTATGCCCCAGTAGCCAACCTCTCTTCTATCTGAATGACTCTCACACTCGCTGCTCAACTGGACCTAGAACTCTATCAAATTGATATCAAGGGAGCATATTTGAATGGAGAACTTACTGGTGACAAAGTTATTTATATGGACCAGCCTCCCAGATTCGAGTCAAAGGAACACCCGACAAAGGTCTCTTGGCTGCAAAAGACTTTATATGGACTGAAGCAGAGCGGAAGAAGATGGTATCAGAAGTTGATGGAGATATTGGTGGATAAGATTGGACTTGCTCAATGCGATGTCGACCAAGCTGTGTTTCACGATCTGCAACCAACGAACTCACTGTCATTGTAGTCCATGTTGATGACTGCACTCTTGCAGCCTCCTCAATGGACCTCATCAAGCAGTTGAAATATAAGATACGCTGTAGAGCCTCGCGTCTCCACAGGCACTTCCCTCCAAATTCTCCCACTTTCCCTACAAACTCCAGCTCTAATCCACAGGATATGTCTAGTGCATTAGCACACTTAAATTTTATTTCGCAGGTTTCACGTGCAGCCTCGTGTGTTCGTGCACTTCACGCATCCACACTCGCATTGTCCATGCTAGTAATGGGGTGGTTTGGCCATGGCTGGTTTGGCCTCGGCTTTTATTGGTTATGTGGCAGTTCGGTTAGCAGTAAGTAGGCTTACTTGATTTTTCGGCTCGGTTCACCTCAGCTAGCTGCATGAACCAACTTCAAGTGCATTATGTGTGAAAGGCAGCTTGAGCCAGTTCAACCAGGCTCCAACCAACTTGTGCACACTATGTGCGCAACCTCTTCTATCATTTCAACTTTGAAACACATTTCTGTCTGATAACTCTTTGAATCAAATATCTTACTGTATAATGAACAAGGTCCCAATTCAGGTCGATGGCAGATTTAGGTTGGGAGACCTCTTAGGATCTGGCTCATACGGTATGTAATATGTTGTTTACATGTACAATTTATATGTTAAAAACATGTACTAGGTGCTGTGTACCATGCATGGAACATTATTAATGATGATGACCTTGCCATCAAACTTGAGCCTCTCATCAATAATGCATCCTCTCTAGAGCATGAATATCGTATTTTGAAACATCTTGAAGGAGGGGCTGGGATTCCGCAAGCTGTGTGATTCGGTAGAGAGGCGGCATATCATGCTCTAGTTCTTGATCTGCTCAGGCCATCACTGCATGATCTTTTCATCACACACAATCGAAAATTCAGCCTTCATACTGTCCTGAATTTTTGAGACCAACTGGTAAGTTGGTTTATGGTGTCCTGGCACTGGTAGATGCTGATATATATCGCAGCTCTTATCTCTGGAGCACATTCACTTACACAACTACATTCACGGTGATATAAAACCACAAAATGTCCTTGTTGGTCGTGGAGACTTAGAGCAAACAATTTTTATTGTCGATTTTGGTGTTGCAAAAGAGTACTGGAACACTGCTGCCCAAGCCCATATGCCATTGCGCCATGGTGGACATCTTACTGGCACTCCCGCATTTGCTTCAATCAACAACCACCTAGGAGTTGTGCCTGGTCATCATGACGATCTCGAGTCACTTATATACATGTTGATTTACTTCTTGTGCGGTTCCCTTCCATGGTTTACTAGTGACCACAAGAAGCTTCCCACTTCTTCTATACTGGCACGCAAGGTGGACACCACCATTGAAGATCTATGTCTTGGAATTCCTCCTAAGATCACAACTATGCTGATTTATTCACGCAATCTTGCATTCTCAGAGGATCCCAACTATGATTATCTTAGATCATTGCTCCACGATGTTCGCGCCATAATACCTGCACTGGCTACATGCTCGCTGGATTTCAGTCAGCCCCATCATCTCATTACACATCCTCCATCCCTGAAAGGTCACTCAGTGGCCAAGGAGGCGCCTCTGTGTCAACTGAAGACAACACCTCTTCACAGATCAACTTGTCGTATGTGAGTGGTTCGTGTTCATTCTTTACACACTCATTGACTCGAGCCTTCAAGTTTATGCCCACATAATGGTTGCCCCATGCCTGTAACTGCTTCCAAGACACCACAGCATAAAAAGTCCTAGTTGTGTACTATATCATTCAATCATTCACTCTTTTTGGTACCTGAGAGGCTGAGATGTGAGTAAATATTCTATGTAGATGATTTTGTGTACAGGGAACATGTATTCTAACAGGCCAGAACATTTTATCATGCAGAACCACCTCATGTGTGCGCTCCACCTCTTGCACAAAAAATGTTCCAAGGCGCAAAGCATCAAGCATGTGCATGTCATGTGACATGTTGATATGAATGTGAGGTCCATGGATCCCACCTCCTTGTATTAGGGCCCATCAGGTAGTATTGCCATGCACACAAGGTGAGTATTTCCTTGTTCCTTCCTTGTTCCTTCCTTGTTTACTAAGTTTACCCTTCTCTTCTAGCCTTATCAGATTCACCTGACCACTGACCAGTGTCTTATTTTTGCCGGCAAGAACGTCATGGTGTCCCCTCTCCCGCCACTTATATTGTCCTTATCTCAATCCTTATCTCTCAGTCATGCTCACCTTCTTGGCTACCATCACAAAATGTACAGAGACACTTTCTATAATAAAATGTTCAATACCTTGGCATGATCTTGCCTGATCTTTTTGCCACCATTCCCTGATGTGAGTCTTTGCCTCTTCTCTCCTCTCTTGTCTTCTGCTGTTTAACCTCCTCTCTCCTCTCTTGTCTCCTGCCATTTAGCCTCCTCTCTCATCCCCTCCGGCACTGACCTTCCTCTGGCACTGGCCATCTCTCAAAGACATGGTTTTTTTACAACTTTTTATTTCTGTCAGTTGAAATGTGAAGGTCGTTGAGGCCCGAGGGATCTATTAGGTACTACCATACTAGGGACATGATTTTGTATTTACTCTAGACCTTCCTCACATTATGCCCTTGAATGTCTGGCATCCGACATTGTGCCAAGTATTACTCAGCCATCAACTGTGCGCAACTCTAGCCGAGCTTCACCGAAGTTCTGATTTTGATTCTTACTGTCACATCTTGTCTTTACCAGCTTCATCTGAAAATCGGCTGCATGATTGCTGACTTGCCTCATTATGACTTGTTTGGAGTCAAAATCGGATGCACAACTTTGAGGTAACAACAATAGCTGATTATTCACTAGGATCTCTAATCTGCTCTACTAGGCTACATTCAAGAACTACAGCATGCCTCATTGGGGATCTTCCAAGTTCCAACAGACCATTGATTTAATTGAGCTGCTCAGCTAATGGGAGGGATTACAGTTTGGGTTTGTACTTCTTTTCAATCTATCCAACCAATATTACTTATCATAAACCTGGCGCAGTCAGAAGGTGTACATGACTCATTGAGTCATAATTGCATGAGGCTCGAAGATTAGAAACATCTGTTTTCTATTTCTTGAATGATGTATCTACAGGTATGGTCCTTCCAACTCTTGTTTCAAAAACTCCTAGTGGCTAATTCATTCTTTTGGAATAGCTTTCCAGGCACATATCCAGGGCACTGGTGCACTGCATGTTGGGCAACATTTTGGGGCTGTTTGATGCCCAGGACCCCATGAGCCTTGAGGCTCTAGCTATGTCTTACTTCACTAATCTATGGCAGTCAACACACCCTTGAATTGTCGAGACACGAGCGACAAAATTACATGTAGGCAGAACTATTCTTCGACCTTTACCATCAGGTGAGTCAGTACTGCACTGCTGCATTTTCTGGAACTTATAGAATGACAATTTATATAGAACAGTAATTTACTCACTGGGTCCCCAACATTCCCAACCATGCCACCTCGCTGACATGCTCTCAACACACCCCAGACTTCATCCCCTGCTGCTGTAGATCCCTCCATAAACACCCCGCAGACTTCATCCCCTGCTGCTGTAGTTCCCCCCATAAACACACCCTCAGATGTTATCCCCTATTGCTTCAGCTCCCTCCGCTGCATCCACCCTCACTGCAGCTCCCTGTGTTGCAGTGACTGCAACTCTCCAGAATCCTCACAGAGCTTGAAGGCCCACCACAAGGCTTTGAGGCAGTACAGCTTGCAGGGCTGGTCCAAGCCATGTAGCAGACGATGGTGAATTCATCGACCTTGACATTGTTGATGATGTCAATGAAGAAGAGGACGGCGACCTACTCACCCCAGTAGAAGCAGTCTGCACAGTTCCCAGCCCACTTCAAACACAGACAGGTGCCAATTCAACCCGATCCAATCTGTTAGCCACAGGACATCAAACAAAACAGCTAGGATTGGAGGTGCACCCTGTGTGTAAGTATTATCTTTGGGTCTTTTTATTTTTCTCTTTCTCATGTTTGCCAGGGACATACAGAAAGAAGATTCATCACACAATATTGCTGAATACAGCTCGCTGACTACCATGGGCACTCTTCGCAGTCATCTGCTCAAAATTCACTTGCGTGTTTATATAACCGTGCTTGAGCAACATAAACTAAAAGTTGGGGCAAAAGAAGTTCGAGATCTTCTTTATATAGGCTGGACTCTCGCACAGATAGGTCAAGAGCTTGACCAGAACCCAGATAAGCTTCTTGAGTCGTTCGGTTCCCCCCCCGGTGGTAAGCATCTTGGTTCGCAACCCAGGACAGGGGTGTTGGCACTTGCAGATGAGATACCAGATTATGCCATTGAGGAGATGCATAGGCAACTCGTCAAATTCATTGTGGTCGATGACCAGGTGAGTACTTATTTACTCTATATGATGGTTATTAATTGTCTTTAGGCGATGAATGTAATAGAATGCCCTGAGTTCTGTTGCTTACTTCTACTTCTGTGGAAAGATCTATGGGAGTGCAACATTCCTCATCGGACAAAGCTATGTGAGTTAATAGTTGAAACATGGTATCAATATTTTGATGTTTTAAAGCAAGATCTGGCCATAAGTGTACGACTGTTTGATCTTGCAAGTTATCTTACGTTCTTCTAGAAAGCAGAAGGAGAGATATCATTTACTTCTGACCCCTGGTCAGATGAGAACTGATGTCCATTCATTGCATTGACGGCTCACTGGATTGCCCAACATGGATCAAAGCTTGTTCTCAAGGCTGGCCTTCTAGCTTTTAGCCATGTTCCTGGTTCTCATGATGGGGTGTCACTCGCTGTAGTCATATTAGGACTCCTGGATCGTGCAGAAGTGACAGACAAGGTTAGTGATTGACCCACCATGTAACATATTCTGACTTAGTCTAGATTGGTCATTTTACTTTAGATAATGCATCAAATAACCAGACTGCCATGGTCGAGCTTTCTCATCTCCTGTCGGCACATGGCATCGAGTTTGATCCCATTGATCACAAAATCCCGTGTTTCTCCGCATATAATCAACATATGTGTTCAGCACATCATTGCTTCTTACCATTCCATGGATCTTGCAACGGTGCCTACCGAGTGGCTAGCTTGTGGTACCACCATCAAAAAGGAGGGGTATTTGGAAGCTCTGAAACTCAAACCTGTCAAGCGGGGTAAGAATCTTGTGTGTGTGATCTGTGCATCAGGCCAGCGACGCAAAGCCTTCCGGAATGCTATCTCAATTGGCAACCAGGGGAATTTATTTCCAGGAGAAAAACTTCCAGTCCTCAAGCTTCTATGTGATGAGCCTACTCGATGGGATTTGACGTATGTTATGCTCAATCATCTCCAAACACTTCACCCAGTAAGACTTTGTCTCACATAACATTCATTGCAAACTTACAGTGCCCCAGGCTATTGATTGCTACCTTGCGACTCAAACTAGCTTATCCGAACATGGGTTGAGTCCAATGGAGTGGATGGTCTTGCAAGACCTTGAAGTGATTTTAGAGGTCAGTGACTCAGTGTTGATATTGCTCAAGCCCACAATGTGTTTTAATCTACGTCAGGCACCCCATGCTTGCCAACAATCGATGTCCAGTGAAAGTACACCTATGTTGAGTGGTGCAGTCTCTGCCTTAGAACATCTGATGGAGTGGTGGGAAGGGGTGGCCAGGATCATCATGCACTGTGCGCCCATGATTAATATAGGCCTAGCCTGGGCAGAGAAGTATGGTCACAAGATGAGTCAGATGAATGCATATGCCATTGCGATGTGTGAGTTCAGTTTTGATACAATTTTATCTCTCACGATCTTTTTGTATAGTCATTGACCCTAGCTTGCGTTTATCATGGATTGATGGTCACTGGGGCAAAGAATGTGCTCGTACTGCCAGGGACTCTATCAAGCGACAGGTATGTCTACCTTGACTCGAATGGTGCATATTTAACCTAACGTGTTCTACGGCTGCGAGAGAAGAGAGAAAGCTCTATTCAACATCCAGCAGTAGAATTGCCTGCTCATCGACCACACACTACAACCTTAGGTGCACAAATTTATGGTATACCTGACATTGACTTGCTGCCATGTCACCATCTCAGTGTTCAAACAGTTGACAAGGAATTTAATGCATATAGTACATCCCATGTCAGCCCTCAAGGAACTGACCCGCTCGCATTTTGGAATATATGTTTTTTTGTTGAGTCATTCACTGACATTCATTATTGATCACATCTCAACCAGAGCTCAAAAACCCTCTTTCTGACCATCTACAACCTTGCAATGGATTATCTCCTGATCCAGGCGTCTGCTGTTCCCTGTGAACACATTTTTTCATCAAGCAGTGAGATGTGTACCAAAAAGCATAATCGCCTCAGCCCTGCTATGGTAGAGATCCTCCAGATGCTTAAATTTTTGCTGAAGAAAGAATGACTCAACTTTACGAAAGGATGGTCAGCATCAGAGCGGGAAATGGAGTATTATACTCAAATACAGTGCACGCTGGAGTCAGATGACTCATGCCAGCATGCATCTTTATCATCTGCTAGAAGTACTGGCAGCAGATCAATGTGACGATATTCCTGATGTTCCTACTCTCTATCACTGACGTTTTTCCTACCTCCTTCGCAATCTCACCACCATCACATCATGTACCACTACCTAGTTTTCACTTACACTATATTTGTCAATATATTGATTTCAATCGTTGATTCCTTTCTCCCCAGGTTTCCTAATCCTCAGGACTTATGACCAAATGGTGGCAGAGAATTTATATTGTCATGCTAACAATATCTCTCTCTGCAAATGTGCAGAGATGCCAGCAAAGTCAATGTTCCATCAAGTCTGCCTATCGCAGACAAGGGACAACCCTTCAAATATACTGGTGCATACATTGGTTTTGACTGGGATCTCCCCCACAAAACAGTAGTCCTCCTTGAGTGTAAGTGCCTCAAATACATTGCTCGTCTATCTCATTTTCTCACTCTATTCCTAGACTCACAAGTGCCAAAGCAAGAGCTCAAACGCATAGCAGGCTTTCTCAATCACTCAGCCTTCATCTACCCACATGGCCATTCATATCTCACCAATATCTACTCAGACATGGCCGCATATGGCACCAACAAATTTGCTCTTAGATATCTTGGCCATTCCACATGGTCATAAAATGTCGGGTATGTACTTTGAGTGAGTGTTTTTTTTTTGTTTTCTGCGTACGATCACTCCGATCCTGGTCCACATGATCACAAACCATCAGGTATGTATTTTGAGTGAGCATTTTTTTTTTCATTTTCTGTGTATGATTGTTCCCATCCTGGTCTACATGATCACGAACTATCAGGTATGTACTTCGAGTGAGTGTTTTTTTATTTCATTTTCTGCTTACAATGACTTCCATCCCCAGTCTGCACAATCACAAAACATCAGGTATGTACTTCGACCGAGTGTTTTTTTTTTCATTTTCTGCTTATGATTGAATTATAGTGCTACCCTCAAGACAAATTGGACCAAAAGTTTTGAAGGTAACATTCTTATCTACTCTTACAGAATACATACTTACTACTTCACCTGAACAGAAGCCAGTTATATCACTCAACACTATTTCACCTCCTCCCACACCTCGTGACCCCAGATCCTCGAGATCCAACACCTCCACTTTGGCTTCCATTTTGACTTTGAGCTCGATGACCCATCAGCTCGATCCGCTTCCCTCCTCCTTGCTGTGCATCGGCGCTCTTTCCTCTCCTGCTCCTTCATCTTTCGATCTTCTTTCCTCCTCCTTGATGTGCATCTGCACTCTTCCCTCTCCTGCTCTTTCTCCTTTTGATCTGCCTCCCTCCTCATTGATGCACAGTGGCACTGAAATTCTCTCTCCCGCTCTTGTATCTTTTGTGCACGA